ATGGTTCCCGTTGTTTCCAATTTAGTGGCATGGCAGTTTTATGTGCTCTATAACTTGCCTTTTTATATGTTTATAAGACAGCAAAGAAAAATTGTTGTCTTTTAGGTACGAACTAGACGGAAATTATAATTCATATGTGTGTCTACGTGACCGATTAATCCTGACCACAAATCAAGGAGCTCCTGTTGGCACGCCTAATCTGCCTTTTAAAACTTGTTTATCTAATACAAGTTTGAAGACTTATGGATGAAAGCCAGAAAGTTGAAATTTCCAATTGTGTGACCAAAAATCATATGATCTGGCTCAGTTTCTGTGAGTACCAAATTCATTGTCCAATTCGTGAGTAAACTAAACTAACCAATAATTTAGACTTCAAAGATTTGGAATTCGAGAAGTGTTTCCTATTTAGAGATCGTTCGAATGTACCTTTGTAGAAGCGTAATACTGAAGAATTCATCCCTTTTTTGATTAATCCCTTCTTGAAACGACCTTTCCGTCTCAACAGCCACGACTGTATTTGATAACTCTCAAAAAAACAATCAATGATGTTAAATGACTGTGAATGTATGAAAATCATATATATGAACTGCTCAGTTGGTAGAGCACTACAGCGGTATCGCAGAGGTCATGGGTTCAAATCCCGTACAGACCTGAATTTTTTTCAGGCCTTATTTTCACTACTGCTTAAGTAGTGTTCATCAATGATGTTAGTCTTCTGCCAGAGATAAACTAAGCTTACTTCTCATCCTCTAAATTGCCGTCATTTTTCATAGCAGTAGGAAAATTATTATGCCTGCCCTTGGGCCACATAGTGACCAGATTTACGATAGCTCTTAATTTATTCTTTTCACCACCAGAACAGCAGTTAATCTATAAATGTTTAGAAACTCTCTTCGATGGCCAATTTACATTTATCTATCAACTCAGTTGATGAAACCAAGTTTTTTTTTATTGCATGGGAATGGTCGTGCACCATTATGTGGACAAAGAAAATGTGCTTAATATTATCTTCCTGGTTGTCAAGAATCTTTGTGCTAACAAAATAAGTTAGCGATGATTTTTTCAATTTAAACCTTAAAAGTTCTCAGAAAAAGTAATTTGAAAAATACAAAAAAACGTGTGAAGAACTGAAGAATGTAGACAATAATGGATCATTTGATAGTGGCGGCCACTTTTCTTTTAAACGATATTAATTGTTTCTAATGTAATGAGTTTTCAATATTTTCGAGATATTCAGGATGAGTTCAGCAGCTACTCAAAATTCCTCAATCGAGGAATTTATACCTTCAAAAATCCAGCCTTGTTAATTCGTCATTTACAATTTGTGATCATTTTTTAGTGCCTAGAAGGCTTTCCTCGTGTTTTTCCAACGTAACAAACCTTTTTCTAAGTTTTAAGTTTTGGTGAGATACCCAAAAGTGCACTTCGTCAACAGGGCGTTTAGCAGCGAATCATCTCCCATTTCATAGTCCCGCAAGGCTGGCGGACATATCATCAGACCCTACTGATAGCAGAGCGGTTTTACTGAGTGTGTCTTTCAACTGAAGCTATCCTTTAAATAACCTCCATACCAATATCAGTTTAGAGCTATTAAGTAATGACATTGTTCTTAATGCTTTGAATACCGTAGACAAGGCATTTTCCTATATATATAGATGGTTACAGGTGATTTCATGAAAACAGACAGGTTTACTTCGTTGTCACGTCAAGATCTACAAATCTCCTAGCCTTTGAAAATGCTTGGCAGAAAATTAAACCTCTGTTTAGCGATTTCATTTTCGGCTCTTATCAGCCAAGGATTATGTCTGCTTTCTCTTAATGCGACAGAAGGTAAGATCTTTCTTTCAATTGAGATTTTTCCCTAAGGCTTCATAAAAAAGTCAACCCAAACTTTATCTTTCTTGATTGGGATGTTCTGATAATGGAGGAATACGGCAGATTTAAAAAGGTTCATTCTCAGTATCATTTCAACTTTCCAGCAAGAACGTAGGTGTTAGAAAAGCAGTATTAGTGATAAATCACTGCAACGTACTGGATATGCTTTTCACCACAAGGTTTGAAAAAAAAGGGAAGTCACTTCATACACATGACAGACGGATAACAAGAAATTTAATGGATTGAAGATATGAGTCAATTAGCTTGCTTAACACAAAAAAAACAAAACAAAACAAGAAAAAAAACAATGCTGCTGAAGTAACTATAAACGACATTCTGGGTTAAGATGGATTTTGTACCAGTTGAGGTTTCGCTTATACAAAGATACAGTTATTTTCGCTTATTCCTTTTGCCTTTTTCCGTTCCCCTTTTATCATTTTTATTTTCGTTTGTTTGGGTCGGTTTGGAAAGATGCCGAAAGGGGGGAATGACTTTTTCTTGAACTAATCAGTTCGTGTTTACAATAATTGATTTACATTAATCAAAATTATTATGTCACGGAAAAATAACTCCACCTCATGTTCAAAATAAGTAAAGTAATCCTTTATTTTTTTAAAAGTTAGCAAGCAGATTAAATTATCATATTCGATGAGCTGATTTCTCTTGACGTTGCAACTCTGAGGCGTCGTAAAAAGTTCAAACTTTCCAGACTATTCATATTACCAAAGCGATGCAGCAGCCCTCACCACAAGCAATCGAAAAAACTCCTGTTGTTGTTTACTCATTTGAATTGAGTTATTTGTCAACACTCGTAACTGGATATGTCCACGGCAAGTTAAAATAAATAGTGATAATTCCCTAAGTAGCATAAGTATGTTGCATAGTCTAGTTCAACGCTAGGTCATCGCCCCCTAAGAGATGTTGACTTCCTATGAATGTAATAATGTACCGTTTTTCACCCAACTGAAAAAAAAAGGCAAACAAACAGTGGTAGACATTTTCCAGAATACTTCCTTTGCTCTCATAATTCTCTCCGTGATTTTAAAAAACAGTCATGAATTAGTGAACAGTTATCATCTGCAGTTTGTTTCAGTAAAATGTTTTTAATTCGTAACTATAATCCTGATCGTTTGAAGTTTTTTCGCAGTACTGCTTCAATCACCAATTACAAGTCTGAGAAATATGATTTCAACCATTCTTAGGTCAGTATTAGTTATTTTCATGATTTTAACAAGTACAACATGCGAGGTCTTATTGCTAAGTCCTTAGGCTAATTGAAGGTGCTTCTTCTATATCAGTCACGTTTTTACCTTGACAACAGTGCGCCCTTTTCCTGCAGCAACAATTTCATGCAGGCTTGTTAAAAGAGCCACTTTTTCTCCCTTTAGCCTGGGGCAATCTTTCCACCTGCAGTTGGAATAACATATGAGTTAAACAAGAACACATGTTCAATGTAATAAATTGCACGTGCACGTGTACTGAAGGCCAATCTTGTTTCGCCTTTTGACCTGAGGCAAAACAGACGCGTCAAACAACCAATTCAACACTAAGGGATAACTTAAAAGCAGCTTTATGATTATAAAAAATTGTGCTTTGTGATGAAAATTAAGTCGTACAGTTAGGAAAGTAGAATATTGACCCTTAAAACCCTTTTTAATCTACAAAATTTAGCAGAGTGATTGTTATGGAAAGCTGCGTAGAAATTACTGAAGATTTATTTTGGCAAAGGCTCAATTTTTCCATAGATTCGTAAACACCTTGGAGACCTTGCAGCCTAAAAGTTTAAATTTCTTGGTAAACAATTTGCCAGAATTGACACATTATCCCATTTTTTCCAGTATATTATAATATCTTTTCCCAGTACAAAAAACTTCTGTACTCGTCTTTTTACCTTTTTAAGGTAAAATCATGAAAAACCAGAGACTAGCGGCTTTAATTGTTGAACATTTTTTTTTTAATTTAGTGCATATCAGAAGTTAAATCCGTCCATTTTGAGGAGGATAAATTTACAAATTAAGCATTTAGAACCACATTTTTTTTGTAATAAACAGTCTGTGAAGCGAATGAAGTAACACATGTTTTGAAAAAAAAAATGGTCGCCAAAATCTGAACCAATTCTTCGATTCACGATGAAAGGGGCATGTAAGATTATTTGGACTGATGCACATTCAAGAAGCTCCAAGGTAATGCATGCAGTTGAGTTTATATGGAACCACTGTGGTATATCTTAATTGGAATCATTATGTACTTATTAAGATCGCTTTCATCCGCTCACTGTAGGAAAAAATGGGAGGCTATTAAAAAAACATGTGCGGTTCATCCTTCTTAAAGCTTTATTTGAGTTTTCTTATCCTTGTCGAGACGTACCTCTGCAATATCTACAATATCTGCCTTACAGATAACAAATATGTCGAGGAATAACTCTTCCTCTTAACACAACACCCATACAAATAAGCTATCGAAATCTTAGCTAATTCTTACTTAACTTACCGTTGCAGTAATGTTTAACAAGCGCATCTTCTCTTAATTTTATTAATTAACAAACAGTTTGTCTATAAAGTAAACTCGTTTATTATACATATGTAAATGATTTGACAGCAAATGAACAAGTAACGCTTGATTCTTCGTGCATTGCACAAAAATCATTTTAAGAAAAAATACCTTGGCTGTCAGGATTGTTGTAGCCCAGAACTTTCAGAGCGTTTTTCAAATTCCACAACCATATGGATTTGAGTCAAGCACTTACAGGAAAAAGAGCAATTTGGTGTACAGTTTCTGCAAGTTTTCTGAGAATGCGAAGGTCAACCTTGGACAAATCATTACGTAATTTTGTTTTTAACTCCTTTTCAATCCAATGATCTCTCTTGCAGTTAAAATTGTGTAGGAAGGGTTCTCTTATGATGCAAAATATGTATTAGCCTATTTTTGTTTTCAATTATAGTCACTTTAGGTCTTTTGTTTGAATCAAAATGGACTCACACTGACATTTCGAGTATCTTTCAACAGTATTGCTTAACAACATTAGGAAGGTAATACTCTTCAAACTGTGTCGGTCTCTGATTTCAAATACCACCACATAGATTTAAGACACAGACAGTTCGCGAAGTTTATTTTATCGCCATCTCCAGTTGATAGCTGAAGCCTGGAGAGAGAAACATTACACAAACAACGATGAGAAGTCTTGCCTTTTCTCATCTGGCAATATGCTTGTGGTCAGTAGCTCTTCTACCGAGTGTCTTTTGTGCTCCCAACCAGTTGTTGAACACTGAATTCACAGGTTTGTTTTGGTTTTAATTCCTTCTTTAAATTATCATTCCTGTGCCGAATTAAACTTTTAATCGAGAGAACAAATTCAAGAAAAAGTTTTAAGCGGTGAAGCCGTTTTTCAAACAAATTAACACATGAAATTGTTACCAATTGAAAAGATAGGTAGTTTTTTTTACGAAAAAAAATGCATGCAAAGTGTTCTCAGTAGAGCCTTCTTTAATACGATTAATAACTGGCAAAAATAAGCAGATCTCGCTGGAAAAATTTATCGGCACGCAAATAACATAGATACTTCAATTTATTTGATAGGGAAATTGCAGTTCATTTAGACGGTTTTAACGGCAATTTTAGGGTATTTTTTTGGTGAACTCAGTGCGGAAGTCTAAAACCTTATATAGCTAACCAAAGAACGATGATACGGCATCGTAGGTTAATCCTTCCGTATCGCTTTCTATTTATTCCGTTAATTTCGCAGCTTAGTCAAGAGACATTTTTGGAAAACATTGGTCATCGTTTAATAAAGCGTCTTTATTTGCCGTTTCCTCTCGTTTTTCACCCAGTAAGAGCATTCAACAAGTGCGTCTTAATTGACGTGTTGCATCGAGTTTAAGCAAGAGAGTCATATGGCTCGCAGACGTTCGCTTAAGAGAAACGTAAATGATCATGTCTTTAATTTAGTAATCACCATCTTTATCAAGAGTGATGAAACAATTTTCCAACCTGATAGTTTTCTCTGAAACCACGCGGTTTTTACATTGTTACCTTCACCAAAATCTTGATTTTTACCATTGAATTCCTTAACTTCCTGATTCTTCTCGTTCTACCGATGTTGGAGAAAAAAACGATCTTCATCTTCCTCATTTCGTTCTTTACCGTTATCCATACTTATTTAATTAAGTTCTGATCGGCTGTTACCAATGACAAAGGCAAAACGTTTGCGGCGACTGAGTGGACATGAGGAAAAGATAAATCTGATCTTGCGCTAGAACAGATAAATTTCCATCGCAAAATAAGTAGGTTATTCTCGTTACTGATGTTTTTGGTGTGATTAAAAAGCGATTAGGGATATTATTCGAAAAATTCCTTGCTGATCCCAGCAAGGTAAGCATTTCTAGCATTTGAAAGTAATTTTTATTTTTTTCCTCCTGATATAAGGTATATTTTTCACGCATCCTTCATTAAGGAACAAAAGATTGCATCTCCTGAAACTCCATCAATTTTCGGAGTGTTGATTTCAAAGTCCTATTGATATTGCACAAGGATTCCGACTGCTACCGACGGCTAAACGATAATTAATGTATTGCTATATATTTTATCTGATAAAGATAGATGTTACTTTTCGGATTAAGACAAAAATATCTTTGAATGTAAGCGTGCGAAATAACTGTTGTTCTGTTAACTTAATACGCAATGCACAATTCGAAAATCTTTCATAGAAGTGCTGTTCTTTCCGACTTATCAAATCGGCTGTGCATGGACGTTTTCACTGTACTTACAGTTCAACAAGTAGTATAATCCAGTTTCACTGACCAGGAACACCTTAGCCTAGCACAAAAAATATTTATTTGAAGTAAAGAGGGCAAATAAAAAAGCGAAAGCCGACAATGCACGTAATTCTTGCTTTAGAGGTTTGCCGCGAACTCCATGGCAGACTCGAAAACCTTTGATTAAGTGTTACTCGGACTTTTTACTGTATTTCTGCCAAATCGATCAGTTAAGGCTTAAGTTTTGTAAGGTTCAAAAGTAAGTTTTATTTTCGTCCCACAAGACAATAAGAAATGCCAAAAGTAAACTGCTGTTTATATTACTAACTTACTTGGGTCTCGTTGCAGCCTAATGATGCTAGTTTGTACTTTGGACTTCGAGAGATCGAGATAGGCTAGGTTCCTTTTTTAAAATGTAGGAGAAAATTTCCCAGAACCCTATCAGTTGCTTCTCGTAGTTGGAGACTAGGAAAACGTGATCCACTAATTCATAAAATTTTTGACGAATTTCCCTTGGATATTGCTTTAGGAAACTGCAACTTTGATTCCGAGTCATTCTGCAAATGGCTCCAAGTGAAAGGCGATACCTTCAACTGGCGGCTGCAAAGAGGCTCTACTCCAAGCGGGGGAACTGGGCCAAGAAGAGATCATACTGGAAATAATGGTAAACGTAGTCTTTATACCTATCAAATCAGGCAAACGATTAATAAATACGAAGTACTGCAAATGGTGAAAAACCCAATGTATCGAATTTTCGACTGGGGCTTTTGAAGCTATCACAAACCTTTCATTTCGTCATCCAGTTCTTGATCAGAAAGTCAAAAGATGGGTGGTTGACCAGTGACCAGGTGGTTGAAATTTTCTTTGTATTTAGTAAAGAAGGTGGTTAAAATGTTGTCTGAAAAAAAGCTGGAAAATGAGTTTATTTCCTTTGATTCTACGTTTGATAATTTTCCCTTTTGTAAACTGGTACTCCTCATTTTCTCAGGCTTCAAGAATTTGTTAATGTTCCTATCCTCGAAAAAATCTGAGTGTTCCCGAAGTGATAGGAATGAACAATGGTCTGAGAACTTAACGGCCTTTGAGCCAGTGAATATGTGATTTCCCAGGGTAAAAAGCAAAATAAAGGAACCTGAGTTGGTGTTTGAGTCTCCGTCCTTTTTTCCATATCATGACAGGTCACTACGCGTACATCGAAGCCTCGTCTCCCCGAAGCAAAGGGGATAAGGCACGTCTCATCAACGGTCCTTTCAGTGACGTACTCTGTCTTCACTTCTCGTACAGCATGGTGGGAAGTTCAATAGGAGAATTGAACATTTACCATGTTCTCCATGGTATGGAACTGGCAGTGTGGTCTAAGGCCGGACCGCAGGCTTATAAAGACTGGCACTCTGACAACGCAACTTTTTATGGAAAAAACTACTATGTGAGTCTTTTGAATGTCAACCTTTGCTCAGGTTTTCTTTGAGAGAGTTTTGCAATGACAAAGTATAGAAAAGGAAAAGAAATTGTTTTAGTTTTTTGAGTGTAAAAACTGTAGCACTGGACAAAAAACATTACATGTTAAATCTACATCTCAAATCAAGTTATCCCACGTTTCCAATTTATAAAAACATTACGTGGCTGACGGGTTAAAAGAATTGTTATTTACACTCCTATGAGAACTACTTACGCCATATTGCACGCTATCATCAGTTTCTCACATCTCAGAAGACGTTAGCGTCTGCTTATTATTTACATCGGAATTGGACGTGACAATTAGCGCAGACTCACATAAAGTGGTCGGCCTTTTATTTTCGATTTTTCCTCTACCTTTGTGAGCTCATGCTATAAATATTCCTGAAACAAAATTTAATGCCACGTTTTGATCAGGAATAGTTAAATTCATGAAAGAGCTCTCCACAAGTTTTTAATTCATTATTTTAGTTTCCATCGCTGATTCAGACACTCCTCACAAGAGAAGAGTGGGTAAATAGAGAAGAATTAGAAAACTAGGAAAAAATTGCAATTAATTAACCCTCCTGCTGAATATTTTCAGGTGATAATTGAAGGTGTCGTTGGAAAGAGTTACACCGGCGATATTGGTATTGATGACATTTACTTTACAAAGGGTTCTTGTCGCGGTGAAAAGTTAGCATTTGTAGACAACTCGACTAATTCAGGAGGTAAAGTATTGTGACACTGTCTATAAGAAGTCTTTGGGCCACATAAAATCCAGTAACCGATTGGTAACTCTTCCACCAAAGTGGTGAACATCTTCGCTTTTCAAGGTTGTTAAGGCAATTTCTAGTAGGCTCCTAAATTTGCACATTGTTACCGCTGTTTGTTTCTACTGTTTGTTGAATAATATTCCTAAACTGGGAAACGGGAAAGTTTAGCGACTCAATTTCCCGACTTGCATCCATCTACAGTTATAGCTTTGCTGTTGCGTTTCGAAGTTATTAACGTTTCTTTAAAGACGCCGAACATTTAGGGAAGAGACTTACTGCAAACAGGCAAACAAACAAACAGACAACTAGACCAACAGGAAAAAGAAAGGAATTCGTTAATAAATAATTACTGAGGTTCGCAGCATTATACCCAATAATGCTGCGAACCTCAGTAATTAACTATTATAATTATTGACCCTCATAAAATCCTATTGTTCTCTCTCTGCATTACATCGACGATTTCAGTCGCCCCTTCATATTGATGTTTTGGTACACCAACAATGCAACTGAAATCGCCGATATAATGCTGAGAGAGAACAATAGGATTTTATGAGGGTCAGTAATTATTTAAAACTCCTGCTCACCCGCCTACGTTCTTCCTATGTGTCGACTGAGCACATTTTTTGTCCTCTGGTCACAGATAAAATTAATAATGCGTTTTGTTTTTAGATCGCCAGAAATCGATTATAACATTTTTGCTGAACAGATATAAATACATTTAAAACAGAGCGTGTAATTCAAATTGATAATATATCTTTTATTAACAACTTTTTCTGCCTCAAGGAAAATGCTCCTTTGACATGGGATTGTGTGATTGGGCAAACGACTTGACTAACAGTAATGTTAGCCCGTGGATGCTGAGTACTAACCGAAGAGGGGGAGAAAAGAAATCAGATCATGGAAAGAATCTAGGTATGCTGCAAAGACATGGAACAATTTGTAACTAAGTCAGTCACCTCGAAAGAGATCTCAGTCGTTTCACCGCTTGAAATGAGAACTACGCATGATGATGTAAAGACTGTGTCAATTAAACTGAGAAAGATTGCCTTGTATATCCCTTAAATAATAACGGTTACGCTCGATTTCAATTCTTTTTCAATTCCTTTTTGCCTTTTCAAGCCGTTTCACTCTGACTCATAGATTTAATGCATGCCTGAAGGAGACTTTTCGTTATTAGTTGTCTGCTTTGCCTTAGCCCGAAAACGACGGTGAACATGAAAGCCATCACTCTGTTCAACTTTTAGTTCATGTGGCACATATTCTTTTATGATATTCTTTACCATTAAACCTCTTTTTTTTTCTCAAATTTTTGAGCAGGTGGCAGATATGCTTACGCAATGAAATCGGGAAGAAAACCGTCTAAATATCGAATGGTGTCTTCAAAACTATGCGGTACAAAGTGCGTTGAGCTTTTTTACTTCACCAATAAATTCGATAAAAGCGAACTCAGATTGTCTGCCAGAAAAGACGAAGGAGAGGATCGTGTGTGGTTCGAGTCTGGGCTTGGAAAGAAAACGGACGACTGGACAAGGGCTGTGGTTGAAATAAAAGCAGAAGAAGAAACATGTTTTAAGGTAATAATTCATTCATTCTGGATGATACGACACGTCTTCCGTCTTTCTGTTTTCCCTCAAACACGCATAAAAAAATCCATAAAGCAGAAATGAGGCGTAGATAAAATTGAACCTGTGTGCTAATAATAATAAGAAATGTTTATTAATAAAAATGCTATACTTGTACATTTTACACAGCTTGTGTTCGAAGCTCGTCTCCACGAAACAGCATCATCAGTGGGCTTAGATGACCTCTTCATAGCAAATGGAACGTGTTGTGCGTTGATCAGCACTCCCGAGGATACCGCGAAAGGTAATTCTCGCAACAGAGCAAAAACAGCGCTGGGATGACTTTGACTGGTCCGTGAAACTAGGACCACCCTGTAAAGCAATCAGTTTTAAAAAGGGAAGAAATTGTCACTCAGTCAATGCTCCCGTTTTCCGCACAGATTACTAGGCAGATAACTTGGTTTTGCTTGGGGTTCTCCAATGTCGTGATGGGGCGAAAATTACGATGTTTAGACTCAATCAAAGTTCACTCTAGCTCTATCTTGACTATTATGGCCCCTGAACCTGATATATTCTTCGCCTATGTAGAAACTCAACTCGAAATGCACACGCCCTTCTTATAAAAAGGAATTGGCTCTTTAAATGAAAAATTATATTAGTTATTAATCAGTCTTCTTCCGCACTTCAGCAAACTGTGATTTTGACGAAGGCACCTTTTGCAACTGGAGGCAATCCATGAAATCATCTTTCTCTTGGAGCATTGGAAGTGGCGAGACTAACAGTGGAAAGACAAGTGGTGGACTAACAGGGCCTAAAGCTGATGCTTCAGGCAATGGTAAGCAGCTGAAAATAACTAGAACACAACTATCTGTTCCCCGATGATCGCAAGTATCTCAACCTTAATTTTTAGGAATATTTAATACTCCAAAGAGTGATATAGAGAAACAACGATGGTCGTAATTTTCGATTTCCTAAATTCTCATGTAGACTTTGTCCTTACCGACAGAAGAAGTCTTTCAGGTCAACGGCCAAAATCGGCCAGTGGCAAATCTTTCGATATCGTATTTTTCACGTGTGTTGTTACGGCTTTTCTCAGGGCCGGAAATCCTTGTATAACACCGTAGTTTGTTCTTCTTGAAAATTATCAAGTATTCTTTGAAGTAGTTTGCACGCTCCTTTGATTTTGTTTCTGTCGTTCTAAAGGCCATGTCTAATAACCACTTTACCTCTGACATTCCAAGGGAAATACGCTTTTATTGAAGCTTCTGAGCCTCAGATGAACGGTGATAAAGCTATTCTGATTAGTAACATGATGGAAGGCCAACAATGTATGCGTTTCAAGTACCACATGCACGGGGAAGATGTCGGGTCCTTATCGATTTACAGGCGAGGATTCCTTATATGGAAGAAAACTGGTAACCATGGAAACGAATGGCTAAATGGCCAGGTTGACCTTGATTGTAAAATACCGAAATACCAGGTAAGTCTTGAGATGAAAAAGTATTTATGTCGTCTTCCCAAATGTTTGAAATTTAGCCAAATCTTAAATGACCAAAGGAAAAAAAAAATGAGAAGAGAAGGTGAGACATTCGGACGGTTCACTTAAAACACTAGACTCGATCAAAATTGTTTTCAGTTTTAAACGTTTTTACCGACGGTTTGTTTTCGCTCAAGAAATAACATTTCCCCTCTTTCATCGACAAAGTCAATCTGTGCGCTTTCACCGGGCAAACATTTTTCTGTAGCTCAAACCATTTTTTCCTGTTCACGCAGGTAGAAATAGAGGCGACTGTTGTTGGATGGCGAGGTGATATTGCAATTGATGAGCTCCAGTTTATCCCGGGAGGCTGTCCCCTACAGGCCCTAACTACCACTGCAGCGCCGCGTGATACTACACCAACTACACCAGAATCATTACCTGTACCACCACCTTTCAGTAAGAACCAGTTACATATAAATAAGAATAATTTTGAATCGAGTGTCGGGAGTAATCTGGCACCACTTTAGTCTTGCGTCAATGCGCTCAGTACATAAGTATTTGGTAAAGAAAACCACGCACCATCTTTTCAACCAATCATAAACAATAGAGGGCTGCGTCGGTGGGAGAGTATAAGAGGGTACCGACGAAGGGCTTACGCACGAAGCGTCAGCTTTAAAACTCTTTACTAAGGCCAGTTTACGTTATCGATCGACTCAGTTAATAAAACTAAATTACCCAATCATAAATAATTTCAGTGAAAATTTGCTTTTTCTCCTTAGCATCTTTTTTCATTGGCGTTGTAAGATACTGTACCTCGTTTCAATGGTCTAATGTTGTCTTTACACGTTTACCACAGGTACTTGTACATTTGATAACAATTTCTGTGAATGGACGAATGTGTTTGACGATGACGGAGAATGGCATCTTGCTAATAATGACACCCCTTCAGAAGGAACAGGGCCTAAATACGATAGCGATGGAAATGGTAAAAAATTGCTCGTTCCTCATTTACATATAAAAAAAAAATAAATTGCATTTTACCTGTGGATAAAAAGTCAAGAGTTGATTCTCACAACTGAACTGCAATGGAAGCAATTGCATTCTCTCAGACAAATTTCTTCCTGACCATTGGGGAAACAACTGCAAATAGAAGCCTTCTTCCTTTGGGTTTTGTACCAGTGACTGAATTTTTAATCATGAATAAAGCACTGTTATATTATTGTTTTCTAAAATAAAAAACTTTGCCCTGAACTTAAATTGCAATAAAAAAATTTTAAAAATTAGGATCCATGTAAAAATTGCAGGAAACTATAACAATCATCTTAACTATTTCAATCTCTGAGGCGTCCAAAATGGAAGTTCTCCTTACAATATTAATACATTTTTGAGCAGAAAGGTGGGTTGAAGATTGGACTACATCTAAAGGGGTATTTCTCAAACTTTTGGTTTTCAGAGCTCAAATTATATAAAGTGCATGGCAGACCTTTCGGAGAATTGATAAGTAGATCTGAGAGTGAAAGTATCTTAACCCTTTCGTTCCAAAGATCTCATCAGTAATTCTCTCTCTACTGTCTGCCATACAATTTTTATGACTTTAGTTCGGAGAATTTAGTAATGGATCAACTAATTATGCCCTAAATTATATTTTCTTTATCCTCATCACTTGTGTACTTGATATTGTGAGGAGAAATTTTTTTCTTGGTCATTCATAGGAGTTAAAGGGTTAAGTGACTGATTCAAAAGTAAAGAGGTTCAGTTAATTTTTATATCTCTCTTACTTAGAATATTACATCCACATGGAAGCCTCGAATCTGCTTAAAGGGCAAAGGATCCGTCTGGAGAGTCAAGAATTTTTTTCTCCAATGTGCTTGAAATTCCACTACCATATGTACGGCAAAGACATTAATGAGCTGCGACTGGAGCATCGAAATCTTAAAGATAATTCAACTAAAGTCATCTGGTCCATAACAGGACAACAGGAAAACTTTTGGCACCTTGCTTCACAAAATTTCAGCGGGGAACATTACACGGTAATTTAACAGAGGATGCTTTATTACTCGAATCTAACGTAAAAACCAAATTATTGTGGAGCACCTTGAGGGCTGAAGGCAAAAGATAGCCTTGCAACCAAGGTAACGTTTTCTTTTTTGTCTGTTTTGTTAAAACTGCGAATCCAGATAGCATTTACTGGTTCAAAACAATCCATGCGAACCGTGACAGACGTTCATCGTTCATTTCATACCGGCACGAGAAAACAAATAATCGGAATTGGAAAAAGAAAACAGAAAAAACTACTAAAACAACAAACAAATGAAGCCAAGGAATATGTGCGCTTCTCTCCAGATTATAAACGTATGGAAAACATATTTTTAAAGACTAAAACGTCGACCTAAATACGAACGGTGATGCGGGGAGATCTGATAAAGTTGCGCAATCCTTATAGCAAAGCCTATTTAAATGGCTGCAACTCTTTTTATTTAGGTGTCTTTTGTTGGTATTCGGGGTGATTCATATCTTGGCGACATTTCAATTGATGAGATTAGTGTTGGCGAGCTTGAGGAATGCCATTCGGTAATCGACCCTAGTGGGGATCATCCAAGAATGAACCCAAGAGAAGGTGAGTACATACTGGAACTGTATGCTGTTTCATGATTTGTCATGGAAGATAATTCATTTGAACTGACCTTAGTGGAAAGTCTTGCAAGTTTTTCGTGCTTTAAGTCTGTTACTGACTATAATGTTATCATTAATTGATTACTACAATTTGATAATTTTTGTTTTCTCTTAACCTAAGGAAATTGTGACTTCGAGGGTGGTTTCTGCAAATGGATGAACATGAAGGAAGACACATTTGATTGGACGAGCCAGACGGGTAGAACTCCATCTTCTCGGACCGGCCCATCTCGAGATCATACATCAGGTAAAGTAAACTATAAGATTACCTTTCTATTTATGACTAAGATGAGTAATAATTCTATTTCTTTGTTTATCCTTTCCCGTTATCTTTACCGTCACCATCAACTCGTCGCCCTCGTCTTTACCGCCAGACACTATAATTACCTCTTCTCTTCAACATCAGACTCGTTCTTGAATGAAGGAAGACCTTCACGGGCCTTATTTTCTTTGAGTCATTGGCTATTTCTTCTCTTTGCCATGTCCTTCTCGGTTCTAAATTTTCGAAACTGAAACGTCTCTCTAGCGCCACAGCCTTTATTCTACATCTAGGTTAGCCTTAGGAACGTTTCTGAACCATCTTGACCTGTTTGAACCCTCTGTGAAAGTCTCTATGATGGATTTTACAGCGGAGTATTTCCATTTCATTTTGAGGCAAAAGACATTCTCCAAAGGAAAATTTGACTGTTAAGAGCGTAGAGATTTCGGCTTAAGGTAGCTCTAAATTCTAAAGAAAAATTATGCAACCAGAGAACATCTTTTTACACCAAAGTCTGGATTATGATACTGGTTGCTCAATTTCGTTTTCCATGGAAAACAGTAACTCGCGAGCCAGATACTTGCAATCTTCTTCCACACTTAAGTCTGAAATACTATAATTTGTAGGCAGAGGTGGAAAAGGAAAGTACATCTATATTGAGACATCCAGTCCCAGGAAGGCGAAAGATAAAGCCATGCTTCTTCTCAAACTTGAGGGTCGATCTTTCTGTATGCGTTTCTGGTACCACATGTATGGTGCAACTATTGGTTCGCTGGAAGTTATGCGGATTGTCAAGCAAGAAAAGGACGATCAAAAGCCAAGTGCAAAGGATTTTAACGAGAAAGAGCACAGAGAGTGGATCGCCAATCAAAAGAATACTTTGTCTAGAGATAAGTGGATGCAAGCGGAAGTTGACCTCGTTGTGCGACGATCCGTGCGCAAGGGAACAACCGTTAATTGGGTAAGTTGCGTTCATGGTGAGCTAAGTGAGAATCAAAATGCGCTTCTTCCATGAGTTAACTTAATTTGTGAGTTCTGCTTTGAGGAACTAAAATTTTTTTTCACCTGGTGGAAGGGGGGAAGGTGAGGGGGGGGGGCGCAAGATCGGGGGAATCTGGTAGTCTTAAGGTTTCATTTTCCTGATTCCCCCCCTCCCCCTTCCATAAATGATGGTAATAGAACCGAATGGAGTCCAATTTGGTCTGAAATCGTACGAGTGATCAACAAAATCGGACGACCGCGAAGGGGGGGGGGCGCAAGATCGGGGGAATCTGGTAGTGTTACGTTGAAATTTACCTGATTTCCCACCCCCCCTTTCCATAAATAATGGTAAAAGAACCGAGTGGAGTCCAATTTGGTCTGTAATCATACGATCCGATTTGTTTATCACGAGTATAATTACCGACAGAATTGGACGACAAGAAATCCAGTTTACAATTAATCATAACCATTTCAATTTCCGAATAACCATATACACCTATAACAAATATCTCCAGTGTAGACAATGTCTTTAGCTAAATATTCCTGCATTTTTGAAATTTCCTTGTTTTTCTTTGGATAAGTGGTTGTTGCCATGGTTATTGTGATCAATTCTGTGATTGGTGGATTTAGCTGAGTGAACTTAGTATGATTGGCTGTTTCAACTGTCCGATTACAGGTGTCCGATTACAGCCAACTGTCCGATTACACTGTCCAATTACAACTGTACAGAATGATAAGTAAAAAATGAAGCAGCTGATGCACCAATCACATTTGAAGAAATTGTAATGGCTATGATTAGGCTTTATAAAATAAGATAAGATAAGCTGGAAACCACTCCGCTTCGCGTCGTGGTTTCCTACGCTTATCTTGTGTTCTCCCAACCTCCCGCGTGTTTACATCAGGCTATGTAAACACGGAAACCATTTTACATTTCTTCACTGTAATACTCTTATAAGCCCCTCATTGGCAGTTAATTAGCTTTAATCCCCTCTATATACTCCTTTTTCGACGACTGATCCCAAAAACGCACTTCAAGAGAGGAGTAACACCTTCCTTTGCCCAGTTACGTCAGGTGTTCCTTGTCGGTCCTTAAGCCTGAAAAAATACGCAATAACGTTTCGTCTCTTCTCAAAACCAGATCGCAATTGTGGGAACAGTTGGTAGTTCATACACTGGAGACATCGCAGTTGATGACATTCAATTCTCAGGAGAACGTTGCTCTGAACGAAAAGAAGCAATACAGTGAAACTGACAACGCGAGTGTGGTTTATTGCGGTTTTTTCGAGGTAAAAAACATGAAAACTTTATCACTTAAACGAAATATGCATACTCTGAGGATTTTTTAATTTCGCTCTTCTTTTTTATTAACCTCGATTTTATTTCATATTGCGTTTCAGGAAATCGTCGTTTATCAAAGGAAGTGAGAATGACATTTAATCGTAAACTAAACCCTATATTTTACATTGTAGTTGAAGGCGAATTTATAGATGTGCAACGAACTTTGGTTCACTTATGATCGCCAAGCTATAGAAGAAAATAAAAAAATCGCATATGTCATTTTTGCATTGCCTATCTAAACGAATTCCTTGTATCAGATATTCTCTAAAAATCAATATTTCATGTTTACCTTGAAAATCCAAATAGCTCACTACAAATGCATTTCAAAGTTTCTTGTACACATCTCCATCTCATGGCCAGGATTATACCTGTCCAGTTACATCAAAAAGGGTGTCAAACAGTCATGCGATGACATCCTTACTCAATATTTCTCTAAGACTCGGACGCGTAGGATCTGAAATTAAACTGTGGAATAAAAGTAGTCTGGTTTAAAGAAATGACAAAAAAAAAACCGAGGAATTACAGAAAAAGTTCACCAGCAGATCGATCGATTACAGATCAAATCTCGTCGGCATGTTTAAAAAACTTCTTTTGTATCCAAATAAGGATATCATATCCTATTCCGAGCCGTACAAAAATCGTTTAGGGAAATCTTACGCGTTTTCAATTTTTCCTTCCTTTATCCTTTACAATTTACGTCGAATTCTTTTTGAAAGGAACAAAGAGGCACGATTTAGATCGAGTCACACACTTTTGGGGAGCTTACGTGTATCACAAATAGGGTGTAATCTTTTGTATATAGGTGCTTAGTAAGTGCATGAAAGACCATAAAGTTGCTTGTGAGAAAACACATGGTTTGTTTGCGCCTCTTTATTTGAATGAGTGAGATTTCAACCACACACTTTCTTGATTAATATTGATAATCCTTATGTACCTCTGATAAGACAAGCTCATAAGAATTCAAAGTACCATTGTTCGGAGTCTTCATTAGAAAACATTACGTGTGTGATTGTACTTAAAGGGAGCCCATTAAGTGACGGACAAAATTGGAAACAATGAACGCTCGTGATAATTTGGTTAAGTACGGAATTCAAAGGAATCCTTTTAGGTTGAAAATGTTAAACTTTGAGGGCATATAAAGGAGTCATTAGCAAACAAATAGCTGGCTCCGCAGCTACAACGAAACAAAAACAAACAAAGTATAGTACAATTTTGGGGTTTGAGTCGTACTGCACATGTGTTTCGTGTTGTTCTGTGTTGTAATAAAAACACCCAACAAGCCATGTTGGAGGCAATTCTATTTAGCAGTAAAATCATTGCTTCTTTAGTTAAGTATATGTCCAAATGAGGAAAGCTGTCAACAAATAACATATCGTAACAACATGTAAATACATATACATACATCTGACAGGGTTACACACCAGGAGAAAATGATCCATTCCATGAGCTGAATTTGGTTAAGTCAACAATCGGACCAAGTGACTCATCCAGCCGCACTTGATCCCAAATTCTGGGCCTCGAAGAGATTGAGGGCATTTCTATTCCACCTGAGTGCGATGCTAGCCCATAGTCACTTACCCCTAGCATTTTGCCATGAAAGTCCGACAGCAGTTTTGCTGTATATAATATTTAAAATAATCATCATCAATGTTCACCTATCTAAGGATATGTTTTATACAACGGAAAACTTGATGTAGGCAAAACAGACAAATGATCACCACATTGACTATCGTGGTTTTGGTCTCCCGTACTCTCTCCCGTCCCATCCCTCCTCTTTGTTGGTGTTGATACATTTGATTGCCCTTTTCCCTCTTCATAAGCAATACTACACATATTAACGACAATTCTTTACAATTGTCTTTACAATTTATCGAATATACAGAGCTAAAGAACGGTACACGTTGAATCCCTTTTGGCAAGATAACCTTGGTAACTCTTAACTATAAGTTTATTTGTTTCGCCTTTAAGAAGATAGCTCAGTATATGCTTTCAATAGCCAGCATATTCCGTAATACAAAATGAAAAGCAATCAAACTTGGATTGTTTTTGAAGATTGAATCTAAAGAAATTGGAGAAAAAAAAATATTGTGCCATTTGCAACAATTACGAGAGTAAGAAATTCATATCTGTCATTTTTTCCTTCCAATTACTATCTTATCTATTGATTCAACTGCCTTCAGTCAAACAGTATATCAGTTTATTTTTTTCAGTGCCACTTTTACTTCCTCCATAACACGGAAACAATAATTCTTGGTTTACAGAATTAATATCATGAAGGCCTAAATTTCTTTTCACCAAATCTCGATATTTATCGCAAAGGCTATGGAATTATTTTAGTCTGATTAATTTCCTCGATTATCAAGCAATATCTTTTAATTTTAAGATACGTTTATTTTAATGAGATCGCAAAGGATAAAAAATGGTGGTGTAACTGTCATATATCATTCTCATTTTCGAAAACCTTTTGAAATCCAAGTTTCTTAAATATAAAGGCAGACGAGAATTGTATCCGTTAAGTTCCAACCAAACAGTGTGTTTTTCCCTTCTGTTAATTTAGCTCGAGAAAAGAATGAACTCATCCGGGATTTGTGAAGCATTCAGTTTTTTTTCTGTTTACAATACGAAATGAAGCCTCCCGCACTAACTTATGAAACATTCGCTAACATTGATTGCGTGGCAAAGCTTAGCGGAAGCGACCAAGATCCATTTTTTCCGGTAAAGTAATTAAAACTAGTAATATTTCATTTGTCGCTTTTAACGCTCAAAGTTTATAAATAACTTGCGTTATTACAATCACACGTTTGAGACGCTATATAACTAGCCTACAGCTTGCGAAAAAGGGTAAATTAATACGTCTTCGCTCTATCTCACTCCTGGCCTCTTGAAAGGTAAGTGTAAAAGCAAGTTTGTTTGAAGTGTACGAACGGAGAGTTGATATGCGTAGTCTTTATGAAGCGAGTTAACTTTCACATAAACAAGCTTTTAGAAGTGTGCTTTAACCAACGATAGAATCAGTTAGTTCAGCTAAGAAGTGTTTTATCGCAGCGTTATTAATTTAATTCACAATGGGATTTGATGGTCAGAATGAAATAACGAAAATCTTTAAATTTTTCATAAAATAACTGTCTGGGGCTATAGGCAACAAAGATGAGGTGAAAAAATGATTAATAACAGCTCAAATTGGAGGATAATGAAAAAATAATAAAAAAAGAAGAAGAAAAGAAAAATTACAAGTTATTTTACTTGGTCATAATCTATATCCAATTATCTTTCTTAAGGTCTTGATATTATCGTGACATTTTATTTTGCATATTACGTATCAGGCAAAAATATATTGTACTAAGGTTGTATAACGAAAAGCTCAAAGAAAGTAAAGAGCTTAATTTTTTTACTGAATAATGCTCCTTTGAAAAATTTTCAAATTTCTCTTCTTACACCATAATCCTATGGCTGTAATATGCCAGTCATAATATTAATGATTGACAAATTGCAGCAAGGTACACTGCTATGACGCGATAAGACGTATTTGTTTCATAAAATTGGCTATCACTTCTTGGACGAAGTGTAAATTTGGTATAAGCCTTGGAGAGTCATCTGAATCCTGGAGAACCTTTTTTTATGCTATTTTGATTCATACTATTAATATGAGCCACGCAGGATAAGCTATTACACAGTTCGATATTTGTTTTCTTTGCCAAAATAGATGTTGCAAGAACTTCGATTGACAGTTCTTCCCTGTGTGAAAATATATAGTTGTTCATGTGATGATATCTCAGAATCACCGAAACCTGAGAAGGAGCCGGAAAATTGTGTGCTGTTAACTATATATGTAATTTAGCTCAGCTAAAAGACAAAACAGCGGAAGTTTTAGGACTAAGTTTACGCAGAGAAAAATTTTAAATTACCATTAAAACGTATCCAAAACCATATGGCGTCCTGTTTACATTTTGGTTGTCTGGAGCTGAACTTTTTCATAAATCCATCTTTTCCCGTAAAACAAAGACAAGTAAACGAACGAGTCAAGGATTATTTCTCCATTGCTTATATTGAATTTCTACTAAACGCCGCGATTTTCAACGATGTATACCGTTTCACGATGTCAATTTGATCCAGGAACTAGTACAACTGATTCATATCAGTGGTCCTTTGCCAATGAATGTAATTGCTTAGAATATATGTGAAATTTGTGGTGAAAATTTGTTTGAATATTGTGGGAAATTTCTTTTCCACAATTCATTAATTTCTTCGAATATATGTGATGATGAAATGCAAATGACTTTTTTCAAGTGTATCTCTAAAAAACTGAGTGAGCCATCTAACGACAGCGAGGTAGAACTGCGTGAATACACTCCTCTCTTTGCTAGTTTATCATTATACTTTTAATCGTTATACAGTAAGGTACATACCGGCTCTGTGATAGGTGAGAGTCAATGATATATCAAAGATCATTCGGAGCGCGGCACGGCTCACGTCGCACAAAAGTTGTTTTCCTTGCTTTGTCCAACATGGTGAACAGTTTTTAATTGTTTATAATACTTTCGCAGATTTAAGGCTTGATGTGAGAAAATCAGTGACACCACATCTTGATAATAACGTATGACAATTTAGAGACAGTCGGCTAAATGAAATTTTCATGTTCATAATATAAAGTCCCCCAGCCTCTCTTTTAATAACCACGTCGAAAACGATAGGCCCATAGAGGCCACTTAGAAAATCTTTAAGTCAACGATAGCTTTCATCGGCATAAGAAGTGATCATCTGTACAAATTAATTTACTTCTCCGCCTAATTTCGTTAATTCATAACTGCTCGATCCCCATTTCAATTTTAGGCAGGCCCTAAAGCAATTTTAAGACAGGTATAACCTGATCCAAGAACTTTGAGTGATATGAAAAATCTTAATGAAATAAAATCAAATGCATAGTATGTCCCACTTATACTAGGAAATGTCACGTCGTGAGGCATTAAGAATGCACAATCAGAATGTTATTAAAGAAAAAATTTTGGTGGAAAAAAACCGTTAAAAACACAAAACTATTGTGCTTTGTTCTTTGTTCGAATCAAAACAAAATCCTCAAACTAAAATATTGTGAAAACACGAGCTCGGCAATTTGTGCTTTTTTTTGATACTCGGTGTTATTAAAAACGGACGTTTGAGCGCTGAAGCGAACTTCGCTCAGAAAAAAATTATTTTGCAATATTTGAAAAAACCGAGGCGGTTTCGATTACTTTTAGACAAGGATAGATTCCTGGGATCATCGATTTTTCGACCCGAAACGCACCGGATCGCTCTGAGAGAGACAGCGTCTGGATACACTGGATAGCGATGAACCCGTTCGATAGATAGCGCTATCGGCCCTCTGAACAACTGGATCCTGGTAGACAATACTGCATTATACAGATGAAAACAAAAACAATGTCACGGAAACGGATGACTTACACCCACACAAAGACCAAACATTTGTTTCAAGCCTTTCTGTTCACTGAGCGATGATCATTTAATAGCCACCCCCAAGGATGCTCCATAGTAAATTCTAGTTTTTTCCATGATTACGTTTCCTGTGAGACTGACCGAGACAGAAATTGGAATTTCGGCAATGATATCATTTAGTCATCATTTTAACCGGTTGTGACTTTGTAAACAGTCACCTCGCGACCTGCAATTTCAATTTTGTTTTTGTTTTTTGTGGGACATTGACTAGTTTTGCAGTTTAAAATTTCCCAACTTCGGTATCTCAAAAATACCATGACTCCATAACAAAACATTAAAGGAGCACACAGGACTATGAAATCTTATTGGCTAACATCTGATCATAAGATGTATGAGATGTTGCATGATCTTACGTACGTGTAGTTCTAAAATGCGGAAACACCTGGGTGACAGGCCTGCGCGCAAAAAAAGGTATGTGACTGCATAGGGAAGGCTTATCATGAACGGGGTGACGTTCGAGTGGGTCGTAGTTGAATTACTTGCGTCCCTGTTTCTGTTGTACAACTCAGTGAACTTTTAACCTCTCTGATAAACATCATAATGAAGAGTGTGCGTGTCATCATCTCACGCCCACAAATCAATATGTTAACAGCAGCGACAAAGAACTGAGGTTGTATTAAAAATACCGCTAGTTTCTTATTTTATTCGAGTAACTTCGAAAGTCGATCTGACCTATCATAAGAAACTCTATCGATTAAGAACCGACTGGCTCGACCTATGGCGGTCATTAAGCTCTTTATAGCTTACTATGGTATGTAAGCCTTAAAATAAATTTGATCGTGCCGTAAGCAACCAAGAAGGGTCAAGGGCACTCTGTGATCATTCGATCTTCTTAGGACCAAAAAAAACATTATGTTTGAAAATAATTCTCTCTGTGATACTGATATTGACAAAAGGGCTGTTCTCACTTGCGAAGAGAATGCCGCATTTTAAAATTTAGGTTGCCATTTATTCAGAACTTGATGATTATTAAAGATACTTAAAGTGGCGACTGTACCATAGACCAATATTAGAAGCTCCAAAACAAACTTGCGTAAATCAATTTTTAAAAGGATTTCGAAAAACAACTTTCATAATAGGTTAGGAAATGACAAACTCTAAATAACAATCTCTGATATTTTGGATTGTCACTTTCCCTTATTTTTATGGATGTTTGGTAATAATTTGCGGTTTGGTCAAGAGGATATGGAGTATTATAAACGCTTGTTGTCCACATTCAGTTGAAGAGATTATATAATCATTTGCATTAGAGGTGGAGGATGAGGGAACCTCGTCCAAGTTAATAAATTCGATTCCAGCCAGACTTATGCTGTCTAGCTGCGTCACAAATTTTAAGAACACTTCAGCTGACACTTGAAAAAGTTAACATGTAACAATGACCAAGCACGAAATTTCATCCTTTTACCAAAGTCAATATTAAAATATTAGATCGTGGTGCATGTTACAGCAAAGGTACAACGTGCTATTTCGAACAAAAATATTTTCCTTTACAAATGTGGTTTATTTTACTAGGATTTCATGTTTTATTCGTCTTATAAATGGCAAACTAGACTACAACTAAATGTAAATGCAAATAATTTATTTATTGATAGGTATTCACTAGAAGTATTAACTTCGATTCGTGTATCAGGAAAATTAAACTACACAAATGCAAAGACGTTGGCAGGTTACATTAACTAAATTGAGAACACCACTAGACTTGCACGTCTAATTGATATAGGTCCAAGCCCGAAAGGTAAATTTAAATTGGTTTCCTGCTTTTTATTCTTGCTATGTCATAGAAATAATTTTGAATTATTCTTACGAACAAAGCTTCATCATAGCCGCATGTTGAGTTTCCCAGGCTTATATTGACGAATCACCTTTTCAAAAATGAAACTATATCGTTATAATTGACCTGCCTGATGATCGATTTCACAAGGGATGGTGAAATGCGTATCACTTTTAATTGATTTGAGGGTTGCCAAAGTTTTCTAAATGCCTTCTTCCCTCTCCTTTTCACACTTTTATGAAATTTTTCTCTCATTTTTTCTTCTTAAACTTGGTAAGATATCACCGAAAGGTACTCACTCATCGCTGGTCAAATTTGCATTAAACTATTGGAAGAAAGTAAAAACATCATAACAAACTCACATTGAAAATATTGGTCATTGTAACCTAATAATGCTGCCTTTACAAAACTCGCTTCCTTTGAGACACTCTTGAGTCTATTTTTGGCCTCATTTCATTGTTTTGACTTTTTTTGACGCACTTTCCGATCATGTTTCCTTTCGCCTCAAACTTGCGGTTTCGTGCGCATTCAGTTTTCTAGTGTTAACCGGGGGAAGGAATTGTTCTTTTGACTGACAGCAAGATTTAGATTAAGAGAACAAAGGAGCTTAGTTAAAATGAAATATAATGAGCCACTGCTTCTATCGTAAGTTCTATTTGATGTGTGCTTCATACTCATTTCGTCTCTGAATTTTTCTGTTCTCGTGGTGGATGTTTGCAGTTTTCTACATCATCGTTCATCCAAATCATGGCAAGGAAAATGATAGTAATTGTCTGCCTCCTTTTGGCTTTTTCAATCGAAGAACTGATGGCGAGGAATATGTTTAGAGATTACAGGGAAATGGTAAGTACTGCAAACGCTAGAACATTTTTGGTAACCGTCTCGAGTTTATTCCGTGGAAGCTTTAGTCACAAAGATTTAAGCAAAAAAATTCGAGGCTCATTTCTTTGTTAAAAATTGCGGTTCTTTCTTTCTGAAATGAAACATTTTAACTTTGCGAATGTAAACGATGGGACGGAAAACATAATACCAAACATTAATTATTCGGAAAATTAGGCGAAAGATTTTCTCAGCAGCTAAAGAATGAATTTATTGGACTTGTAAATTTTTATAACCGGGTCGAGCTAATAAAGGGAACAACTACAAACTGCGAAGTAGTCAAAAATAGTACAGACAACTTAAAATCAGGAACTAAAAGTAAGTGTTAGCTGCATGAACGATACTCACTGGACTAGACTTAGACTTATAGGTGACTGGATCCCAGCAAGTCTTCTTACAGCTCAAACAAACTACTTCGGGAATAGAACAGGCATTAGGGCTGATGCTTCTGCCTTTAGGCAATTTCCGCACAAAAGCACCAAGCTTAGCATGTTCGAAGGATTGATGGCGTTTTTCATCAGATTAGAGCATTACGTTTTGTTAACGCTAATCCGCTGGATAACGATTATGCGTAGGATCGTTGGATCTTTCTCGAATCATTAAATTTTCTGTTTCATCCTGTGAAACACCCGTTTTATGCGTGTTTTTCTTCAAGTTTCGCCCTTTCCGCGTGTCCTGTTTGGCCTTCATTGTGTTTCATCGCCAATTCTAGTTGTTAAAACATTTCCTCCTAGCTTTAAACTTTTCTCATTTTCAATTGCGAACGAGAAACATGTGGTTTTCTGCAAAATAAGTTTTTATCACAGACTTACAAACTTCAAACGCACTGTCGTCTCTGCTCGAAGCGAGACAAAATACAATGCATTCAAAATGAGTTGTGGCTAAGGTAAGTATCGGCTAGGATATTGCCAAAATACTTAGAAGCACGTGTAATCGAACGGATCTTGTGGCTGAGACGAAAAAACAGTTCCGACTTTCTCAAGAACAAAAAACATTTCGACATTTCACCGGTATGCAGTGCGAAGAGCTAATGTTGAGTTAGGAATTCTCCAAATGTTTTAAATAATTGCTCTGCCAGTTTCATATTTTCACATACCCTGAGGTTTCGCACTTCTACGCTACATTTTCAATAGTCATATCAGTGTTTTCTCTTTAACTGGCAGAGCAGTGATAGCCACCATGGAATCTTTACAAACTTCACTCAAATCAATTCTTCCTTCTCTATGTTTCAGCGCAAGTTTGCCAAGCGAGCTTCTGGATGTGACTTGCTGGGAGTGCCTTGTGCGCTCTGTGATTCGGGTGATCTGTGTGAGGGCGAACAGCTGGCCTGCTATGATAACGTGTGTGGCAAGGCTATTTCTAATCCATACAAAAGGAAACGAAGTGTTCCACTTACTAGGGACGTCGAGCAAACTGGTTACCTTACTCAGTAACCTGGCCAAACAGAGGACCTTAACTGTAACGTCACTCAAACAGTATCTGCGTACGTATTCGGGCCTGAATATTAAGCAAACTGATAAAACCGATAATTCATAGTAAGCGCTATTTATACATTTTGTATTTATGATAAAGGTATGCAAATGTACGTCTCAAATTTCTTAGTATCAGTAAAGAAATAAAGGAAAGTAAAGTCCTCTCAAAGTTAGTATGTCTACTATTTCCGATAGACCAGAGAATACCTTCATAAGGACTTCCTCAAGTATGACGCCCAAAAAAATAACATGCAGCGTCAATTTGGTTTTATTCCAGTTAAGTGCTTATTTAAACAATAGGACACACCCACCATTGGTTTCCGGCGTAACAGACCACGCAAAATGTTACAAGAACGCGAGGGGAGGTTTCAATGGCCACTGAACTGAATAGCGTGTTTGCTCATATCTTTATCAGTGGTCATGCATATAAAACGTGAAGCAATTTCCATAACTTCTGGACAATTCTCACTTCTGAAAATATTTCTGATCAAAGGGACAAAAAAAAACAATTCTAAAGCTCGTCGCGTGGCCGGTTCTTTCTGATTTTCCCCTTAAAAAGTCTTTGAAAAGATCTACACTTCCATTTTGCACTGTTGATTTGTTCGGGCAGTAGAGCCACGTCATAAACTTGCATGCATGATATACGACCACGAAAGTTAAGTTCATCCCCAATACTCACTCCCACTCTTACAGAATAATTATTGTCTAACGTAATATCGCCAATAAATCTGACATCCTCTAGTTTTCCATTCATCCATAAACTTGTCCGTCCAGTATTCTGACGTTAAATTGCATCGACGAAATTCTACTTGTTTGGTTTGTTGTGCGAGCTTTCTATAACGAGTAATTTATATGCTCCTTTTTTCCCACGAGCAACAAAACAGATAAAAAGTTTCCCAGGTCCAATCATTCAGAAGGCCACGCCCCATCCATCAGTTCTGTAGCCCAATATTAGTCCTAGATGAATTGGTAAAATCCACACCAGTAAAGAGAAGGAAGTATTTGTCTCCAATTTTCCGTCGTTTGGGAACTTGATGTAGCTGTTCGGAGTTCCCAACAACGAGAGAGAATTTTCGCTCTTCTTAAAAGGTCCAGGGGCAGGGACAACATTGTTAAGTATTCCAGGTATATTTCCACCAATCACATCTCTCGCTTGATATTTGGCGCTGAGTGGATAAAGAGCAATCGGCTCAGGAAAAGCTGAACGGTTGGAGAAAGGGCATTTATTTCGACACTATAACAGAACCTCCCTTATCCGTTTTGCCTCTAAAACTTGTTCCTAAGTGACCACAGCAAGAAAGGAACATGTGGATTTGCAGTATTTCAGCAATTACTGACATTATTAATAATATTTTTGAGAAGTTATTGAATTGTGCCAGTTGGGTCTCTCCACATCGATCTTTCCTGGGAAGCACGGGATTCTAGAATAGTTTTTTTACTGTAATTGTCTTTACCCAATGTGGTAAGTAGGCTCCACGGTAGTATAGCGGTGAGTGTCTCTGTCACGCGGGAAATCGGGTTCGATTCCCCGCCGGGGAGAAGTAAAAAGCAAACCTTTTCTGAAATTTATACATACATTTTGATTCGAATGATAGTGTTGATTGAGCACAGTAACAACATGGACCCACAGATAGTCAGAAATACTCTGAGATAATTTATATTCACATAATATCATATAAGAGCCAAAACATTTTGAATAACGACCACCCCGTACATTCAAATCCTGGTATATTACAATTTAAACTTATTTAAAACCGCCACAGTTGCTAAACCTAGTAGAGGAAGAGGCAAAAATATGTTTTATAACACCGATTACTCTGGTCACAACTGCCCTAAACGAAAAGGAGAAGAAAAGTGAGCCCGTGACCCATAGATTTTAAGTCTGATGCTTTGCCGACTGAGCTGACCAGGCTCACAGACACAAATGCCGGAATGACCGGTACCAATTCCATTCTTTTTCAATTTTCCGAAAGTTTGCTGGAAGCTATAGTTGTTTAACCACCGGAAACTCTGCCTTCAAAAACCTGTAAAACGCTGAGTATGCCCTTGACCTTAGATAAAGAACCCATGTGACCAGTTTCAAACCTCAGTAAATAATTAACATTATAGATTCAAAACAATGCAGGCTCGGACAATAACCTGTTCTAATGGCAAGTTAGTTACACATAACATGCCGGATTTGAATAGGTACAAGCCTGATAAGGACACGAGTTATGATGAAATTTGAATTAAAATTCTTTTATCATCAAATCGACACGCGTCATGGAAAGAAATGGTGTAATTACAAGAAAGAATCTTGTAAACATGGGCTACTTTTCTTTTCATTTCGAACTAATCATCCACAAACTTCATAAAATTTTTAACTCAGATCCCCTACTCCCCTTGTAAAGAATGGTAAATGAGTGTACCCTGCAGTTAGCCTTTATATAATTTTATTGGGTGAATATGAGAGCAATCTTCGCACTTATGGATATTACTTCAGCAGCGGTGGAAATAAGGCCTGAATTTTTTTCAGGCCTTATTTGCTAAAGTGGTGTTCATTACTGCGAAGATCACTCTCACATTCACTTCTTTATCCACAGTAAACATAGATTACTTTTGTATATTCACAGTCATGATTTTTTATTAGTTAGCTAAAAAACCATTCTAACTGTGGCCCGGCTTTTGTTAGTGGCAAGGAAAGCTGTAAGAAAATAATACTAGCAAGATTCAAAACAACAGGAATCAAAAAATAACTTGTCAAATGCTTCAAACTTAGACCCCCAATGAATGAACTGGCTTTCCATAACAGTAACACCTATGTTGCCGGTTATCATATTTGTGCTTCATAAACGTTGAGTTATACCTGCAGTGTCAACTCTAGACGTAAATTGTTGGTCAGTAATTTTTTTTTTAGGCAAAACTGTTGAATTCTGAATAAACTAACATAAGTCAGAACCGATCGGGGTCAGTAGGAAAAGGTCAAAGCCAAAGAAAAAGTGTTTTTTTTTTTTTTTTTTTTTTTACTTTATTTTGAAATAGTCTCCACAATCACGAGCTAATAGTATCAAACACTTCAACAATTGTTCCAAATTGTTTTTCTCGTTTAGCATTTCGATCTTGTGAACATGGCTGGAGGGTGTGAATGGGGTTAACCGACTAGCGACAAAGGGCGTAAAAAATTACTGATTACCGACGAAACGGGGAAAAAATTACCGACTAGCGACAAATAAATTCTAACCGACAACCGACATGGTCAGACGTGATAGGGATGTTTGTATTCAGAAAGAACAGCATTTTGATGATTTCTAGCTCAGAAAATCCTTCTTCACTCGACGTAACCACATTAATTCCAAATTTAGCCGAATTATAGAATTTCTTGTCTTCAAATTACTTTAAATCCACGGGATCCTTCTTTTCGGTGAGCAGCGTGGGCTCATTTCTAGAACAGCGGCTCGTAATCGGGCTGACAAGACGCCCTGCTGTCTCATTTCAAGAACAGCGGATCACAATCGAGCCGACGAGACGCCCTGCTGTTGTCTTTTTATTGCTCGTTGTTTGTTCATGCGGTTGGGTCATGACTGGGATTGCTAAAGTCATCGTGAGTTTTTTTCGAAAAGGTGAAGAAATCGCCATCGAACGTCATCAAAGCAGGGTCCCAGTAGACAAAGAAGCTCATAGAGGAGTATCTGAACTAAAAAAACATCTTACGGAGTTTTTAGGACTAAAGGAGCAGGCACATCAATATGGAATTGGCGGATTTTCGTTAAAGTTATTTCGCCTGGCGAAATCGCCTGCGGGCAAATGTGAAAATTTTGCAATTGTGACGGATGGGCAATGGCAGCTTGAACTTCCAAATTTAATATCGGATGAAAGTAGCAGTGAGCTCAACGGTAAGTGTAGAAGGCGTGCAGCGGAGTTTGATGAATCACTTTAGTTTTGTAGTTAAATATTAAGCTCAAATACGTGGTTAAACTCTGGTTCCACCGTTTTTTGTTTGTTGTTTTGTGGAGCGGAATGTTTTTTTTTTCTTTTTCACCGTCCATTTGAATGCGAAAATTGAGAAGAAAAATCTCTACAAAGAAGTAGCGAGTAAATCAGTTTATAAGCTTCTTTCTGATTAATTGGTGAATGAACAACAGTGTAGCTTAACATATTAAAGACCCCGTTTATTTATACACGCCCTTAAATTTATTCGTTTCTGAAAACCAGACGTTCAAATAATATTCAATTCTCTCCTCGAGGGAAGCTACGCACGAGAGATTTCGCTCGATGTGCACGTTTTATACATCTTGACGAGCATTTTCTGATAAGAACTGTGTAAGTTTCTCAAAAGCCTACTAAAGAGAAAACTTAAAACACACGGTATTTAATATTTTAGTACACATTATCCAAGAGGTCACAAACTGGACCGGAAAGCCAGTAGTGTTGCTGAAGGCGCCGGCTACATCTGATAAAAGCAAGCAGAAGTCAATGAACGACACTGAGAAGAAAGGTGACGAGTCAAAAGTGAGAAGGAAACGGAAATCACGAGAAGAAGCAAAAGAAGATGAAAATCTGGCAAAGAGGATTATGACTGAAGGAGGTGACATCGAGAGAAACGAAAGGCAACAAGGATGTTACTGAGGTGTTTGAGGATCACAGAGAAGTACAAATCGATGAGTATGAGACAGATTCGGATGACAAGGAATCAGATTTTGAAGAACATCGAGAGGTTGTCAACAGAGCGTGCGTTACCCGATCCGGCAGGGCTGTTCGTGCATTTGTGCGTCTCGACATGTACGTAAGAGGTACTAACAGTTAAAAAATCCATTTAACGGTGCAGATTGATACGTATGACAACCAAATTTTTGGCAAAAAAAAAGAGAAAAAAAAGAAACCTCGCAGAAAAGCCACGAGAGCCGTTGAATAATAAGTGTAGTGAGTTTTTGTGGACGTCTCGGAAAAAAGACTTCCGTAGCTTACAAATTAAAATTAGGTATCCCAGGGGCTAGAGTGGGTGTTTCATTCTTTGTAGAATTTACCTCTCTTGATTTACTTCGATGCCCCGTAGTCGACAGGAAACAAATTCACATCTATAATAAAAGCTTTGGTGAATTTTATCGGTATACTAGATTTGCAAACAAAAGTGGGGTAGATGAGCACGTTGCTAAATTAAAAAACAGCGTTAACGAGGTTTAAGTGAAAACAAATAATGAATTTTTACAAGTTTTACACTTCGTCTAGAGTTTAAAGTCTTAAAACTGGGCAAATTGCATAATAAATGTGAATAATTAACGTGTATTTTTAATTATTAACTGAGATTTACCGACAACCGACAAAGGTCAAAAATCTTAACCGACAACCGACAAAGTAATGAAATTTTAACCGACAACCGACATTTTGACCCCCCCATTCAGACCCTCTGGCTGACCTGTTAAGTGCTGTACCAAACTTTAAAATTCAATTAAAATTGTTTATCATAATTTGACGGGTGTATAAGCCTTTAGGAGCAATCGTTGGTTTAGAAATGTCAAAACAGCTTTTTTAGGCTGGTTGCGAGCCGGCGGTTTATTGTATCATAGCGTGGTCAGTGGAAAATTGTAGTCAGGACTAAACAAAAAAAAATAGAACGTCCTGAAATTCAAGTTAAATCATCTTAGAGGACCATGTTAACCTATCTGCATCTCGTGATTTTGCTTCTATTTAGAGCTATTTCCGTTTACAGCTTTGAAAAGGCGAAAACGTATGAAAAGCAGAACCATTATTTCCTCAATGGTTCCTCACCGAGTTCTGACAGTGTTCAAGGCGAAGTGACTCGATATTTGAAAAAGCATCCTCGGGATTCAAGACTGATCAAACATAACTACTTCTTCCTTGATGGTCAGCCTGCAAGGCCTCCTGGGTGTCCGCCATGCCGTAAGTCTTGGCCTTTTTGCATTGTATGACGCTTTCCACAACCCCATTTAGTCTGGTAAAGGATGGTTTCGTAGCCTCTTTAGTAAGTGGTGAGCTACTAATCGACAGACCGACTGATTGAACGATTCAGGGACTGACTAGCCCCGGCATCTGACTGACCAACCTACCAACACAAGGATCGGTCGACTCCACAACCGTCTGTCTGTCTGTCTGATCGATTGACTGACTGGCTAATTGATCGATGAATCGATTAATTGATCGATTGATTAATTAATGCGATATTTTTCATTTGCAGCATTGCTGAGAAAGCCTGGTCCATGTAAGTAGAAATAGCTTGTTATTAAGTTATTATTAGAGCTTATTTGACTTAAATCGCTTCTCACGCTGTGCCGATACAATTCTTTTTGCAGTTTGTTATGCTCACATGGACTTAGGATTTGTGATTGAGGCATCGGCCAGCGTGGAAAAACACGGAAAAGGAAACTTCAAAAAGATTCTCGACTTTGTAGAAATTACAATCAGGAAATTTTCAATTTCAAGACGAAAGACACGAGTTGGCGTGGTCACATACGGCGTCAAAACTGATCTGGTTTTTGATTTTGAAAGGTGTTCCCTTGTTTTCTTCTCTGCTTGATGAATGTACATGACTTTTATCCGTTCTTTAGCTCATACTTTCATTTAGGCTACCTTGATAATTACTGCTCAAATGTAATGCAAAAATCGCAATTGAAAGATGACCCTTTAGATATCACTGAGATAACATTCATACAAATTGTGGCCAAGAGATGTCCAAATGTGAACTTAAATATTATTAATGATTGTTGATAACGAGGGAACTCAGTTGCCTCAAATGTCCGTCCGATGCCAGACTAGACTACCCCAGAATCCTTAAGTGGATCTACTGGAAAATCTATCCTTCCTTCCTCTACTAAGTCTTCCTAAACTCTGAGTATAAATAAAAAGATCGTCCCTTAAACTTTCAAAGGTTTTTTGATTTCATCATTTCGCTCTATGATTATGGTAAACTTTACTTATTCCCGCTTTTCTTTCAGCGAGCAGAAGAAATCTGTTTTGGTTCGTGCACTGAGAAAAGCCTCTACACAAAAATTAACAAGTTCAAATACTGGTTATGCACTTAGTATGGCAGATTACTATTTGTTCAACAAGAAATGCAACTCCCGCAAGGAAATCCCTAAAGTTCTTATTGTTATTACGGATGGAAGGTATCATATCAGTTTTTTTGTTCTGGACTACACATCTGGTTTTATTTTCACTACTGCTTAAGTAGTGTTAATTATTGCGAAGATCGCTTCCATATTCCCTGTTCACACTAGTTTAGTAAGCCTGTAATTTTCAAATATTTTAAACTGTTCTCAACTTGATAAAGCTTGAAAAAAATTTTTATCACGACCATAAGTGAGGTCTGAAATTCCGTGCTTGCATCTTGAAAGACGAAACACTAAAAGAAAACATTATGACACCACAGGTCAACTGACGACGTCACCCAACCTGCATACAAAATCAAACAATGTGGTGTACGAATCTACGGCGTGGGAGTTGGATACTACTTTAGCATCAAACAACTAGAAGCAATGTCCTCCAGACCTGTCAGTGAAAATGTTTTCATCGGTCCGTTTAACAAGTTACAGTATATCAGAGATGATCTGGTGAAAAGTGTGTGCTATGGTGAGTGGCAAAAACACCGGATACTTAAGCCTTTCACTTCAAAGATCTGGAACTTAATCCTCTAAAGTAATCACCATATATCTCTTTGTTGGCCATTCAGGACAATTTGACAAAATGAAATATTCTTAATTGTAAGGAGACGTTGAAAGCTGATCGGTTCTTTGGGTTGAGAGTTAATAGAATTGCAGAAACACGCATGCTTTAGCAACTCTTTGAGCTGTGAATTAAAAAAAGGGTTATGTTTAACACGACACCTTTTGAATGTATTTTCTTACATGAACTTCTTAAAGCTGTGCTTTTTTTTGTTCCACTGTATTCCTTTTCGATAAAAGTGGTTGATGAAGATGACAGAAAAACTGTATGGTCACACGTACACTTGATGTCATCTGGTGAAGTGAAGCGTTTTTACCCTTTCAATTTTCAATCTTTAATTTCTTAGCTTATAAAAATTTTAAAATTGATCAAAAAATGACGGCTCACAATTTTTTCTTTCTATCTCCTCCTTCATTTTTAAAGGTGTTGGTGGTTTCTTAAAGAAACCTGGACACAAACAGTGCCTCTGCAACAAGGGAAGGAAAAAGCCCAGTGAGTAACCATTAATTAACTAAATGAAATTCCAAGAGAAGTAAGTGAATTCTTAGTCGGATCAGTTACGTAACTTTCATTTGGGTTTGATTTTAAAATTTACCTGGTTGTCGCCGATCATGTTCCTCATTTATACAATTAAGAATTAACATCTGATCGATATCTTTGTTCGATTGATCATTTTACGTGGCAATACGTTTACGTTTTTTGTCAAAATCGTTTTGGCATATTCTTAAATAATTTTGGCTTTTTTCAATTTCACAGTTTGAAACTCCAGTCTGGTAAAATCAAAGGATGATGGTGGCCCTAATGATTCTTAAAGCTCCGTTATTCAAATGAAGATGATAGCATTTTCCGACACCCAAAGTTGTAATAAAAGTAAAATAATTACGTTTAATTTGGCGCTTTTTATTTATCGTGTTTTACCTATTAAAACAAAGTTAAAACGAAAGTTGAATATGTGAACAGAAGATAAGCTGAGATAATGTTATGAGCGATCTACGATTATAGAAAGTCTCTGGCATAACTTCTCCATAGCTTTTCACTTCGTCAGGCAAGAGCGAGGAAATTACAGGCGTATAAACATTCCTACAAACGACGCATACTGTCCAATTGAACGAACAGCTGCGAGAATGATGCATACACTGTCGTTTTCGCGCTCAAAACAAACAGCTGTTCACCAGTCTCGTTGCTATATAGAATTTGAGACAAATAAGGCAGCATGCTCGGCTTTATTAAAGTGGTTTATCATGAAACTCAAGTTACAAAATAACGTAGTGGGTGGTTGGAAGTGAATATAATTTTCGAGCTTTTATCATAGGCTTCAAGTCTCTTAGTGGAGACTTGAAAAAAAAAAAGACATGTGGACGTCATATTCAACAGCATCATAAGTATTCCGCTAGAGGGTGCATCGCGAGATGAAGACTCTTTAAATTGTCTTAGTGTAGCCTATAAGCCGTTATCAATCGATTCATGATGATAATATGAGGCAGTATGGTGGTATTAAATGGGTCTTTAGAAGTCAAGAGTCTGACTGCCTGGTCTTCTTTAAACTTTTAACCAATTGAAATACATAAATTGAATTCTTAGAGCTGTACTGAAATTATGAGAAATGCAAATTGAGGAATATGTGCCTCATTTAACACGAGTCATAGCAATTTTCTACCCTCAGAAACAGGAAATTTTCAGCAGAGAGCCCATGATCCACGGTTAAATGCGTTTGAATAACGAGACATCCTTCGATCGAATACTACGATCTTGTTTAGGCGATAATAATCAGAAGATTCTCGAATATTCTTCCAGGAGGGGGCCAAAATTGCTCTCTTTCTTTTTACTGATAAAGAGACTTAAGACATTTCAAACAGTTACCCGCCCTTCACTCTAAACGTGTCTGCTTGTTTACGCTCACAAACACCATAACATGGGGGAACAAAAGAACAAACAGTTACACCTAAGAAAACCATCGCTGACGCAAAGATGGCAGCTTGCAATTGTTTTAAGCGAGAATTTTTCACCTTCTGTGTTGATTGTTATTTTGTAGCTTTCGTAAAAATATGGATCACCACGTTTGCAAACGTTTATTTTGCTTTTCGCAAAAAAGAAAAAAATAAATAGTTTGTTTGGACTAAACTTAGCTGGTTGTTTATCATAACCGACCTTTCGTGAGATAGTTTTGAGCAAGTACCAGGTACTGCGCGCTTAGTAGATATTGAGCGATAAATTGTGAAAAACCGCTCTTTCATAAATAAGAAGGAGGACGTCTCCTTTGTTTATACGAAATTGCTTTTTTTTCTCTCTTTTCCCCTGAGAGATGGATTAGGATTACGAACGGTAAGCAGTTGAGACGAGGTGAGTTTGCTTGATCTTCTGATCCTTGAGACACTAGAAATGAAAGATTCTAATAACTAAAAAGGTTTGGTTCACGAATTTCATGCAAATGTTTAGCTTTAGTTAAGATGTCCGCTGGATGCGGATATCTTCCATGAAATTTTAGAGTGATTAGACAACATTTTTATTCTCATGGTGACTAATCATAGAGATGCTTCTCCAGTTCACATCGCTTAAGAGTTTATCTTTTATTCGCACGCTCAAAGGGGAAAAAGGTTAATCTTACGATTTTGAATTAGTCGAGTTTTTAAAAATTAATCGAATGGTAATAAAATCAAAGGCTACCCTATAAAGTAATTCGATTGAAAGTAGCAATTAAGAAATGAAGATAACAAATAGGTTTCAGCGACAATTTCGTCTTGTTTTCCCCTATCGATTTTGAGTAACATCTTAATAAGATTCTTTTAACAACTTTATTGTTTTTGATAATTATATTCAGTTGCAAAATTCACTTGTTACAAATAAGAAGCTTACCTCCACCCAAAAGCTTATTTCAATTTTTCTGAAATCTGATCAAAAGAATGAAGTTCTGATAAGTCAGTTAATTTTATACCACTGATTAGGATTTGCGATATTTAGAAAAAGAGCATTCAATGATGTTCCATGTTACTTGCTGAGGTCCAAGTAATTTTTGTTGTTTCAATTTGAATCAAACCGCTTAAATTAGTGAAATAGAGAATTTTAGTTCTTGACCTGAAATAATTTCTAAAATAACCGTCTTACGGAAATGTTTCGCTGCTTGGTCATTGTGGGAAAACTATCATCTTTTTCAATTTTTACTTTAAATTCAAATGTAGCTAAGGCTATCGCAACCACGACCAGACTAAGATTTTTCAAAGCTGGCCTATTCGCAGACAAAACACTATTTTTTATAACATTCTTTTTATACGAAGTCACTTAAATCGACCTAACTATTAATCCATGCTTCACAGAAAAGCATGGCAACTACTGACCCTTAAAACCAACATTTCAGTCAGGAGAAAGTTTGAAAAAAATTTACAACAAACAAGTCATACTTTAACGAAGGAGAGAAGTGTTCTATTATTCTTGATTACCGTTACTCCAGATCAACCAAGCTTTTCTAAGCTTTTTTAACAGAATCAAAAAGTTGTTCTCTGGTTTAATAAATGAATACGGAAATCTGCTGTATTATTGCATTATTTGAAAAGATCCTGCCAAATATTTACCGACAGGCGAGGATGCTCAGCTCTTCGCCGTTAAGAGCTATCCTGTTCTTGCTAGTTGCTAGCCATGTGCCTGCCAAGAAAAATAACACGTCTACCTTAAATCAAGAAAGGAAAAATGTAACGAATGAAAAACGTCAAAATATAGGTAAGTACACCACCTATAAACCCACCCATAAGCTTTTGGTAAACACCTAACACTGAGCAAATGCCTTTTCACAGTTTATTATTTTGGCTTTTTTAAAAAAAATTGACCGTGAGTGATGCCAAAGGTGTAATTAAAAGCAGATACATTGTAAACCTATGAATTCATATACTTTCATTTTGAGCATATTTCATTTTCCCTCGGTGATAGGTTACTGTAATTGGTTTCTTTACCTTGCGTATTGTAAAGCATTTTATACACGACCCTCTGTCTCAGAAACGAAAAGTAATCTCATCCTACACTTTGACTGTAATAAACTGATTAACTGATAGATTGATTGATTGAAAGATACATTGATAACTTCAGCAGAACGTTGCATCACCCAAGAAACGTAGTTACGTAACAAAATCGACAGTCTTTACATAAAACATACTGTAATGGTGTTCATTGCCATACAGTTGTTACTATGCTGCGTTAACGATATAGTTCTTGTTACAGCTTATAGTTATCCAAATGTTGCAATTCCCTATGGCGCGGATGGTCTCCCTTGCTGTCCAATCAACACTTTTTGTACAGGTGTGCTTTGTTTTGTTTTGTTTTGTTTTTTTTTGCCTAAAAATGAAAACTTTTCCCTTAAGTTACTGTTCTTCATCGAATTATGCATCTTCCTGACAAATTAACGAAGCAGCTCTGATAACTGAATGACATTTAATGTTAACTGTGTAACTTTATTTATGAGTACCTGTATGTGTGAGCGCGAGATAAATTACGCCGCCTATACGGCGTAATTTGTTTATGAACCTTATAAGTATACAAATCGATGAACGACTTTCTGTTGAGGGTTACACATACCGTCTACGATTATGAGCCAAGTAACTTGAACACTTAACTACTTACATCTCAAGAATTTCTTTTGGGCCAAATCGGATGCAAATTCCCTCAAGTTTCCCTTATTTACTCAGAGTTTTCCTTACTTAGTTTTCCTTAAACATACTTCCTTATTCCTTAAGATAGCTGACATACTTTATTTCTCCGCAGACAAACCGCCCTGTCCACCAAGTGAGATGCCGGAGATATCCAACGCCCCTCAGCTGGATGCAGGGCTATCATTCAACATGGTGCCAGGTGGTATTCAGGAGCCAACAGCCCCACCTCAACCAGCATCAGTGTTATCTGTTCCATTTCAGGATCAACCAGCAAAGCCAACACAACCGCAAATTCCACTACATGCTAAACACTCTGAGAAGGATAAGGAAAAGCTGGAATTACAACCCAACAGAGATCAAGTGTATCACATCAGAGGAAGAAGTAAGAACACATGGATGTTGTTATTGCTGTGCATGTTGTTAAGGTTTTCGACGTAATGTTTCTATTCAAGATATCTGCGATTTGTAACACGTTTTTTTGGTTGGCCGAAAATTAAAACAAACATGCCAAAACTGTATTTGCTTGACCAAACCATTTCATTTGTGCTGTTCGAATTTTAACAGTACTTCTTAGCTGATCAAGAAAATAGTGTGGACTAAAAGAGACACAGGGCAGCCAACACTCGTTGCTTGTTCAAAAAACCAATCGGGTCCAAACCTGCACGAGACGCCAAAAACATACCTGTACAACTCTAAACACAAACACATACACAAACAATTAAACACAATACCAACAAAGAAACTGAGACTTAATGCACCGCAAAGAAAATTAGCAGAATCTGATACACAACTATGTGTTGCTTGAAAGCTCGTAAAAGCTTCCCGTCGTCGAAAAAATTAGAATAAAATTTACTTATCATTTGTTCCTCTATTCATTTGCTTCATTTCGTAACCCAGGTTTTAAAAGTCTCGGTTGCTGGAAGGATACCTGGGACAGGGCTATTCCATTAATGGAAAAGAAACATGCCATGTTGTTTGAACCTGACTACAAAAAGAGAACCAACGCGCTCATGAAATGTGCCGAGGCCGCACTGGACAACAGTTTTATCATTTTCTCTCTTCAAAATGGAGGGCAGTGTTTCTCTGGCAAAGATGCTGATAAGACGTTTATGAAATATGGCGTCAGTGATTCCTGCAAAGGTGAGGATAAAATTTTGCTACCGAGATAAATAAGGTAATCTGCGATTATGATAGATGCAACAAAATACCCAATTAAATCAAAGATCAATTCAAATTGATTTATCTCATTCAGACCAGACTCTCATCGCCCAGCAATGCGGCAGTTCAGTTATAACAGAAGAATATCAACTGATACTCTCTTGGCTATAAATACCAGATGACATCAAGCGACCATTCAAACCTCAAAATCATGGCACACGAGCTAAACCTATGACATTTTGACGTAAAAATGAACAGGAAGAAAAAAGGGAGAAAAAGTACAAAATTGCCTACGAGCCCTACTTTGTTAGAGGACAATTTTTTTTTTGTCGTCAACAATATTTCTGCCTCGGCTTATCTTTATTTTCCTACTAGACAGATCCTTAAACTCTTCTAAGGCCTTGGCTTAGCAAATATAAGACCTCAGCCGAGCGTCTGTTCTCAAATAGATCAGAAACAAAGACCGATACCAAAACGTGCATTATTAGGTAATCTGTATACCATCAGAAATCCACTGAATAAACGCTTATGCTAGTTGATCGAAGTGTAGATAAAACGTAATTCCCTTGTCGTCGCTTTACTTTCATTGTTGTTGTTATTACTCCAAGAGAAAATATTGGGGGTCTTTTTAATTTCTGTTGATTTCTCTTATAATTATTAATATTATTGTTTTTTATTATTATTATTATTATTATTATTATTATTGCTATTGTCTCTATTATAAGTCTTTTTTGTTTTGTTTTTTTTTCCCTGCTGATGGCATTTAACATTCATTTCTTGATGATCACTTGTCACAAGTCTTGGTCGGTCTGCCTCTGTTGTTTTCGCTAATTAGTAAACCTCTTCATTTTTCTTCCTTTAGCTGATGGAGAAGGAGGGCCTTGGGGTAATGAAGTTTACCAGTGAGTATTTTTTCCATAAAGATATCCTCACTTGTCAGTACTAACAAGGTTAGGGAGGGATTAAAATGAAAACGTGTAAATGCACAAAGAAAAGTCATGTTTTTTTTTTTTATGCTACTCTTTGGATCTCGTCGATTTACAAAAACTCTTTTTGTTGCGATAGGTATTTGAATACCAACACTTCCATTCCTAAGAAGAGCGACGAAACAGAGGGTGGTATTTCCAAGGAAAGCATCGCTCAAGCAAATCCTACTCCCACAGCACCTCCGACAGCTGCAGTTACACCAGCAGTGCATCTAACGACTTCACCCACTGCGCACAAAGCTAAAGTGAACGATTCCTCAGAGATCAACCCCTGGGCGGAGCTGTCGAAAGAATCCATCGACAGCGCGAGAAAACCAGACTTAAAGCCTTTTAAAGATGAAGTAGAAAAAGACGCCGTTGTGGCAGAGAACGAAGCAGACAAGCAAGCTTTGCTGAAAGAAATTCCAGCAGCGAACAAAACAGAAGCAGCTGTCGACGAAGAGAGTAACGATGCCATAAATGAGGACATTCCCTCTCAAACAGAAGTTTTCAACGTAAGCCCGCCGAGACCGAAACTTGTTACGCCGTTCAGAGGAAGATGCCCAGTTTGCCGTGAGTACTGAAGCACCTGCGAGCACACCCTTGTTATTAGCGCTTGGGCACGAGTGTTTCTTTGCCTTAGGGAAAGAATGGGGCCTTCGGAAAAAAAGAGCCAGCAGAAGTTTCTGCAAAGGGCTAGCGGAGAGAAAAAACGTTCGTCCTGCCATACTGCGCAAACAATAGGGGCTTGCTAACTTATTTAAGATCTATAAGTAAATGTGGTAAACTACAAGAGGAACAATTATGTGCCGTGAGTGAAGGATAATTTTTCGTTTTTCTGTTAAATTAGATTCAATAGTGGCAGATCATTTGGCAAGAATTTCTTTCATGATGTCAGTTTTTGTTTTATCCTTCTTTCGATATTTTAATTTATGAAATAACCCAGCAGAAGCAAACGATGCCTAGGATTACACGGTATACTATATGTCACATACATAGCATACGTTTCGTGCGTAACGGCTGACTGTCACGCTCGTGTCGCGCATTTTTTGCCTCTTCTGCTCTATAAACAACAATGTTCCTAAGTTTATCGACGATACGATCAACCGTTTTGTTTCGACCCAAATTTATCTCAGTATTCAAGATGTATTCTTCAAGAATAGCTCTGAAAAACTGCAGGTATTTTCGTTTGTTCATTCGATGTTGTTGACATTGCGGATTGATTGAGCTTGTGTAACCTTTGTGAATCGTTTATTCAAGTTGTTTGATTGAATTATCTGATGGTCCGCTCGATACTTCCTTGAAATGAAATTAATATGCCATTTATTATATAGGACATCTGGTATTTGAAGGAGCGATTTTGTAAGATTATTGTGAAATTAGAATTGTTCACAATGGCGACTCGTTTGTTTCTGAACTGCCGTGCTGTGTTGTCGCGCACGTTCTAAGCGTATTATTACAATTTTGGGGTTTTCATGAATTGGCTTATGCTTCAAAGTCATGTACTACAGGTTATCGAAAGTCAAACGACTAAGACCCCGTGTTTTTTTATATATATATTTTTAATTAAACTCGTTTGTCTCTCTCTCTCTTAAGCAAATATAGTTACTACCTTCAGTAACGCAATCTTTCAGTGTTTGTTACGCATGACGGATTAGCTTTAAAAATTTTTCCACACCGGTTTGAACGAAGTATGATAGCTTTGCTTTGTAGAAAGAAGTTAAACCTGTACATGTATTATCATTTGAATCACTGTAGATGATATGTATGCTGTTATTTCTAATCCAGATTGACACCCATGTCACGAAAAGTATGAGAGAGAACGTCAGATTGCAGTTTACATTTTAACCACCGTGTTAATATCATTAGTTTTTTTTCCAACCTTCTCGCGTGTGTAGTGAAATGAGAAAATATAGCAAAGTCTATAATATAGGCCATTCAGCTCCAGAGGTATGAATAGCTTATGGATGTAATGAACATTGCCACAATATGTCAAGTCGTCTGTAATGATCATGCTCCTTAGTCTTGCACTGAATCTGACTCTCACCAAGTACTATTAAACTCTATTATCTTTCAGCAACCTTAAAGCCAACAGCGCCCATGAGTAAGTAAAATTGTATCATTGTTATATCTTAGCTGACGACTCCCCCTCCCCTCCCCTCCCAAATGTAACTCATTGTAAAGTTCAGCCTGGTTTATATCACTTGTTCTTACTAATATTATTTGTATCCACATATTTTTCCATACCTGGGCAAGATCCCTTAAATTATTTTAAGATTTAATTACTAAAAATATATATATCCCTCAAAGACCCAAACTTTGTTCCTCGTTGGCAACGAAATTTAAGTTCAACAAATTCTTAATTAGAAGTGGTCACATTTTATTTGAAAACGGTAGATGAATAAGCCCTAGTTTATCATTACATTTTCTCTGCCAATATGCATCAAACAATTTTATTGCTCTTTTTTATGTTCCAACAGCATGCAGAACTGCCATAGATCTTGCATTTTTGATCGACGGCTCAGCAAGCGTGGAACGTTATGGCATCGGAAACTTCCGACGGTTGATCGACTTCGTCCGTAATGTTATCCTCGGTTTTTCAGTCTCCCGAACAAACACGCGCGTGGGAGCCATCGTGTTTGGTACCAAGCCGTATAAGCTTTTCGGCTTTAACAGCTACACAAACAACGGCGCTATCTTCAACAGGCTTAACAAGGGGGTCCATTACCCCAAATCAGGGAGTCGTATCGGTAGGGCTTTATTGATGGCGCAAAACCAGATGTTCCGTAAGAACACCAGACGTTCAAGGACCACTAAGGTAGTAGTGGTCATAACCGATGGAAGTTCAATGGATGACGTTGCAGGACCTTCAAACGCTTTAAAGGCCCGTGGTGTAAGGATTTATTGTCTAGGGGTGGGACGGTACATTAATGGTCGTCAGTTAGACATTATGGCTTCTCCTCCACGGAGGAATCACATCTTTACTGCGGACTGGACTCATTTGGGAATCGTAGTTAACGAACTCAGGAACGCAATTTGCTTAGGTGCGTAACTTTTTCTTTTTTTTAAATAAAATGAAATCGTATTATTTCGAATCCTTAGTACTTCAATTCCCCCTCCTAAGTGTTTACGGACTTGGATCTATGACTGTGAATATCTACAATTTCACACAGGATATGACTCCTTTAAATACAAAGAAATGGGCAATGAAATGATCTAAAATTGATATTAATTTCCATAGCACTTACTCGAGGTTATGTGGGTGTAAAGGTGATTTTTGTGAGAAGCAGCCATTTAAGCGAAAAATCTGAACACAGAAAAGGTTTACTTTAATATGTGACTGTATCGGGCGATTTATGTAAGAAGCAGCCATTTTAACCAAAAATTTGACCACGAAAAAGTTTACTTTACTATGTCGTTTCTCTCACCTCATTCCTAGTCCACCTCGCTGCTTATCCTAAAAAATGACAACCGCTGTGGCTTGACATACTCCAAGTTATCAACCTTGTTTAAACATGCGATAGGAAGTGACTTTTAGTTTTAGTTCACGCAAGCAATCCAACTCGTCTTATTTATTTTCAGGCACTGGTGGAAATCTTTTACCAGCGAAGCATCGTGTCTGCCTCTGTCCCATCACCAGACCCCCAATAAGTAAGTGGTAACTTTAATATTTAAAATTTCGAGTGCCGCAAGTAATCCGGGCTTTTTCAATCTTTGGTTTACCACTCCGTGATTGGTATAGAAAATCTAGGCACTCTGTCGACCAACAGATGCACACTCGTCACTCGTCACTCGATCACAGATTTTCCTGCGCCGCAGGAAGTTTGTTCGTTTTTTACTCTGAATCCTCACGGACGCCTTATGATAGTAATCGTGGTTCTGTTTACTCGTTATGATTTTTTTTAAACCATTTGAAAACAGAGGCTGGGCCGCTCGATTTTTAGCCCATTCACAAAAATAATGTTGTGGCATACCGCAATATTGGTTTTTGAAATTAAAGTGGACTGGACTCAAAACACAAGAAAATGCAGAAAAGCGACGAGTTAGTCACGTTGTTGTATTTTAGAATTACCCCTTGTCAAGGATAGAAGTAGCAGTCCACTGAAGCGTCTCCTTTCTTAGTTTCAGTTTGCACAGTTAGTGTGTATGGTGAAAGTGTAGTTTTGTGTTAAAGTGACCCGTTCTCGTACCATCTTTCTTTTGCTTTCAGAACCGACTACAAAGCCAACTAAAAGAACACGTAAGTGTAGTTTTTCCGGTAATGGAAACTCATTGTTAAAGGTTTAAATGAGATGCGCGGGAAAATACATTATGTAACGGTATCTAAACCAAGGGCCGCGATCTACAAACGCTATATAATTAAGTGTTAGTTAAGTTGTTTTCACATAAATTTGTCGCCCATAGTTTATAAAAATCTTTAAACAAATCTTGTACCTATAAGTCAGGAACTGCATTCACGTTCATGCAATTCCCATTACTAATCAAAGAATTTTAATTCGTAAGGCTTACAGCTTGCAAACACACTGAAATTTTAAATGCATCCCTTTCGACATTACCCAGTTCTTTCAGGTCCAGAAATGTCCTGCTCCTTATAGCACACGAAAATCATCAATATAGTAACTATGAAATTTACGGTAAAAGAGCCTCTTCATGATGTATACCATGCAACAAAAATAAACTGTTCTTTTTAATAATTATGCTACGATTGTATAATGTTTTTATTTATCGAATTTGTTTCAATTTTCAGGGTTCCCCCGTATCGTTGCGTTTTACCCGCTCAGTAGAAAAACAAGAGGTAAAGACATCAGCTCTAGCCAGAACCCCGAGGGAAAATTACACAACGTACGCCCCGCACCTGGCCCTGATGGGCTTCCTGATGGCTCTTACTATTTCTACGGAAGAAAAACCAGTTATATAGATTTCCCCAACAAGGGAAAACTCGATTCTAGATACTCCCTTACTCTCCTCGCCTGGGTCTACCCTGAAGGTTCTGGACCAATATTTCATTTTTCTCCGGGTGGAGTTCGCTTCTGGGTCGTCAGACCGAATACTCTGTTCGTGCGATTTGTCCGCCGCACAGGGAGACCAACCCGGCAGTTGATCAGTCGCACATTGAGACCTGGAAGGTGGAATTACGTTGGAGCGTCGTATGACGAAAGGACAGGAATTGCAACGCTATGGCGAGACTCTCAACCTGTTAAGTCTCTGTTCATTGGTCGCATTCGTCTAGCTACCAATCGACCTGTAAGAATGGGTGCATTGCCGCGTGACTTGCGGTACTTCCGCGGAAGGATCTCTTGTATGCAAGTGTATAGTGTACCCCTGTCTGGTCCTGAAATAAAAAGAGCTGAAAGGGTTTGCTTCCGAGCACGTGAGTAACAATTCTTATTTCATTTATTTATATTATAGCGGCGCTACTACGCGCAGAGTCACCTACCTTTGGAAATATTTCGAAGAGAATGATGGACGGCAAAAAGAAGCCAACTAGGGCTCCTCTTTTAGGCAAGGCAGTAGCCTGCAGTGCAGTCGTCTTAGTAAGGCGAGTTAACGTTAAAAGCTCCCAATGGTGTATCCGACCGGCCATGTTTGATTTGGAGTCAGAGTGGACGGTGGGGGTAGGGGGAGAAAGAAGGTCGAAAATATGTACTCCCCCACTCCCACCCCTCGGTAAAATTTTCTTGCTTTCCCCAGCCTTCAGCTGCTGTTAAAATCAAAGATGGCGGCCTTAATTTTCGCTTGGAAAATACTAAGCACTCGCTCGCCAAAATTACGCCTGCTCTACAGGTTAGCTGGGCAAAATTGACGTAACACTGATATTTGAAATTTATTGTCATTCTTAGGTCCAACACAGAAGCCCAAGCCACCTCAAAGTAAGTGGTTAGATGGAATATTTCATCTATTATATCGCAAACCTCTTCTCATTTCCCTTCCATTACTTACGTATATGTATTAACTAATTATAGTGTGTGAACGCACATACAACTGCTAAAGCTTTAAAAAGCCACGACACCAGTACGATAACCTTTTGCATAGAGGATATTACATGGCCGCGCGGAGATACGAAATTTCTCCTCGAGTGCTGAAAAATATTTCATGAATGCGCAAAACGAACGAGTGAATTATTTTTTAACACGAGAAGAAAAATCTCTAAGCGGCCATGTAATATTCTATTTATGATATAAACATCAATGAAATACTAACTCATCTCGCTTTTTTTTTTTAAGTAGAACGATGCGCTGTAACCAGAGCAACATTTATCTTTTCATGTGTTAAGATAACATCTTATCTTCACATGATAAAATAACATGTTATCTTCCCATGGAAGATGTCATGTTTCGCGCGAAAGCTCACTTTTTATTTCATTGGTGTTTATCTAATAATATTAGTTTACACGTCACGACGCCAACATGACTTATAAACCTGGCCTCCCTTAATAGGACTCCCGAATGCTGTTGCCTTCTACCCCTTGACGGTGAGTTACAGAGGTTATGACGTTGGTCCCAAGAGGAATCCGCCGGGAAAATTATTCAACGTTATACCAGCGCCCGGCCCCGATGGACGACGTGGTGGCTCGTATAGTTTTTCAGGAAAGCCTAACAGTTTTATTGAGTTCCCCAACACGGGGCCACTTGACACCCAGAACTCCATCACTCTCTTAGCATGGATCAACCCCCATGGGGGTGCGGGACCTATCTTCAACTACGATCCCAGGGGTTTGGCGTTCATTTTTGGGTTACACGTGCAGGAAGATTATTTGCACGTTTCGTGCGGCGCACGCGAGCTATGACACCGCCGCTGATCAGTCGAATCCTTAGGCGCAGATCTTGGAGTTTTGTTGGTTGCACGTACGATCAGACCACAGGAGTGGCAGCATTGTATGTCAACGACAAAAGAGTCGCTACTAAGGCTATTGGTCGAATACGTTTATCGACAAACTATCCTGCTAGGATGGGTGCAAAAATACGAGATAATCGCAATTTTCGTGGTTGGATAACGTGTATGCAGGTTTATGATGTAGCTCTCTCATTACGACTCATCAGGATCGCCAAGAAACTTTGCTTTAAAGGTGAGTACAATGCTTTTAACTCTTTGACTCCAAAAAGTGTTTAGCATATAATTTGTTCTTTCAATTTACCTCCCGAATCACACATTAAGGTCGTTAGAGTATCAACAAGAGAAGTTCTCGACTTCGAAACAAATTATCCGTTTCATTACCATGGAAAATGTACAGAGAATAGTGTGGAGAAAATTGATACTGATGTTAGGGTGTAAAGGGCGGAGCCCCCTTTGTTTTCATTTGGTTAACGTGTTCCTTTTTGTTGTTTGTTATTTAATTTAGAGGCAAATTTGATTGACATAACTGTTCCTTCTTTTCGTATTACTGCATTTTTCAGCTTTCCCCACTCCTGCACCACCAACGCCGGCACCACCCCTTCGGGGAAAAAGTAAGTTGTAGCTTTTAAACCCGTTATGCTCCTATTTAAATCTAAGAGTTTTTTAAACCGTCCAAACTTCTTTTTATACTTAAATTAAACAATTTATATTTATGTAAAGCTTTTTGTATCCTGAAAATGTGCAATGAATTTAGAATTGGCTTTAATCGGAAAATGGTGACCCTTGTTATGGAAAAAGTATCATGTTGTGATTATAAAATGAATTAATTTTTATACTTTAAAATCTTTATTTAGCTTGCAGATCTCGTATTGATCTTGGTATCCTACTTGACGGCAGTGGCAGTCGGTATAGATTCAGCCAAGTCCTTTACCTCGCACGATTGATCATCAGATATTTTGACATTTCTAGGATCTATACTCGTGTTGGTATCATTGCGTATTCAAACACTCCAATTCCGGTGTCTAATTTCCGTACCTTCTCGCGCAAATACGATTTGTTAAAGGCAGTGAAAAAGATCGGCTTTCCTCGCGGACGATCGTATACAGGACGCGCGTTGCGCTTTGCTAAGAGATATTTGTATACCGGGTCACGATCGTCTTCTCGAGCCAGAGTCCTTGTAGTTGTCACTGGTAGTAGATCCTCCGATGGTGTCGCGCGGCCTGCCGAGATGCTCAGGCAAGCTGGGGTCGAGATATTCGCGGTTGGAATGGGTGGCAGGACCAGCATGACCTCTTTGTCTACCATAGCGAATGACCGTTACCACGTGTTCACTGGTGTGAGATTGAGAATTACAACCAGCCTGCCAAAACTTGTGGCAAAGATATGTGCAGCTACTCCAAAACCGACACCAACGAGGAGTAAGTAAACAGAAAGCAATAATCGATGTAATTCATATTACGAACGGAAACTAAGAATCACAGTTATACAGATCTTTATCCTTTTTAGGACTTTTATATATTGGGGCAAACGTGCAAGTTCTTAACCGCTAAAAATTTTACACAACCTGCACATTTTGCATTCGTTTTATCGATGATTTAAGACGATGAATAGCCTCAAAAATCCAGTTCTTTTGATGTGCATCTCTTCAAAAGAGAAAGAGAGGAATGAAGTTTGTAACGTTGTAGCTACATCATGTTTCAATAGAATTTACTGTTGTACTGACGTTTCATGTTTTCTTTGATTCCAGAGCCTGGCCCATATGTGACAAAAAAACCATCACCAAAGATTGGTAAGAAAATGTTATTATGTGACAGTTTCCCTCGGGTAACTAATTATTTCCAACAATTCACTACTTGTGTAGATGTGGTTGGAACTTAGTCCTAATAGACCAGTGTTTGTACGTCTTGTAATTGGCAGATGGGAGAGGGGGGGGGGGGTTTGCCCATGTTTTCTATCTTTTTTACTGTGGTAAACCAGCCATTACACACTGACTCTATATTCCCTCTTTGCTAATATTATGATTTTTACATGGCATTGTCATTGACAGAGGCAAACTAATGTGATTTGTGAAAAATATCACACTCATTATTACTTTTAATTATACTATTGGCTTAATAATCCGATTACGTTTGTTTTCACTCCAACAGAGCCACCACCGGCTATGGGCGTATACCCATTAAATGGCATAGAACGTGGAAAAGACAAAGGCCCCTTTAAAAATCCGCCTGCAAGACTTGTCAATGTCGTTTCTAAGAACGGACCTGACGGGCTTCCAGCTGGTTCTTACCAACTGCAAGGATTTGCCAACAGCTTTATTTACTTCCCAAATACCGGACGGTTGGATACACATAGCTCAATCACCATCCTTCTGTGGCTCTACCCAGAAAGTGCTGGACCGATATTCCATTACTATCCCAGGGGTATCGGTGTCAATCTCCGTATGATTAGCCGTAGGGTAATCCGTGCGGAGTTTGTGACTCGCAACCGGAGAAAATCGTTCAAGATCTCTAGGAGAATACGTTCCCGAGTGTGGAACTACATTGCTGCTACTTACGATCAGAAAACTGGCTTGGCAACCTTGTGGTTGGATGCTATTCCAATCACTCAACGAAATATCGGGAGGATTCGACTGGCCACAAATTACCCAGCTATTTCAGGACGAAGGCCCGGTGACCCTAGACATTTCAGAGGTCGCATCTCGTGTCTTCATATTTACAATCTTGCACTTAACTCTTATCAGATAAGGAGGCTCAAGAGATTTTGCTTCCGCGCAAGTAAGTTGGTATATTTTATCTGACATCACTAGTGTAAACGATTCGCGTCGTGAAGTCCTCCAGAAAAGTACAAATCATTTAACAAGCGGCAGGAAACTTATAATTCACTACGCCTGTTTCGATCCGCACTGAAAATTTTTTCTGGTACATTTTTCGTATCTTCAACTGATACTCAGTGAATACATTTTCAACCAAGTTTGCTGCACACAGTTCAAATGGTGTGAAGTAGATAGATACTTAAGATACCGATTTAGAGCTCAGCACTTCGTCGGGGCCGTTTGCATGCATACTTCTGCTGACTTACTTAAAGATCTTGTACCTTTAACAATTGTCCATTTCTTTTTTAGGACCTGTGACACCGAAACCAACGCCAGGTACGTTAAAAAAATGTTCTGAATAATTTCTACATATTTACGTTTTCTAAGTTGAAAGAAACAGCCTGGGGAGTCACAACTGCAGTTTGGGGTTTGAACTTGGTGCCTCCGCTCTAGGTGAAAATGTGTCATTGTAACCAGTACCTTTGAAATGGGTGGGACATTGTAGTTCGCAGTGGAACGTGATTATACACCATTTGCAATTTTTGTCTCCAAATGTAAAAACGAAAATATCCTAGTTTGTTACGGTGTCTAGTTCAGTACGCAGTTTGAGTATCGTGCTTGCAGCTTTTCGATCGTTTTCAAGTGTCAGCTGTGTGCGCGCCGGATTTTGATCGCCTTATCCCTCAGAAATATAGACCTTATTTGTCTCCAAGTAGCAAAATTGTAATCAGTACGTCCACTTACTATTTTACACTGGCTTCAACTCAGGTCTCCCACGCATTGTTGCCATCTACCCCCTCGACGAACAATACCAGGGACGTGACGTCAGCGGAAACCGAAACCCCACTGGTACCTTTGTTGGTGTGAGAACAGGACCAGGTCCTGATGGGTGGCCGAACACAGCTACCGAATTCTTTGGGAATCGAAACAGCTACGTGGAGTTCCCGAATAATGGAAAGCTAGACGCAAAGAATTCCATAACAGTGTTGGCCTGGGTCTTGCACTTGGGTTATGCTGGTCCGATCTTTAACTTTAATCGTGGTCCGGGTTGGGGCGTGCATCTATGGATGACAAAACCACGACAGTTCTTTGCCCGGTTCGTCAGACGGGGTGGTCGCTTCACCACACCGCTCGTAACTCATGGCAACAACGTGCGATACAAAGCGTGGAATTTCGTTGGTGCATCTTTCGATGGAAACACAGGAATGGCCACACTGTGGGTGAATAATCGACCAGTTGTTCGGTCTAACATCGGGAAAATTCGTCTGGCGACAAACCGACCCGTGCGTATGGGTGCAAAAATTGGCGATCGTCGGTACTTCCGTGGCAGGGTATCTTGTGTTCAGGTTTACAGCGTGGCGCTTACGCGAAAGCAAGTCATAAATGCTGCAAGGAGATGTTTCAAACGTAAGCCTGGCTAAACTTTCATTAATTGTAAAATATCTGTTCTTCTAAGAGTCGTTTCGTACCAAGTCGATTCATACCCAGCTAGGACCCTTTGTACCCGGTCGGTTAGTTCGTTTCGTACCCATACTACTAAAATGTGTTATCCATGTCAGGTGTGTTTTAAATAAGTAGGTTTTCTTATGTTCAAAAACAATATTACCAGCGTTAGATAAGTTTTGTTTACGTGACGAACATTTTTGATGCGCAACCACGAAATGATCGTGTGTACCAAACGAATGGATACGTTCAACTGAATCGTACCTTAAGAGCAGTTTCCAACTACTTCTTGCACAGCAATTTAGTTATGTTTCATAGCTTACATTAGCTCGCCATTAAATCAAATCACTCTTTCTCTTTTTCTATCAACAGGACAACCGCCACCAACACCTCCCCCACCAGGTACGATTTATGAAAGTGTGTTTTCTTTTTTTTTTTTTTTTTTTTTTTTTTTGGGGGGGGGGGGAGGGCAACGACTACGGCAAAAGTAATTCTGATAATATCCAATTAAACAAAAATCGTCAAAACAACCTTATAGAAAAGGGGTATTGAATACCTTGATCACCCCCTCGACCAGGCAATGGTCCGTTCTTATGAAAATTTGTCATATGTCGGCCAACCTTGAAAGTTTCTTTTAGATTTGACGAATGAGCGTTTGCGCCTACTTTTGGCTATCCACGTGATTCCTTACTTTCTGAACGCCAGTCCTAAATGTGAATTTTTTATCTTAAGATTTCAAAGAAAGTCCTTTGGCAATGTTCTGACCTTTTTCTTTGGGCAGTGACAAATAAGTGGGCCCAATAATTGTTGTGTCTAAGCTTCGTTCGAGGAAGTTCTCTTCTCAAGTTCCACCCCTGACTGGTATCTATGATGTAGTCAAAAGCTTATCAGAGAATTTTAGATGGTTCATCCCCATCCAGTAGCAACAGTGAATGAGATAACTGTGACCAGAACTGCTTCCTGTAGCTCTTGTAGAACGTTCAGAAGAAGCTCCAGTAAAACTAATAAATAGACGGCCTTGTCTTAGTGGGTGGGTGACTGTGACCGTTACTTGACCCGTAACCTTCAATTAGGATTTGACCAAGGGGCGGACTGACTTATTTTACTCGTTACTTTGCTTTCTCAGTCTGTAGAACAGTTGTAGACCTTGGTTTCTTAATTGATGGCTCTGGAAGTATCGAATATCACGGTCGAGGAAACTTTAGGCTTATGCTTCGCTTCATAAAATCCATTGTGGTCACGCTGCCCATCTCAAGAACACAGTCGCGTGTGGGTGCAGTGCTCTTCTCCACCAATCCATTTCCACTGTTCAGATTTGGCCAGCTGAACACCATCACGCATGTGCAACAGGCTATTGACAGCATTAGGTACCCTCGTGGAAAGACTTACATCGGCAAGGCTTTGGCTTACACCAGGATATTCTTATTTGGCAGACGTAGGCAACGGAATCGCAAGCGCGTCTTGATCATGCTCACGGATGGCATATCACAGGACCGCGTCGGGCGTCAGGCGTCGCTGTTGAAGGCTAAAGGCGTTGAGGTTTTTGTCGTTGGTATCGGAAGAGCGCTGAAGAGACGACAGTTGTTGCAGATTGCCACAGACAGGAACCATGTTTCTGTTGTATCGTTCAGAGGGTTGGCTGCTTTATCAAAAATGATAAGGTCCAAAATCTGTCAGCTTGTCCAACCTACAGGTTAGTACATGAATGTTGTACTGATATGTCTCTGGATGAGAAACAAAGACACAAGTTCAGAAAATGTATAGGAATTTCCTGCGAGAAGTAAAGAAAATAAGAGAAGAGTACTCGCAGGCTAACAGAGATATAAGTTCATAAAAACCCTTGCTGTTGAAGGAAAGGGAAGACTTATTCAAGTTTAGCTTGATATGGCACAAGGGCGTTTATCAGGGCGGAGTATTAAATATCTTTTCTTCCTTTTCAGGAGGGCCACTTAAGCCTACACCAACAAGAAGTATGTATCATTTCAAACCAGCTCTTAAACGAGCTATATCATAATCTTTTGATTGTTATTACCAGTTGAAATTTTGTTACAGTGATTCCGATCCGCTTACACTGAAGCCACTTAGGTCGTGTCACAGCAAATTTGATACTATGACAAGAAGATTTTCCTCTGACTTTGGAATTTATTTTGTGTTACAATTATCTTGCAGTTTATATTCCAGATTCTGTAGTCGTGTACCCTATGGACGGTCCGAGGCGGGGTAAAGACATCAGCCGAACTAAAAACCCCTCGGCCACTCTAATGGGCGTAGGCACGGCTCAAGGTCCGGACGGCCGCCGTGATGGATCCTTACGTTTCTATGGCCGACGGAACAGCTACGTCGAAATTCCTAACACAGGAAAGCTGGACACAAGATACTCAATAACTATTCTCATCTGGGTGTACCACGCAGGGATATCAGGGCCCATATTCAATTACAATCCACGAGGCTTTGGCGTGCACGTCTGGATGACAGGGCGGCGCCAACTTTTCGCGCGCTTTGTGCGACGCTCAGGGAAATTCACGTCACCGATCACAAGTGGAAGAATGAAATACAAGGCGTGGAATTACGTCGGTGCAAAGTACGATGGTAGAACAGGCGTGGCGACGCTTTACATCAACTCAGTACCCGTCGGAATTAGACGTTTAGGGCGAATAAAGTTGTCGACAAATTATCCCGTGAGACTCGGAGCACGGGAAGGTGACAGGCGCTATTTCCGAGGACGACTCTTTTGCGCGCAGGTATACAGTGCTGCACTCAGCCAGAAACAGATCTTCGCGGCTAAACGGAGATGCTTTCTACCAGGTTTGTGCTGACCACGTCCTGTTTAAATGCTTCTAAATAATAAATAACAAAGGTTATGGTTTGTACATTGAGCTTTCGTTGATGACAATCTGAATAAGAAAGCTTTATATGTATCCTGGTACACAGGTTTCAATTTATGGCACAGCTCATGTACATAGGACCTAAAGATAACTAACTATGATCACTAAGGTATTAACAGATAGCTCTTCTCTTGCAGTTCCGTCTCCTACTCCTCCTCCTGGTCCTCGTCCAAAACCAGCGCCACGTGGTAGGCCTGTCATGATAGAATATATTCATTATGCTTATTTTAACAATTTTCAAAGTTTAAGAAAACTGAAGATGATTTGCAAATGCTTTTCCCTAAAATTCTATTACTTCTCTGTTAGTTTGCAGGCAGCGTATTGATCTCGGCTTCCTGGTGGATGCATCTCGCGTCAGGTACAGCTCCCGTGTCATCCTGAGATTCCTAAAGGACACAGTCAGGTTATTTGAAGTTTCCAGGCTGAAAGCTAGAATTGGCATTGTACAGTACACCTCTAGAGTTAGGCTCCTCTTGGGATTTAGAAGAAATTACAATCCAAGTCAAATAAGCAGACTGATTGATCAGATCCGACTCATCGGTCGCACTGGCAGATACCTTGGAAGAGCCTTGACTTACACAGCTCGCTACCTATTTAGAGGTAAACCACGCTGCGGGCGAAGAAGGGTTCTTGTTGTTCTGGCAACTGGAGAGTCCCGCGATGATGTCACAAGGCCTGCAAGAGGATTATTTTCCTCGGGTGTAGAATTATACGCTGTTGGTATTGGAAGAGTGAGGAGACAATCATTGCTTCGTGTTGCCACAATCTCAAGTCATATTTTTAGAGTTGGTGCGAGGCAGTTGGTGTCATTAAGTAGGATTATCAAAGATAAAATATGCAGTTCGACAGGTCAGTAGGATTCTGGTAGTCAAACAATTTCCGCATTTTTAGAACTTAGCAAAGCAGGTAGCTAAATATTTTACTTTGTCTCAGCAGTGAGAATGGGTTTTTCGTTATGTCATGCATTGCACATTCTTTGCTCCGCTGCGTTTCATCGAGTGTCTGCGAATAGAAAGTTCAAGAGATATGTGTGGCAGAAATATGGCCGTCGAAAATAATTCATAAATACTATAATGCTGAGAAACACACGGTAAAAACCCGTTCCACAGTTCTCTCTCATGGACACTATTCCTAATAAAAGTCAGTGCTACTTCTTTTATAGCCGCGCACATCATCGCGCAGATTTTGAATATTTGCAATCTGTGACGAAGACAAATTTATTTTTCGGGGACAGAAATTTTGTCTAAAAAGTTCCTAAGTTATTCGAAATTGTTTGTCTTTACGACTTGTTCCTAACACGTTGTCGCCCCGTGAGTTTCGCCTTTACAACGCTTTTTTTTTAATTTTTAGTTATTGTTTCCGGTGGTGCAGTCGGTTTCTATCCATTTACAAGCACCTCAAGCGGACGTGACGTCAGTAGGTTCAGGAATCCAACAGCACAGCTTGTTGGCGTTTCATTCATTCAAGGCCCAGATGGACATCCGAAGGGAGCTTTATTTTTCCCAGGGATGCGAAGACAAAGAGGACGATTAAGAGGCAGCTATGCTCTGATCCCAAACAACGGATGTCTGGACACTCGTTACTCTATTACGATAATTGCCTGGATTTACCCGGAGAAGCCCGGTCCCATTGTGCACTACAATCCGAAGGGATGGGGCCTTCACTTGTGGCTCACTCATCCAAACGAGCTCTACTTACGCTTAATGCCTAGAAAGGGCTCGCGGCATAATGTTAAACCACTGACCACCCAGAGCTTGAAGCCTTACAGTTGGAACTATATCAGTGCTACTTATGACCACCGCACAGGACTTTTAACGCTTTGGCTGAATGGGCTTCCTGTGTCTCAGAGGAATATCGGAAAGTTTCCTTTGGGCGTAGCCACGAACTACCCCATAGTCATTGGTCAGCGGCCTGGAGATCGTCGCATATTTCGTGGACGTATTGCGTGTTTGCAAATTTATAATGTGGCTATGACGAGAGCACAGATTATCGCTAGGAGAAAGCAGTGCTTTAGACCAGGTAGGAGAAGAAATTACAGTCTAACTGCGTTCAAAAGCGCAATGATAAACATGAACCATGTATCACGTCACCTTTTGTACAAGAGTCTTTGAACTCAGCTGTGAAGTTACCTCGAAAATGATTATCTATGATCGTGAAATACTGTTGAACTCGAGTATTTGGAAGCGATTTCCACGACGATGGTTTGTTGTCGCCATAAGTCATATCGCACGAGGTGTCTTGGTAGACATTGATGTATAGTAAATACTTTGAACCGAATTAGTGTAAAAACAATTGTCGATAATATGGTGTAATCCTGCAGATGAGAGTAGTTTGTAAAAAAGCTGTCTTCAGTGATCGTGATTCACCTCCTAACAACCTGAGCGTAAGCAATCAACAGCGTCAAATGATGATTTGTCAGCCGAATGCTATAGCTCTCGTTCAAGCGACCTTTTTAAGATGTAAAGGTGTCTACTAGTTTTTGAGAATTCTAAAATATAACGTTTCTTTAAACTTTCCAGTGGTTGTACCCACCGCACCAACTCAGAAACCATCAACTCCTCGACCAGGTTTGTTGTACAGCTTCGTCGTTATTTTCCGAAAGGCCAGAGATGTACCCAACCTTGAATTTTAGTAATACTTGACTATTTTACGCGTCTTTTCTCCGTTATGGTTTTGCCAGGTGAAATCTTGAAAGAGCTTCTGGTTTGCTGAATTTTAAAGCCTTTTATTGTGATAGAATTTCAAATAATTTCAATTGGGCAGAAATATTGAGGCAAAATATTACTTAAGTCTGAGTCTCTTCAAAACCTTTCTGTTTGTATTTTTAAGCAGTGTACACGTGGCATATTTAAACCCGTGCGTCCACCCAGAAAGGTCGGGTTTATCAAAACACATAATGAACAATTCATTTCGGGCGCCTTTCAATGGACTCCATCAATCAAAATAGTGAGAAAACTTTAACATAACAATTAGACAGTCTCTCTGGTATCTGCCTGTTTTTAGTCGCCCCTCATTTATCTTCTTTTTTCGTTCTTTAGTTTGTGCCGTACCTATTGATCTGGGCTTCCTTATCGACGGTTCCTCCAGTATTGAACGTTACGGCCGAGGAAACTTTGCCCGTATGTTAAACTTTATCAAGTCTTTTGTGAGCTTCTTTCCAATCTCTCGCCGAGATACTCATGTTGGTGTGATCCTCTACACTCGCCGAGCTATACCTATCTTCAGGTTTAATAAATACTATACGAGGGCGGCCATCTTGAGAGCTATAGAGAACCTAAGGTATCCCCGAGGAGGTACCTACATTGGAAAAGCTTTGTCATTTGCCCGACGGTATTTGTACCCAGGAAGACCAGCGTCTAATAGAAAGAGGGTGACAGTCGTGCTTACCGATGGCATCTCCCAGGACCGTGTAAGTGGACCGGCGCGTCGTCTTCGTGTTGCAGGATGTGAGATCTTCGTTCTTGGCATCGGACGAGGATATAGAATATCTCAGTTACGGCAGATTGCTACCGATAACAATCACATATTTACGGCGTCCTTTAGATCGCTCGGGAAAGTTATACAGAAGATTAAAAGCAAAGCCTGCCAGAAGCCAGTGCCCACTCCAAGTAAGCATTGCTCTTGTAAAGACCAATATTTTCAATTGAAAAAAGTGTATGTCCAATTCAATTTCTTAGCCTGCTTGCACACTAAAATTCAAGTTATTCCATCTTTGAAATTAATCCTGTGTCCATACAACGTAAAAGATAAGGTGATAATTGAACCTTACTTAATTTAAAATATATTTACTTCTCATCTTATCTGATTTTCCCTTCCTTTGCTTTTTTGCAGTACCAACACCCCCAAGAGGTAGGTCAGCTGTTGCTCGATTTAAATGCCGTATATCATTTGAGGTTATATGAAGAAATGAAAATTACTTTAAGTTTTGTTTTTACTTTTAAATTCTCTCGAAATTTCAATTCAATCTTTTCAAAGAAAGATTTCGATTCGTTTACCTCTCTTCAACTATACACGAAATTAGTGTTTCTGAAAGGTGTTCGTCTTAACTTCAGTTCGTCTCCCAAGTACTATGGCTGTTTACCCATTCGATCGTGTGCGAGCGGGTCGAGACATCAGTCGAGGAAGAAATCCGAGCGCACGAATTGTCGGTGTGAAATATGGACAAGGCCCTGATGGTCGTACGGACGGCTCTACGGAATTTTACGGAAGACCTAACAGCTACGTGGAAATCCCCAACCGTGGGAAACTGGACGCGAGGTATTCCATAACTTTCTTAATCTGGGTGTACCATAATGGCCGCAAGGGACCAATTGTAAACTACAATCCGAATGGCTACGGCGTTCATCTGTGGATGACGAGTTACCGGCAGCTATTTCTTCGTTTTATGCACCGCGACGGACGCACAACTCGCCCCTTGAGAAGCAATCGGTTAAAATACCGAGCTTGGAATTATGTTGGTGCTACTTATGACGAACGATCTGGTATTGCTACGCTGTGGTTGAATTCTCAGCCGGTAGCAAGACGGCGTTTGGGTAGAGTGCGTCTCTCCACAAACTATCCTATCAGACTGGGAGCCATCAGGAGAAGTCGCAACTATTTCAAAGGAAGGATCTTCTGCTTACAGCTTTACAGCGTCGCGCTGACAAGAAAACAGATCTTTGAAGCTAAAAGGAAGTGCTTTTTGCCAGGTAATGTTGATGAACTGCATTCTCATGTCTGATTTTGAGTCCTCTCCTCTTAGGCTGGGAATTGTTTCAATTGAACTGCGGAAGAAGAAGTCTACTATTGCATTGTTTGCCAACCAACTTTTTGACAGTGTCGGTAGCCTTCCGCTTTTTGCGTTTGAAACTTTGAAGTCGCTTCGCTAATATTTTCTTCTCTCGATGCAAGCTTTACTGGAAACCAACCAGTTGGCCGAATTTATGTTAGGTTAAAGAAAGCACCGCTTACGCCAGACTACTAGTCATTGTAGATCTTAAGGTATTAAAACAAATTATATTTACATAAAATTGTGTATTAATTTATTTCAAGTTCCTAAGCCAACGACGCCGGTCACCAAACCAACAACTCCGCCTCCGAGAGGTAATTGAAAATTTTTTTTTTGTTCTTCTGTAAGAGTAGAGCAGCAATTACTTCAGAACCGCGCCTTGTGACTCCTGTTCGTGGCGTGGTTACTGAGTTGTTTAAGCAAAACAAATGATTCCGTTCTTAACTCTCATTCGAAGACTTTGTGCTCGAACGCTCAGGTTTCTCTTTGGAATTGCAAAATGATTTAAGTAACAAATTGTTACCAAGACTCTTTCACCTCAGAGAAAAATCATGGAGTATCCCTGTAGTTCTGCGTTAAGGTGTCGTGCTCTGAAAGATCCTTCGTTCCTTATATTTTTGCTTTTTTTCCTAATGTGTTTTATCTGTTCATTTATTTATCAATTTGTTCTTATCACGGTATAATGATTGATATGGATTACATTGATTTCAGTGGTTCCAGAAAACGCTTTTAATAGGTTGACTTGAAAAGTTCCTTCGTTACTGAGTTCGTCACGAGATGTGCGACAGTTGTTCCAACCGTGCTCAAAGTAAACTGACATTTTACTCATATTTTGTTTTGATTTTAAGTTTGCAAAGCCCGCATCGACCTGGGATTCCTTATCGATGGCTCTCGCCGAACTGGATCCGTCACTTTCCGGCGCATTATCGAATACGTAAAGGAAATGGTCAGGCGATTTGATGTCCAGAGATCGCAAACTAGAGTAGCTCTAACCCTTTTCGCTTCAAGCCAGCGGCTGGTTTTCCGCTTCGGCAAATCGTACAGTAGAGCGCAAGTGTACCGAGAGCTTAAAAAGTTGAGTTTGTTGCGTGGAAGGCGAAGAAATACAGCTCGAGCCCTGATGTATGTTAAGAGACATATGTTCCGAGGCAAACCCACATGCGGCAGGAGAAGAGTACTCGTACTGGTAACTGCTCGTGAAACACGTGACAATGTGGTGCGTCCGGCAAGAATCTTGCACGCTGCCGGTATTGAAGTGTACACAGTCGGCCTTGGTCGGGTTAGTGTGCGATACTTGAGGAAAATCGCTACAGACCGGTTCCACGTGTTTGTTAAGAATGCACGGAGCTTATTGACTATCGTGAGAACCATCAAGGACAGGATGTGCCACTCCCCAGGTAAGACTTCATAATTTTGGAGTTACAATTGAGACCTTTTCGTCATAGTACTCTATTTGCTAACTGACTGACTGGCTGACTGACCGACCAACCAACCGGCAGGCCGACCGATAGACAGACAGACAGACATCGACTGTCTTCAACCTTCAAATAGAATGGAACAATTGAAGTCATAGTGTTCAATTTAACTTGAAGCATTGGAATGACGCCACTTTGCAGAGTTGGGATAGAACGAGAGAAAATCAATCAATAGCAATTAAGCGTAGATATATTAATTCATTTCACTTTTCTTCTAGTCATCATTTCTAGAGGAGCTGTAGCCACGTATCCCTTCACAAGTGCAGTACGAGGCGGTGACATCAGTCAATACAAGAACCCTCCCGCACGACTTGTAGGTGTTTCCTACATCCAGGGACCTGACGGACACCCGAAGGGAGCTTACTACTTCCCAGGAAGAACTCGAATTAGGGGAAGAACGAGAGTAAGCTATGCCGTTCTCCCGAACAATGGTTGCCTTGACACACGGTACTCGCTGACGATGATACTCTGGGTGTATCCTGAATCTCCAGGACCTTTGATTCATTTCAATCCCAAAGGATGGGGAGTCCATCTGTGGGCAACCCGTCTCACTAAACTCTACTTTCGGCTTATGCCAAGGAGTAGGACGGGCCGCAGAGTGAAAGCTTTGATTGGTCGCGGGCTCAAACCCAGGACATGGAACTACGTTGCAGCTAGTTACAACCACCGCACCGGTTTGGCGACTCTCTGGTGTAACGGCTACCCGATTGTTCAAAGAAATGTTGGCCGATTCCCAAGTGGGCTGGCCACCAATTATCCCATAATGATCGGTCGTAAGCCTCGCTCTCGTCACGTGTTTCGTGGACGAATCGCGTGTCTGCAACTGTTCAACGTGGCACTTACGCGACCTCAGATCATCGCCTTAAAAAAGAAATGCTTTCGACCAAGTAAGTGTTACCAGCAATTAAGAGATTTGGTACATTTTATTGAATTATTCCAACTTCTTTTCTTACAAGTGTATTTCATTATTTTACTTATGTAACTCTGAATTTCTCTTTTTCATTCTAGTTCCACAACCCCCGCCCACTCCAAGTCCAGGTATCCGTCACATATTTTTACATTTTTAGATCTTCTCCATAGTATAATTTTTTAAAAACTTTTTGAAAATCTATCTTCATTTGCTCGGTGAATCATGGTTGTTTATGAATATCGCATAACTGCGCATTATTGTTTCTGATAGCAGGAGCGTAATTACTTTCAGCAAACATGAAAATTAATGTGTATTAGTCTACTATGGAGTTGTAACAAAAGAGTTTAGTGCGGAGGGCGACTCCATTCCCCTTGAACTGCCTGTTTCCTAAACATGAAACTTTAATTCTTATTTTTCAAACTCCATCAGGAGACTTTTTAGGGGTTTCGGTGGTTTTTCGGTTGGATCACTTGGTTTTCAGGCGGTATGGATTGGGATCAGTCGTCGCCAACAAAGCACAAAGAAAGGGCTAGAGAAAATTGATGCCCTTTAGCTACCAGCGAGGGGGTTTTATATTTCAGAGTGTTATGGGGCAATCAGTTACAGGTGAAACTACAAATTAATCATTTTCTGTTAGTTTGCAGATCTCGTGTGGATCTTGGTATTCTTGTCGATGGTTCCAGAAGCGTCGGGCGAAGGAACTTCAGAAAAGTCATTGACTTCGTGAGATCTTTGGTCAGCTTCTTCCCTCTGTCCACGCGACAAACACGAGTAGGTGTGATGCTGTTCTCCTCTCGACCGAGACTCATGTTTGGATTCAACAGATATGGTTCAAGAGCGCATATTGTCAGAGCCATCAACCGTATAAGGTTTGTCTAGGACTGGTGTCATGTTGCCTATTTTTTCGTATTTCGACTGGACGAAACTTTGTTCCGCGCCCTAAACTCGTTTTCCTCTAGCCAACAAAAACGTAATGTTTCCTGGCGGAAATATTAATGCTGCGATTTACATTTCTGTTATTCTTGCCAGATATCTGCCGAGAGGACGGGGAAGTTTTACTGGACGAGCTCTTAGTTATGTCCGCCGTGTGCTGTTCCGAAGGCGCGCCATACAAGGGCGTAAACGCACCCTGCTTATCTTATCTGATGGTGTTTCCTCGGATGGTGTTCGAGGACCTGCCTCACGCCTTAAGCGAGAGGGAGTGGAGCTATTCGCCCTTGGAGTCGGCTCGCGATTCAGCAGAAGTCAGCTACAGATGATTGCATCAAGCCCTCGTAATGTTTTTGCGGCTGGATTTAGTCGGCTTGGAAAAGTTATTCAGGCCATCAAAGAGAAAGTGTGTCGCCCTACACGACCAACGCCTAAACGTGAGTTTATCATCGTGTAGTACTCGTCTAATATTTATTAAGTTATTGAAACTTAAGCCGATGGTATCTTCGATGCGAGTTTCCACAGTGAGTGAAGTCAAGTTTTTCTGTCATGTATTACTTATATGTTCACGACTGAACTACGCAGACAACGAATATTACAAATTAAAGAGAAAGAAAATTTTCTAGGGAACATTGAAAAAGTCATCTAAGAAATATAGAAGATTAAAATAAATCGACGCAAATTATGAAAACTTCGAGAGATACGGAAATTTATCCAATTGAATTTCAATCCTGGTCGTAAGGGATGAATAGTGTGGAACACGTTACTCCTTGAGAACGAAACTTACTTCAGAGAATAAGGAGGATAATATCTTGTCTCTCTTCATTCGGCTTTTTGTATTTTCGTGTTGGCTGTTTTTATTTGAAGTTTTGTGTATTTATGATTATCCGTCATGATTAGTCGACTTATTGTAAATTATTTTTCTTTTGCAGCGACCGTACCAACGCCGACGAGTAAGTGTATCATAATAGCTGCCAGAGTTGCTGTGACGAAGCTGTTTAAGCAGTGCAATAAAACCTCTCCCAAAAACAAGTTCAATTAATTCTTTTAGATTCAAGCCCAAGTGCAAAATGGAGAAATTTCAAATTGCAGGAAGTAACCAGAGTAATGTTTAGTGACTAATGATAAAACTTAAAGGCCCAGACTGTGATTATAACATCATCTGTCCAAGAGAAGTAAGGTTATATGAAAAGGCGGTTAACTAAACCCTGCAATTAATTAATTTATAGAGCCATTTTCAACGAAGAGTCGGAAGTATTCAAAACTTTCATTCGATTTGTCTTGATTTGCTCTGTGATTGGCTCAGAAAACTCGCCCCAGCATCTCAATCAGCGACATGCAAAGCTAAAACCCATAACAATCTAGTTACCTGCGTTTTTCCGCGGTTCTGGCTGTTTTCTTCGTTATTTATTTTTTCGTTAGTTTTCAGATGCTTTATGAGATAAATGTCTTTGTTCCAAGTGGCGAGTGTGATAATGGTTTTGTTTTAAAAAAAACTATGCTGAATATTAAAAGTAAAGTATACCTAATTTACAGGACCACCTCGTGCCGTTGCACTGTATCCCCTCAACAGTAGAACCCAAGGACGAGACATCGGCCCCAGGAAAAATAAACCCGGACGTCCCAGTCAGGTACGTCTGGCTTCTGGACCAGACAAGTTCCCACGGGGATCCTTCTATTTCACCGGTCGGCGCGGTAGCTACATCTACTTCCCTAACAATGGTGGCATTGATACCAGGAACTCGATAACCTTACTAGCTTGGGTCCACCCTGAGAAAGGCGGTCCTATATTCCACTACAACCCAAGAGGTTCGGGAGTAAGCTTCTGGATCCTCAGGAGGAATACCTTGTATGTGAAGTTCGTTCGGCGCTCTGGTCGTAGGTCGTTCATTCTGAGAGCACAAGGTATTCGCCCGAGGATGTGGAACTATATAGCTACAACTTATGACTGTAAGACTGGGCTAGCTACCCTCTGGCGCGAGTCAACGCCAATTGCACAGAGAAATATCGGAAGAGGTTTGAGGCTCGCTACCAATTATCCTGCGATTATGGGAAGCAGACCAGGATCTAGGACTCGTTTCCGTGGTCGGATTGCTTGTATGCAGGTGTTTGATGTGGCACTGACTGGACCTCAGATGAACAAGCGACGCAATGTTTGTTTCAGAGGTGAGCACCAGTGGATTTGATTGAACTGAAAATTTGTTTAAAATATTTTTTCATTTGGAATTTTTAGTGTGAGTTACACTACAAGTTTCTTATAGGATAAAAGTATAAATCAATCATCAGAATTTTTCGTAATAAAATAGTTAAAAAAAGTCAAAAGTTGTCCTCACTACGTGCATTACTAAAAAGAAAAGAGTTTTACCGCCCGTTATCATTGAGCTATACCAACACCGGCGAGAGCGAATGCGAACATGGGGGTTTTTTCGCTCAAGTTACTTATTTTTAAAGCTCAGTTTTGAGACACGCTCATAGATACATAGTATTTATCGATATGTCATGATCTACATTTTCCCATAATGAAATTTTGGGCCCTCGTGTGGCAATTATTAGAGTCAGTTGTGGATGCAACCCTCAACCGAAGACTTATCTGTCAGCTAAGCGTAAACCCCTGCAATATTCCACTCTTAAAACTGATTCGATGAGTTTGTATTAATTGCCACTATGTGATTTTCGATCTTAGGTGCCCCCCCACCTGAGCCGCCTCTTCCAGGTGAGTGTTGGTTTTTATTTATGTCACACAAGTTAATACTCGGACTTTGTAAAACGAATGTTATAAATCTGCAACACATTAAACTTTGGGTTAAAAATTTTGTCCTCCTGAAAAGATGAGCACTTTAACATTTTTAGCCTTTTTCTTTTGCTAATTGTTTTGAAGGCATGATTTATTCGAGCTAAGGTATGGATCCTGTGTGATATGCGTGCGTGATTTTCTGTCTTTCAGAGTTACCCCCTCTTGTCGCTATATTTGCCCTGGATGGGGAGACTAAAACTAAAGATATCACTCGTAACAACCCGCCCGGTATCCCGTCACATGTCCGTCCAGCACCAGGCCCCGACGGAAATCCAAAGGGATCAACTCAGTTTTTCGGCTCGTCAAACAGTTATATCGAATTCCCAAACAATGGCAAGCTCGATACCAGGCGTTCTATAACCATTTTGGCGTGGATTTACCACAACGGGCGGTCTGGGCCTATCTTTAACTACGATCGACGTGGTTTCGGAGTTCATCTGTGGATGGTTGGACCCAGGGTGCTTTTCGTCCGTTTTGTGAAACGTTCAAGAGGGCGAACATCTTCAGTTGCAACCTACTCTACAAAACCGCGTTATAGAGCTTGGAACTACATTGGAGCCACTTACGATTACAACACTGGCGTCGCTACATTATGGCTGGACTCGAAACCTGTAGCGCGACAGAGCATCGGGCGTTTCGAGCTGGCCACGAATTATCCAATCAGGATGGGTGCACGAATTGGCGATAAAAGGGCTTTTCGTGGTAGAATTTCCTGTCTCCAAGTCTACAGTATTGCTTTAAACGCGAAACAGATACGTGGAGCGCGGAAGCGGTGTTTCAAGAAATGTAAGTTTCTGTACTTTTTTTGTCTCGTTTTAAAAAGTTACATTAGTTCATTACTCAAGAGGGATAATCCAGGGAAGTCTTTACGGGTAGTCTTTACAATTGATAATGAATGAATATCGCGATACAAATGATGTACCACAGTGGTTTTGTTACTTTCGAACGCCAATTATTTGGTGAGTCAATAACGGGTTGAGTCAGCACACTCATGATGCTAAACATCATTTGAGCAACATTGTATGTGCATAATTACGATAAGCAGTAAACTTATCTTTTATAACAAAACACAACTTTAATTAGCCTACAGGTTATTCATAGTAAAGCTTAACGTGTAAGATCCTTATCTATTGTGGAAACTTTTATTTTGGGGAGGACACCTTTGTCAAGTCTTTCCTAGAAAATACTCGAGAGAGAATTATTAACACTTGCTAATATAAATCGAAAGTGAGATGAGATTTTACATGAAGGCCCTTTTAACTTCGCGAAACAACCGCATCGTTGCTTTTACGAATAAGCCTTACCACTGTAGTTGATTTCCGGCATATTATTTTTAGAACAGGCCTAATTCCCTTTCTTTCTCACTCACATTTAGGGCCAATTTCTACGCCAACGCCTTCAAGTAAGTATGTTTCAATGCTTAAAAATAAATATGGTAGCTCTAGGTATTCACCGTGAAAGATATTTTTCAAGCACTTCAAATCCTGAGAATTACTCAAATTTTTTAACTTCAGAAGAGACTTCTTTTGCCTCCGCTGATAAAATCTACCAAAATGTCACCTTTTTGGAGGTTACAAGAATTTTTTCCTTTAATGCGGCATCTTTGTAAGATTTTGTTTATTTTAGTTTAAGATGGAAGTAGTCTGAGGCACGCTATCTTGAATATTGCATTTTGATGTTAATCACTCGTGTCATTTTTTCTTTCAGTAACATCTCCGACACGTCCTCTACCGGAAAGTAAGTCAAAATCGTAATTTTTTACTCTCATTACAATTATAGATAATTTATTATTGTATTTATTGTCGATGTATTTTTTAGTACGAATTAAGTTTTGCCCATTATTTATTATTTATGAGTAATAGTGATTGTTTCATCTATGAAGTCGTCGTTGCTCGTCTTTGCCCAGCGTTAGCGTAAAGATTTATACAGGGTGCGATTTTTTGAACTCGCAAGAAATTTTTAAACCTGGTTATCGCACGGTACCATGTGAGAAATTGCCACACCGTGGATATTGGGCGTAAAAAGTAATGGCTTGTGTCTTTCTTTTGTGTGTTATATAGTGTGTAAGATTGCTGTAGACCTCGGGTTCCTGGTCGATGGATCTGGAAGTATCGAGTTCCAAGGGAAAGGAAACTTTGGTCGCATACTAAACCTCATTAAATCGTTGGTCAGCTTCTTTGAAGTGTCTCGAGGGAAATCACGAATCGGTTTCGTATTATTCTCTTCTCGACCGATCCCAATTTTCGGGTTCCGACGTTATTCGTCCAAAGTTCAAATCCTCCGAGCGATCGATCAGGTGCGTTATCCTCGAGGGGGCACGCGCATCGGAAATGCTTTAGAATTTACACGAAACTACCTTTTCAAACAACGAACTCCTCGCAAAAGAAAGCAAGTGCTGGTGTTGATCACTGATGGTATTTCACAAGACCGTGTCGGTCCTGCTGCCAGTCGCTTGAAGGCGACTGGTACTGAAGTTTTCGCAGTGGGTGTTGGAAAGAACTACAGGCGTAGACAGTTATACCAGATAGCTACGGATCGGAAGCATGTAGTGACTACATCATTTAGCATGCTAATGACAATCATATTGGCTTTAAAGAAGCAAGTGTGCCAACGGCAGAAAGTTGGTGAGTAGAGAAGATCATTACTTATCTTCTATGCCAGGATCTGATCGTTTCATTAAAGTAAATGGCATTAGAACTTATAACCCTTTCGTTAATTAACTCCTTTAAATGAAACTTTTAATGAACCTCCCACGTAAGTGCTTAAATCGTGGTTAGGGTTGGGTTCAACACAATCTGGACCGGGTTGTTCAAAGACGGGTTAAACTAACCTGAGGTTAGTGTTAACCTACTTTCGAACAATGCGACTCAAATTTTACCCCAAGGTTAGGCTGCCTTAACTCTGGGTTAAGACTTAACCCTCTTTTGAACAACCGAGCCCTGGAATCACCCACACAAGACTGGTTGTATAGTTATTCTGCATAGGAATGTCTTATCGACCTTCGAGGGGGGAAGGGTGGGAAACAGAACAATAACCGTTCCACGGCATGATTTAGCAACAAAATATGGCTTTTCTCTCTTATTTGTCTCAAAGCAATTTTCTATTTTCTTATTCGAATCTTACTGTGGTGGAGATGATTTTATAAAATATCAAACCTTATCACTGTCTGGAGAGGGAAGCCCTGGCAGAGACATCACGCATTGAAAATATTTTAAGAATTATCTCCTCTCCACAATTCATTATAGTACGATTCATTGCTACTTTTTAAAGTAGGAGTTCATAAATATTGCACTTTTTTACACACTCCTTCTTTATTTTCAGTACCCATCGTCCGCCCTGTCACCAAACCAACCGGTACACCTCGAGGTAACTGTATGACAATTTAAATATTTTCTATCGCTTTATTGTAGTTATTATTCCTGAGCAACTCTTAAGTGTCAACTCCCTTATCTTCCTTGACTAGTCTGATGTTATTTACTTCACAATTTTTATCAACAATGCTTGACACAAATCAAAATACAATGATCACGTTTGACTATGTTTGGAATCTTTAGCATTCACTCTCACGCACATGTATGTACACTTTCAAACACAGCGTTTAAATCAGGAATTGCTACTTTCCAGATCAAAATTATAATTTGATATTTTTATTTCCTTCAGTGGAACTTCCCAGAACGCTGGCTGTGTATTCGCTGGACTACATTAGGCGCGGACGAGATCTCAGTCGTAATCGAAACCCATCAGCCAGATTTTATGGTATAACATACAAACAAGGCCCTGATGGCAGACGGGATGGTTCTACACAATTTTATGGAAGATCAAATAGCTACGTGGAGATTCCTAACACAGGGAAACTAGACGCTAGATACTCCATCACTGTCTGTATTTGGGTTTATCACGAGGGACGACGGGGAATCATTCTGAACTACAATCCAAACCGCAGAGGCTTTCAACTGCGCATGATCAGTCCCAGAGTACTCCAAGTGATAATTGTCCGAAGAACAAGAAGGACGACAATCACGGTACAGACAAGAGGAAGAGTTATCAATTACAAGGCTTGGAGCTACATAGCTGTAACATTTGACGAGCGAAGTCAAATGTTGACCATTTGGGTGAATTCCAAACCAGTTGTTAGACGCACAATTGGTAAAGTTCAGTTGGAAACTAGGAAGGCAATCAGACTCGGTGGACAGAAAGGCAGCGGGGAATACTTCCGTGGTCGACTGTTTTGTCTTCAGTTGTACAGTGTGGCACTAAACAGGAAGCAGATCGAGGAGACAAAGAAGAGATGCTTCAGGAAAGGTAATGCATCTCTATTTGATTTTGCGAGTTATCTGAGTTTTCCTTTTCAAGTTCCTAGCCTCAGGCAGTCTTCTTGCTTTACCACTGATTCCCACCTGCTTTTTGTGAAGACTCAATCGAAGTAATAAGTATTGTTTTACTTATGCCCTTTTTCTCAGTGATCATCACAATTCCAACCCCGACACCTACGCCTACACCTGCTCCAAGAGGTAAGTCACAAATCCGTTTCGAAAAATCTTTTCTGAAACTGATAAGAAATTCTTCCCTCTATGTGCCCTGTATGTCCTTGTAAATTAGTCGAGAGGATACTTTTTTACGAAAAAAAGACCCACTCCAACATATAAATAGTGATCGCTTATTTGCTGAATGATGGAATGATGTTGTAAGCATAAGTCACTGGTTAATTTCGTCATGTAGGGAAAGGTAAGACGTCTGATAAATTGTTCGATTCTCGACATCAATCATACTTTCCAACCATACGGCATCTCCCCACGACCTGAATTTGGCATCGATCGAACCTTAAAACCAAATCCCACCACACCGCAATCTTAATTAGTAAAATTATATTGCTTTCCTTCTACAGTTTGCACAACTCGTGTTGATCTCGGTTTCTTGATCGACGCTACCAGTCGTGTGGGACGAAACATCCGGCAAATTGCTCATTTTGTACGAGAAGCTGTTCGTCGATTTACTATTTCAAGTAGAGCTGCACGTATTGGAGTAGTAACGTATGCTTCTCGTCCAAGAAGAATCATCGGCTTCGCTGCAGCATACAATCGGCAGCGTAGTTACAATGCAATTCGTGGAATTCGGGCTCTTGGAGGCAGAGCAAGACTTGGCCGAGCGTTAACCTATACCAGATTTAATCTGTTCAGAGGTAAACCTCGTTGTGGAAGACGAAGAGTTCTTATTGTTCTTACCAGTGGGCAATGGATTGACAGGGTGAAGAGACCAGCCGAGGCTCTTAAGGGGGTTGGTGTGGAGATATTCACGATTGGTATCGGCCGCATCAGAAGGACAAGTCTAGTACGAGTTACAACAGACACCAAGCATGTATTTGTAGTTGGGTATACACAGCTTTTGTCCATTGTAAGAACACTGAAGGACAGGATTTGCTACTCTCCCGGTAAGTTTTCTTATAAAAGAAATGAAATTGCACTGCTGTGAAAAAACGCAATTGACTCTTATTCCCCTTACATAAAAAGAAAATACCTTTAAAGTCCAAACATTTCATACGATGTTAATAACATTAACTTTCCTGGGACTCGTATACCGAAATTATTGTAAAGACATATTTCCCAGCACTCTAAAATGGAAGCCAAATCACTTTTTTTCGGAGAAAACTTTAAATGTTCCATGCAGTTATTTGTACAGAAATCTCTTTTTACCTCTTTCCTTGCTTATGCGTCTAAATTCAATTTCTAGTTATTCGCCGAGGAGCAGTTGCAGTTTATCAGCTCAACAGCGCCTCCAAGAACCGTGACATCAGTGGATACGTCAACCCACCCGCCACATTTGTTGGCGTTTACTACGCACGTGGCCCTGACAATCATCCACAAGGAGCCCTTTCCTTCAGTGGAAGAAGAAACAGTTATGTTTTGATCCCTAATAACGGCTGTCTGGACACTAAGTTCTCACTGACTATTATCATGTGGGTATATCCAGAGAGCAGTGGACCATTGTTACATTTTAATCCAAAAGGCTGGGGTGTTCACGTGTGGATTATAAGTCAGTTCAGACTTTTCGCTCGGTTTGTACCTCGCTCAGGTAAGTCTGTGACAGCCGTGTACAAGAGGATAAAACCACGCCAGTGGAACTACATTGCTGCGTCGTACGATCGACGAACAGGTCTGGCCACACTGTGGCTAGATAGTCTTCCCATCATCCAACGCAAGATTGGTAGATTCCGTCTTGGCCTTGCTACTAACTATCCTATAGTGATCGGAAGTAAACCTGGTGATCGACGCAAGTTCCGCGGAAGAATTGCCTGTGTACAGATGTATAATTATGCTATGAGTGCTGCACAGATTCGAAGTAAAAAGAAGAAGTGTTTCCGTGTAGGTGCGTGTAAGATTTTCTTTTCTTTGGTTCACTCTTGTTTGTAAAGGAAACATCTTCTTTAGACACATGCAAATTTGTTATTTAAACGTTTAAATTAACACTCAAGTCTTATTGAAACGGTAACCACGCGGTGTTTTCTGATGATATTCCCACTTACAATGTGTTTCAAAGGAATTTTTCTTGTGGGGAGAAGATGTTACCGCTATACAAACCCACACCATCGATTAAATTTCGAAACTCCGCTGCTAACTCGTAACCTTATGGAAGAATGTACCCGAAAACGTTTAGCATATATGTCCTTTTTTTAACTCATTTTGGATTTGGGAAAGTTTTAAAATCTTATTGTTGGCAAAAAATGAAATTTGCCCACTTAATTAAGTAAATCTATTTTCCTTTCCTTTCAGCACCCACTTCTCCAGTCACAAAACCAATTGGTACACCAAGAGGTGAGCAAAACATTCCATATCTCTGTTAGTTTCGCGCATCAAGAGTTTAATACCGATCTCGTAATCCATTGATGAGATCACAGTGTACCCTTAGGTGTGATGGCAGAATGGGCATCCAAATTAAAAGTGTGCAAGCGTTTGTCGCCACTTAGACTTACTCTCACCTACGCGTAAAGTACGAACTAATCATTGAAGTCTTAAGTTCATCTGTCAACTTCTGATATTTCTCATAATTATTCAATTATTTCGCAGTGGAACTTCCTAGAACGTTGGCTGTGTATCCGCTGGACTACATTAGGCGCGGACGAGATCTCAGTCGTAATCGAAACCCATCAGCTAGATTTTACGGTATAACATATAAACAAGGCCCTGATGGCAGACGGGATGGTTCTACACAATTTTATGGAAGATCAAATAGCTACGTGGAGATTCCTAACACAGGGAAACTAGACGCTAGATACTCCATCACTGTCTGTATTTGGGTTTATCACGAGGGACGACGGGGAATCATACTGAACTACAATCCAAACCGTAGAGGCTTCCAGCTGCGCATGATCAGTTCCAGAGTACTTCAAGTGATAATTGTACGACGAACGAGAAGAACAACAATCACGGTACAGACAAGAGGAAGAGTTATCAATTACAAGGCTTGGAGCTACATAGCTGTAACATTTGACGAGCGAAGTCAAATGTTGACTATTTGGGTGAATTCCAAACCAGTTGTTAGACGAACAATTGGTAAAGTTCAGTTGGAAACCAGGAAGGCAATCATACTCGGTGGACAGAAAGGCAGCAGGGAATACTTCCGTGGTCGACTGTTTTGTCTTCAGTTGTACAGTGTGGCACTAAATAGGAAGCAGATCGAGGAGACAAAGAAGAGATGCTTCAGGAAAGGTAATGCATCTGTATTTGATTTTTCCCCTTACTTGAGTTTTTCTTTTCAAGTTCATGCCCCCAGACATTCTTCCTGTTTTACCATCGATTTTCATTTGCTTTTTGTGAACAATCAATCGAAATAATAACCCTAGTATTGATTTACTTTCGCTCTTTTTTCTCAGTGCCCATCACAATTCCAATCCCTACGCCTACACCTACACCTGCTCCTAGAGGTAAGTAACAAATCTGTGACGTGATATGGTTTTTATATTCTGGAACTAATTACGCGATACTAGAACCTGTATTGATATTGAAAACCGGCACCAATTAAGTCGTTTCAAAAAACCTTTTCTGGAACTGATAAGCAATTCTCTCCTCTATATACCATCTATGTCCTTGTGAGTAAGTTGAGAGGATACTGCGTTGTAAAAAAAAAGACCCACTTTACCGTATAAATAGTGATGCTCAACTCGCTTATTTGCTGAATGATGTAGAGATGTTGTAAATGTACGTCACTAGATAATTTCGTATAGTAGGGAAAGTTACCCGTCTGATAAATTGTTCAATTCTAGAAATTTGTGAATGAATTTGCTTTTTTTCACAGTTTGCACAGCCCGAGTTGATCTCGGTTTCCTTATCGACGCTACCAGTCGTGTGGGACGAAATATCCGGCAAATTGCTCAGTTTGTACGAGAAGCTGTTCGTCGATTTACTATCTCAAGTAGAGCTGCACGTATTGGAGTAATAACGTATGCTTCTCGTCCAAGAATAATCATCGGCTTCGCTGCAGCATACAATCGGCAGCGAAGTTACAATGCAATTCGTGGAATTCGGGCTCTTGGAGGCAAAGCAAGACTTGGCCGAGCGTTAACCTATACCAGATTTAATCTGTTCAGAGGTAAACCACGTTGTGGAAGACGAAGAGTTCTTATTGTTCTTACCAGTGGGCAATGGATTGACAGGGTGAAGAGACCAGCCGAGGCTCTTAAGGGAGCTGGTGTGGAGATATTCACGATTGGTATCGGCAGCATCGGAAGGACGAGTTTACTACGAGTTACAACTGACACCAAGCATGTATTTGTAGTTGGGTATACACAGCTTTTGTCCATTGTAAGAACACTAAAGGACAGGATTTGTTACTCACCAGGTAAGTTTACTTTGGAAATATACGTTGTACTGCCGTAGAATGATGAAATGCTAAGAAATTCTGATTAAGAGTATTTTGGTTTTATTGACTGAGTTGATATTTTAATTTAAACCCGTTGAAGAATTTTTGCAAGCCGACCTTTCGAGCGTCAGGTCTTCGTCAGCTCCCTACGTTTGCCTGTAAACTCTTTAGGATGGCCAATAAACATAAGTAACTCGGTTGAAGAAACCAAGTAATCTTGTAATACGCCACACTTCACCCGCTTCTGATTATGAGCGTTCGTTTGAGGGGGAAATTTTTCTTTCTTAAGCAAACTAATCCACTTCGATTGTGTCCCCTTGCCATTTTCAAAGAAAAGATCAAAGTTTCACTTTGAAATTCAAAACTCAAAGGATCGCCTTTGGTTATCTTTGTGCAAAATTTGTTTGTACTTATCTTACCCCTGTTAACTCGTGAGACTTTGTTTTTCTCAGTTATTCGCCGAGGAGCAGTTGCAGTTTATCAGCTCAACAGCGCCTCCAAGAACCGTGACATCAGTGGATACGTCAACCCGCCCGCCACATTTGTAGGCGTTTACTACGCACGTGGCCCTGACAACCATCCACAAGGAGCCCTTTCCTTTAGAGGAAGAAGAAACAGTTATGTTTTGATCCCTAATAACGGCTGTCTGGACACTAGGTTCTCACTGACTATTATCATGTGGGTGTATCCAGAGAGCAGTGGACCATTGTTACATTTTAATCCAAAAGGCTGGGGTGTTCACGTGTGGATTATAAGTCAGTTCAGACTTTTCGCTCGGTTTGTACCTCGCTCAGGTAAGTCTGTGACAGCCGTGTACAAGAGGATAAAACCACGCCAGTGGAACTACATTGCTGCGTCGTACGATCGACGAACAGGTCTGGCCACCCTGTGGCTAGATAGTCTTCCCATCATCCAACGCAAGATTGGTAGATTCCGTCTTGGCCTTGCTACTAACTATCCCATAGTGATCGGAAGTAAACCTGGTGATCGACGCAAGTTTCGCGGGAGAATTGCCTGCGTACAGATGTATAACTATGCTATGAGTGCTGCACAGATTCGAAGTAAAAAGAAGCAGTGTTTCCGTACAGGTAGGTGTAAAAGCTTAACTAACGTTGTTAGTTTGTAATCTTTTAAACGAGAAACAATCATACTCTGGGGCAAAATTAAGGATGTTTTAATTTTGAAAAGCAACGATTTTTAAGTCCTTTACTATGTTGTGATTTAGGTTATGAAAATAATCAGCCACAACAACGAAAATAGGCATATTTCATTAATGATTTCTTGGGTTTAAAAGAACAGAGAATAAGAACATTTTTTAGCGATAGCACTATTAAATACAAACTCATCAAAATTTGGAAGTCTAGAAGCGTCTAAACAGTGGATCGTACTTGGACTCCAATCTGAATGCTTGAGGCATTCGATGCGTTATATTTCCCAGATCGTTAATGATCTCGTCATTTGGCCTTCAGTGGACCAGCACGTTTAACATCAGTTTGCTTTGTTAGACCGGTGCAAAATGACTCGAAAAATATACGGTCATTGGGTTAGATCTCAGGGGAATGTTACTCGTTCACAACTTATCTTCCGACAGGCCTTTTTGATATATTATTATTTTCGTTAGTGTCTGGTCGCTAATGTTAATCTGTTTGTTTGTTCTTTAAAGTTGTGACCCCATCGCCGACTATTCCAATTAAAAAGCCAACACCAACAAAACCACCAGGTAAGCAATTGACCTCTCATCTCTCTGGCTTATTAACGATTAAAAGTGATCAAGATGCCCAAATCGCAAAGGGTTCTCATCATTTGGCCTTGAGTGAGACAGCGCGTTTTCAAACCACTTTCTTTTCTTTCTAGTATGTCGCTTGAAAGTCGATCTTGGGTTCCTGGTAGACGGCTCTGGAAGCATAGAGAACCGAGGCAAAGGAAATTTCATGCACATTCTCGATTTTATCAAGACTCTGATCAGTTTCTTCCCTATCTCTGCGGGCCAGACCCGGGTGGGTATGGTAGTGTTCTCCACTCGGCCACACCCGATCTTCCGTTTTAACCGATATTACACCCTGCCAAGCGTTATCAAGGCAGTTGATCGTGTGAGATATCCATATGGAGGAACAAAGCTGGGAAGAGCCCTTGCATACGTTTCAAGGTACGTGTGTGAAGCTGTTGAGTACAAGTAATGGATAGATCTCTGAAGGATATTTATTCTTAACGATGCTTCTGTATGCATCGACTTATTTTTAAGATTCTCGACGATTTAGTCTAAAAGTTATCACCTTAAACTCTGCTTGCCCATTACTGGGATCACTGTGTTGTGCTCTGTGGCAAGATACTCGCCTCTCACAGATCCTCATTCCTCCCAAGATAGAGTACATAATTATGCACACTTAAGGAACGGGACGCGTTATTTTCGAGTACGATCGCGACTGCTCCCGAACGACTTTATTCTTGAGATAACCGCCCAGTCCGATAAGCGGAAGACCGGAGGATTTCATAAATGAGAAAACTAAACGAATTACACTTGTGATCAAACGAAAACATGGCGGCTCTGAAAGGAAGAAACGGTTGTTAAGAAGCATGAGCGGTCACAATGCAAATTGCTGACATCGGCTCGCTTTACTTAACGGTGCCGCTGTAATAGCAACCACATCCAGAACTCTTAGCCGCTTCATGCCAAAGAAACCAAGATTTAGCTTCAGATGTAGCAGGAAACTTGAAAAATTAGTTTAAACCAAGTAATATAAAGCAACCAAGAATTAATTTTTCCTTATAAAGGTGTACTTAATCAAACGCAGAATTCGCGAGAAAAAAGAAAATGATCTTCGAACGACAAAAGACCTTGATCCTGTAAAGAAATTTTCCTAACCTGTATCGTTTTAATAGCGGAGCTCGCAGAGCGTAGCCCCATAATTATACAAAAGAGTAGCAACCCATCAAGCGGAAAAAATCTGGATGTACGACCGTACTACCGCACACGATGCCACTTTTAACATGCGTGGTCAACTGTACCGCGGGCACGTCAACGCCACGGCTTTGTTCAGTAGTCCAGTGGTCAGAGCAGTGGGCTCCGAGTCAAAAGACCCGGGTTCTAGTCCTGGCCGGGGCAAGGCGTTGTGCCCTTGAGACGTGCGGGAAAAAAAATGCAAGCACTGACCGCTTTTAGGCTTAGCTAAATCTATATAGTAGGGAGAAAAATGTTTAGAATATGTATGCTGATAATTCTTTGGTCTTTGTCCCGTCCAGGTACTTATTTCCGCGAGGAAGGTCAAAAGGCAGAAAGCCAGTTCTTGTTATCTTGACAGACGGGATTTCGCAAGATAATGTAATAGGTCCCGCCGAGAGATTGAAACGGAAAGGAGTGGAAATCTTTTCTTTGGGGATTGGTCACAAGTTTAGAAGGCTTCAGCTGCAACAAATGGCTTCCAGTCCACTGCATGTGTTCACGGCTGGGTTCAGGAGACTAAGCACTGTTCTTGGTGTAATTAAAAACAAGGCTTGCACACCATATGTACCGCGTAAGTGATCTAATTGTATTTTACTCACTGTATGCATACAGGGGCCATAACATCCATACGAAGGCTCTAACATGTATACAGGGGCAAAACATGCCTTTAGGGGCAGTAATATGTCTACAGGGGCAATTACACGCATACAGGGGCAATAACATGCCTATAGGGCCAATGATATGTCTATAGGGGCAATTACATGCGTAAAGGGGCAAGAACATGCATCAGGGGCAATAAATGTATGAACCTTTGTAATCTTTAACGATATTTTCGAAGTGAATTCTGTTGCGCATGAAGCTACTTACCTTGACATTTTGAAGCTTTTCCTGGTGGTGAGTGATCAAGATGTTCGATATAGCTGGTTGAAAAATTGTTCTTCGATCATATCAACAAATAGAGGAAGTCCAATTTTGCTTACAATACTGCCTTTGTGGATTGAGGAATGAACTAGGAAGGTAGTTTCTTCACAAATAACTCCTTCTTGTTACAGCATTGTAAAGAAGGGACGATATATTTTTTGAAAGAAACATGCTTTAAAGTATAGATAAGCCATATTTTAAATTATTTTGACTTTCTTTTCTTACTTTTGCTCCTTTTTTTAGCAAAAAAGCCTACGACACCTTCAGGTAAGTCGTTAAATCGCTCATCTTTGCAGAGCTGGTTGGTCATACAATATCCAGTTTTTAAAAAGCAGTGAATCGATATGTTTGCCTCTGCCTGGTACAACTGTGACATCTCCTGAACAATTATCGGATAGGAAATGAATGCCGTTCCACTTTACCTCGAATCTATTCCCATTTCTCGGTCGTTCATCTTTTAAAAGAAAAAAGTTTTGAACATTCTTAAATTGCAGTGAAGGTTTTCTTCATATCAACGTATTTTTACGACACTAATATCTACCACTGTAGATTGTGTTTGCGATCAATGGTTCATACTTCAAAACTTGCGTTTTTATTTCCCCCAGCTTGCAACCTAGCAATTGATATTGGTTTTGTCCTGGACGCCTCTGAAAGAGTTGGACACAACAATTTCAGGCGAATAAAAAAGTTCGTAGAACTCGTTTCCCGATCATTTTCGATTTCTCGGAGCCGAGCACGTGTAGGAGTCATCGTATACGGTTCGTCTGCTCGGATGCAGTTCGGACTCAACTGGTACACGAATCCACGCCGGCTGAACCGAGCTATTAGAAGGATGCGGTATACCCGAGGATCAAGACGCACTGGAAAGGCCTTACAGCTCGCAGTCGGAGCGCTTTTCAGACGCAGTCGACGGAAGAGGGTTCTGATAACGGTGATGAGTGGGCCGTCGTATGATAGCGTGAAGATACCAAGTGTACAGATACATCGAGCTGGCATTGAAGTGTTCGCTGTTGGTGTCACCACTCGAGTGAGGAACCAGGAGCTTAGGGCAATAGCCACTGATTCTCGTCATATTTACATGGTTAATTTTAATTCACTTTATGGCATCGTCAAAAGCATAGTCAGGAAAGCGTGCAGAGGTATTTTCAAAAATTTTTTTTTTCTGTCTACAGAAATATTATTATAATCAAACTTTCCTACTTTGTGAAAATATTGAAACTATACTCGGAGTATTAACAGCATTTTATTACTTGTCCAGCTCAAATAACTACGCGGCCGACCATACGACCATCTACCCCGTCTCCATCAAGAAAACCAAGTAAGTCTACAAAGAAAATCGATGAGCGATAATAAATGAGTATTATTATTTATCACGAACGCAGAGTTCCGGCCATTTGTCAGACTTCGCTTCATATCATATACAGTACCATCCTTTCTGCTTGCTTAATAGTATTCGATAAAGAGCACTTTTCTATTAATTGTTAAAAGAACTCCGGGATAGTATCTGTTGTTCTCCACTATGCGCTGTTGTCAAGGAAGTGAAATTCGCACCGTGTGTATGTAATGCCTGCGCCTTCTCGCTCTTTGCTGATTGGGCGAAGTGATTACATTTGTTTTGATCTTCTCAGCGTTCTGTAGAAAAGCCGGATCGATCAAGATCCGACTTTGCATGTCTGTTTTTTGGGTTCTGTTTACTCACTAGTTTCTTTTCATACCAGGCTTCCCTCAACCCGTTGCTGTCTACACACTGGACAGCAAAACTGGTGCACGTGATATCAGCCCAGGAAGAAACATTCCAGGCAAAAGCTACAACATTAGATACGCCCCAGGCCCTTACGGTCAACCTGGCGAGTCAACGGAATTCTTTGGTCGTCGCAACAGCTACATCCGTTTCCCCAACTCGGGAAAATTGGATGTTAAGGACTCTATAACACTTCTCGCTTGGATATTTCCTATAGGTCGTGGTCCAATTTTTGAATACTTCCGTGGGATAAGGTTCTGGGTGGTCCGGTCGGACACGTTATATGTTCAGTTCAAACGGAGGAACGGGCGACCTACGCGGGCTTTGATTAAACGGCGTCTTTACCCACGCCGCTGGAATTACGTCGGTTGTACGTATAATCAGCGAACAGGCATAGCTACGCTATGGGTGGATTCAAGACCTGTACTAACGCAGAATATCAAGCGCATTAGATTAGCGACAAAGACAACCGCGTATATGGGTGGAACATTCCGCGGGCGCATAGCTTGTATGCAAGTTTACTCTGAGGCACTGACTGGACCTCAGATTAAAAAAGTCAAGAACCTTTGCAATAAACCAGGTGAGCTTTAGTACTGAGGTCTTTGATAAAGAGACTTTTTCTACTGCAAAGTTGAAGATATCGGCATTGTTAGTTCCAGGTACGAACCAACTATTCTTTTCGCACCTTAAAAAACCATGAAATATCTGATGGAACGATATTAAGAAACTTTTTCGTTTGTCTCTTTGAAAATGGTGTTAAAAGGCTTAACTTCAGTTCAACAAGTAATAATTGGTTTTGGATCATAAAGTTAAAATTTGATGTTTTTTACATCTATTTTAACATTTTTCTTACATTCTATTACACTCATTACTTACCACTTATTTACAGGTCCTCCAACTAAACCCATAAAGCCACCTACAGGTAAACGCCTGATTTTTTTTGGTACACCTCGATTATACTTGATGATTTAATTTTCTGATGAGTCTTGCCTTCAATTCACCCACTGTCTCGTTTATATGGTAGCGAAACCTGGATCATCTCACAAAATCATTTTTGTTGTTGTTGTTTCTCTTACTTTTAGCTTTACCTCCAGCCATTGCTTTCTATCCCTTAAACGTTCGATATAACACCCGTGACGTCAGCAGAAGTAAAAACCCATCAGGGCGCATGGCAAATGTGCGCCCTGGCGTAGGACCAGACGGAAGGCCAGGTGGCTCATTTAGGTTCAAAGGTCGCTCTGACAGTTACATCGAGTTCCCGAACAAAGGCCGATTAGACGCTCGGAATTCAATCTCTATTCTGGCTTGGATAAATCCGGATGGCCCTGTAGGACCGATCTTTAATTACAAACCGGATGGGTTTGGCGTCCACTTGTGGATGGTGCGTCGACGAGTGTTACTTGTTCGTTTCGTGACTCGTACACGAAAGTTTACAGCTGCCGTGCAAACCAACCTTATCAAGCCCAAGGCCTGGAATTTCGTCACTGCTACTTATAATCAGCGGACGGGATATGCCCGATTATATATCGATTACAGAGAAGTTGCCCGGAAACGAATCGGTAGGATTCGACTGGCTACAAACTATCCTGCTAGAATGGGTGCGCGGATTGGAGATAAACGGTATTTCCGTGGACGAATTACATGTTTGCAGATCTATGACGTACCACTGCGACCAATACAGATCCAATTGGCCAAGAGGCTTTGTTTGAAGACAAGTAAGGATAACGAGCTCAGAGTTGTGTATAAAAGTGATACTTATACTAAACTAATTTGATATTGAATAAAGGCGACACTTCTATCGTGCTTCCAGCTACTTTGAGCATGGCTTTAGTACCGTTTAGTTAAAGGAAGTCCATGGAATATTTGATCGTTAAGCAGTTTCTTGCTTTAAGGTGTAAACTATCGGTAGGTAGGCATTACAACATATTCATAACGTTTGATTAATTGTAAATGTATTCTTCTGTTTACAGAAGTTTTCACACCTACTCCAACACCCACACCAACACCTACCAAACCGGGTCCGCCAAGACGTAAGTACTCGAAACCTTAATCAATTCTAGTTGGTCATCTTAGGAAAATATTCCTATTCAGTTTTGCATTTTGCCATTGCCCCAGGGGTTTCAGTAGTTTCTTGCTGAAACCCCTACATAACACTACTTCTGAATTATGCGACTGTTGTACCTATCTCCAGTAGACTGGGACGGCTTATTCTTATTATCTTAGTATTGGTTTAAACTTAGGTCACGGTAAGTTTTAAAGATTATTTAGGTAATTCAGCTATGGAGCTAAATTGATTGTTCCACTTCACCCGCAAAGAAGTAGCCACGATCTCCACTTGTGCAACGCACAATTATTATATGAACCATAACAAAGATTACCCTTAGTTTCAAAATTTTCAATGTGGGGCAACCAAAGTTTCATTAGTAACAAAAGTTCTTTTTTTTTCTTTTGAAATCTGACACGTTCTCAACAAGGTTTACGACAAAGGGGGATTGAAGATTTCAAAGCAAGGGAGAGGGAGAGCCATAGTATAAGTTTTCTTTAGGAATTAAGTTGTCTTACACGCAGCATGACAGATATACACATGATTTTTAAAATTATGTTCTTTCTTGCAGCTTGCAGAGCAAACATGGATCTAGGATTCCTTATAGACAGCTCTTACTCCTTGCGTCGATCAGGCAGAGGAATTTTCCGACTTCTTACCCGGAACATAGCGCGACTTCTCTACTCGCTGCGAATTTCAACCAAAGAAACCCGCGTCGGTATAGTCACATACGCATCAAAACCCAAGCCTTTGTTCCGATTCAACCGCTTCTTTAGGGCGTCTTCCATGCTTTCAGTCATAAGAAGGATTCGACCACAAAGAGGTCCTCTCAGGATAGGAAGAGCTCTCTACTATACCCGTAGGTACTTGTTTAGAAGAAGAAGGCAATGTGGACGGAAGCGTGTGCTCGTGGTATTTGCAAGTGCCCGCTCAGTAGACCGTGTACAGCGGGCGGGACGCGTTTTAAAACGTATTGGAATTGAAGTATTTGTCGTCGCTATTGGTAGAAGGACAAGCAAAACACAGTTATACCAGATCGCTACAAATGGACTCCATGTGTTTACAGCTTCGTTGAGGACATTATCAGCGGTGCTGAATGCTGTACGAGTCAAAGCATGTTCAGGTATTCCATAATTCTATGCGATGGAATTTGAAAATTTATATCATTGCCGTCCCAAATTTCATTCTCATATCCTCGTCACTGTTTAGTTTTATCAAACACAATTTCTGCTACTCATTCTTTGAGTTGAGCTTTCGTGTAAAAGTTAAATATTAAGGGACAGGAAGGCGTAAAAGATTCTGAAAAGGGGTTCTTCAGCCCGTCGGGAACCAGCTTTGCGGTCTCCAATAGTACCCTGATTGAATGAAAGACAGTAGACAGACGTGATTTTTGAGAAAGTGACCATTAGATTAAAAAGACAAGAGAAAAGGCATCCGAATTTTTTTACTACGTTTTCTCTATTGCAGTAACTGGATCGGCAGCTGCCAGAGTTATATACCCTCTTAATGGCGTCACTCGAGGAAGAGACATAAGTATCAACCGCAACAGAGCTGCTAGACTTGTCAACGTTAAACCGGCTCCAGGACCTGACGGCCTCCCATTGGGTTCGTACTATCTTCAAGGCATCGCAAACAGCTACATCCTGTTCCCAAACAAGGGTTGCCTGGATACAAAGAACTCCCTTACCATCGTTGTGTGGGTCTACCCCGAAGGTAGCGGACCAATCTTCCACTATTTTCCTCGCGGATGGGGAGTGCATCTGTGGATGAAAAATCCTCGCACTCTCCTGGTGAAGTTCGTGCCGAGGTCCCTGCAGACCATCAGCGTTGTCACAAGCCGGAGAATCAAACCAAAGACTTGGAATTACATAGCTGCAACTTATGACTACGTCACGGGTCTGGCCACTCTATGGAATGACGCCATACCGATATCACAGAGAAACATCGGGAAGATTCAGTTGGCTACCAACTACCCGGCAATATCTGGGAAGAAGCCCCGGGACAGAAGGATCTTCCGAGGGCGGATCGCTTGTCTCCAGATTTACGATCGAGCACTGACCGGAAGACAGCTTAGGAGAATCAAAAAGAAATGTTTCAGAGGTTTGCCTTGCTAATAATTTCTGAAAGTATTGAATTTGAATTTGGTTTTTGATTTTCATCAATAACATTTTTATCTTTTTTTTTTTTCTTATCTTAGCCCGACCTACACCAACTCGACCACCTCCAGGTGAGAGAAAGATATTTCAATTCCTCCTTGACTGCACCTATCACTGAGCAGGGCTTCTTAAAAGTCTGAAATTCTTAAAGAAAGTAATGGTCTTAAAAAAAAATGTCAAGGAATAAAGTCAAGGTAGCATAGGCTGTCCGCAAGGTTTAGCTATGGCTATTAGAAGTAAAATAACCTAACACCTCAACAAAATACAGGGATAACTGACGCGTTACCTTCACCATGCGGTCGTTTTGTCCCATCCCAACCCCCTCCATGTTGTTTTCAACCTCTTTGATCATTTTCTTCGCTGTCAACATTATTTGTTTTTTGGATGGGGAGTTTAGACACTCCTGTTAGAAATAAGAAGCAATATCTTCTGCGGGAATTATTTCTTTAAGAGTTTTGGGCCAAATTTGTAAATTTCTTCCCGTAGAAGTAACATTGGCATCTTTTCATTTTTTTCTATAGAACTTCCTCTATTGGTGGCTGTTTATCCACTGGATAGAATCAATGGCGCTCGTGACATTAGCCCACGTAAATGCCCCACTGGAAGACGCGTTGGCGTAAGAATCGCCCCAGGCCCAGACGGAAGGAAAGACGGAGCTACTGAATTCCTTGGCAACCGTAACAGTTACATTGAAATCCCAAATAACAATGGAAAACTCGACACGGTGGCGTCAATCTCCATTTTGACGTGGATTTACCACGAAGGTCTAAAAGGTCCCATAGTCAACTACAGGGCAGGTCCCGGATGGGGCGTGCACCTGTGGATGATTGGACCACGCACGCTTTTTGCGCGGTTCGTCCGCAGAGATGGCGTATTTACTAAGGCGGTAGTCGTCACCAGCAGAAAAATACGTTACAGGGCATGGAATTACGTTGGTGCTACATACGACTTCAAGACTGGAGTTGCTAAACTCTGGGTTAATTCCAGGTTACTTGTTGTTAAGAGTATCGGACGATTCCGATTGGCAACAAACTATCCAATCAGGCTTGGAACACGACATGGCGACAAACGCTACTTTAAGGGAAGAATCTTCTGCGTGCAGATCTATAGTCGCGCGCTGAACCGGAAACAAATTTTAGCGGCTAGTAAAACCTGCTTCAGGCCCTGTAAGTGATCCTAAAAGTAATTAATCTTTATCTGTAAAAGTCAGTTGCCTTAACCTTTCTTATCGCATGTGTTGTATAAGCTAAATATGAGCACTATAAACCAATGTTTTTCAGGGTACAATATCCCATCCATTTTCTAAAATTTGGTGTCTTTCATCTCCCTAGACTTAATGTTCGCACTCAAAGACAAGTATAAATTTCCGAGGGGGTCGTAGCAAAATTTCCCAATAGGGATTAGCACACTGGGCAATGCACCTCATTTCAATTACAGACTGATCAATTCAGACATCTCAGCACAATTTGACTGTAATAACACTCCTAAAATGTGGTCTTAGGATCAATGTGCCTGCAGAGTAACGTGGAAACAAAACATATCTTAACTCTGGTGTTTTCCTGTGCTTTCCTCTGCTTACTTGTCTCCGCTATATCTCTTTTGCCTAAGAGTTGATTATTTAGTTAACTAGTCTCATTTGCGTATGTCTTTTCCAAGTGCCCACAACCAAACCCAAGCCACCAACGCCGACACATCCAATATCAACACCAACACCAACAAAACCTAAAGGTAAGGGTTACATGTATACAATATAACATGATCATCGTTCAAAACACAGTGACATGTCCATGACTAGGAAGCCGACACGAACCTTGAATGCCGCAAAACTCTAGAACAAAAATTTATCTTTCAAATCGGTACTCTTAATCCCCACGGTATCAACGAGCCCATATTATTCAACTTATTTATTCTTTTTTTTCTCGTCACTGTATTCCTACCAATAGCGTAGCTCCATTTTTTGCATATAAACACACACACAACCCACAATTCCTCCAATTGCTCTGACGAGGGGCTAACGCTCGAAATGTCAGCTGCGAAACTCTTTATGGTGGCCAATTTACGTTATCAACTCAGTTGATAATACTAGATTATCGAATCTCTAATCAATCTTCAAACAATTGAAAAAGGCCTGAGAATGTTCAGAGGAGCGAACCTTTTACTCTTCTTTTAGAATTTGCGTCTTCCAAAGAGTTGCCTAGGATACAATAACATCAAGAAGTGCGGAGTAAATGTCGCTTTGCTTTTGCGCGTCTTGTAAGAAGTCGTTACTTTGTTCAGTCTGATACTTATTGAACCTGAGCGTTATAAATGTTTTGTTCTCATTTTTCTTTCTTCAAGGACCATTTAAAGCCTCAGCATTCTACCCTCTAACCTCGCGTACCAGAGGTCGTGACATCAGTGTGTTCGGCAACCCACCAGGAAAGCTTGGCTACGTACAATCAGCACCAGGCCCCGACAAATTACCTGGAGGTTCATACCAGTTTTTTGGACGCCGTGACAGCTACATACAGTTCCCAAACAGAGGGAAATTGGACACGAGACGATCAAGCACAATCATCGCATGGATCTACCACGAGGGACGTGCGGGCCCGATCTTCAACTACATGCCAAATGGTTGGGGAGTGCATTTGTGGATGGTGTCACCGCGAACGCTTTTTGTACGTTATACGCGTCGACAAGGAAGAAAATCCACGACTGCTCTTGCTAGTCCTCGTATTAAACCTCGCACATGGCAGTACATTGCAGCCACATACGACCACTATACGGGCTATGCAAAGTTGTATTTAGACAGTAAAGTAATAGCGCAAAGGAGATTGGGCCGAATTCGTCTAGCGACAAATTATCCTGTGAGGATGGGTGCCAGGATAGGAGATGGGCGGTATTTCCGAGGGCGCATATCTTGTGTAATGGTTTTTGATGTGGCATTGAACCCCAATCAGATTGCACGCAGGAAGAAGCGCTGCTTTAGACGTAAGTTGCTTAATTGTTGGTTTGTTTAATTTGTTTCTTTGTCCCTCTGTGTATCCTTCTGCTATTGTTTGTGCACCTACTTGTCAGTGTGTCGTTATGTCTGTCCGTGTTTGTATTTACTGTCTAGTTGTCCGTGTGTCTCTCCATTCGTCAGTCTATTGTTTATGCATCTATTTTTCAGTCCGTATGTCTGCCTTTATCTACCTTACTGTCTGCCTTTGTCGGCCTTTTTGTCGGGTTGTTTGTGTGTCTGTCTGTCTGGTAGGCTGAGTTTCATGTTTGCCTTTGCTGAAGCCATCGCGAATGAATGGAGTTCTAAATTTTCAAATGTCTATTCTCTTTCTCAGTTAGATTTTTTCTAGATAGTCCAGCGTTCAACTCTTTCGGTGGCTTTTTTTAAGTAGTCCTCTGGTACTCATTCCAGAAGCTGGGATCTTTGACGATTCACGTTTCATTGAGTTATTCTATACCTTTATTTATTTAAAATGTCCCAACTTAAACAATTAAACCAAAGATGCTAACTAGAGTGACAAATCAGCATTGTTGTTTAAACATTTTACCCCTTTCTTCCCAAAAGATAATATGATCTTGAAGCAAACTCGCTACTTAGCGAGCTTTTAAGAGCTCCTTATGTGGCGTAGGTATACAAATCCATATACCATTCCATCTGACCGTACCGTCCGTCCGTCGGTCATTCTATCTATCTGTCCATCTGGTTGTTTTTAATTTCTCTGGCTTTCTATCTGTCTGTGTTGCAGTCTCTCCCAAAGTTTTTACCCATGCGTTTTAAAAGTGTACCTCAAATTTATTCCATACCTTTCAGTGTTATAAATTCTTTATAGAAAACTTGCATGATTCCCAAATCATGTTTATTTTTCTCCCACAGGTGGACCGCCAGGACCATCCGGAAAAGGTCAGACAATTAATATATTCTTGCTTATTGACAGCCACTGATGGTACTCTTTTATACCGTTTTGCTGGAATCCCCTTCGTGATATAAGTAATGTTTAGTTCTTATCTTACACATCTGGTCAAATAGCCCGTTTCACTGATAAAATCGAAGAATTAACACCAAAGTGTACAAAAGTGAACCATTGGACTAAAGAAACTCTGTTATCATAATTTACAATTGATCGTGTAGTTTAATCGTCCGTCATCATCAGAGTCAAGAGGAGAGTTTTTTCAGTCGATTGTTATAATTCTGGTTCGTGTATTAAAACTGATTGGTCAGTTTAGCCGTGATGTTATTTTCAACGAGACTCAAATGGCGTAAGTCGGTTGTTATTGGTCAGACTGGTTAAGTTACATTGCTGACTTTTGACCAACCTTCACTTAATCTAAAGTATATTGCTCAAAGCTAATTTAAAATATTCTTTGTAATGACGTGTGTTTTTTATTCCCCTTTTTTCTCAGTTTGTAAACCCAAGATCGACCTCACCTTTGTCATAGACGCTTGTACGGAAAACGACCGCTTTACCAAAGCTAACTTCCTCCGTCTGAAGACCTTCCTGATTCGTGTCATTAGCGAGCTGCGTATCTCCGCTAAACGAGTACGAATCAGCTTGATTACGTACGCGAAGTTTCCCAAACTCTTAATCAGTTTCAGCGCCAAAAAGTCCTACGTCATCAGAGTCATCAAAAACATGAAACGTGTATGCGGAGCGCGTTATACAGGGGCTGCCTTGCAGTACTCATACAGGAACATCATAAGCCGGACCTCAAGGAGAAAGGTCCTGGTTTTGACGAGCACTGGCCCGTCCAGAGATGATATCCGGGGTGCAACAGCTTTGATTCAAAGGTCAAGAGTAGAAGTATTTGCTGTGGGTATAGGAAGGCGTTACAACTTTAGGGAGCTGCAGTACATTGCTACTGATCGTCGACATGTCTATACAGCAGCGTATAGGAATATTGAGTCTTTGGTTACACTCATGAAAAAGAAGGTCTGCAAGTCAGGTTAGTAGCTCCTTGCAGTTTTTCCTAATTTTTTACCTTCCTCGCCCCATTTTTTCGTTGGTTTCAATCAGTCCAACAACGGCTTATTATTATTTCACCTTAGTTTCGGTGATGAAGAATTCTGTTCTGCGTTGTAGCGTTCAATTTTGTAGAGCTAGGATGCATCTTTTTTCGTCTACTTCTGTCGATCTTGGTATCTGTTCCTGGCGTCTATTTTATTTTGTCGTTTTGATATGCGATTCCGTTCCTCGAAAAAAAAATGTCAAACTATGAAGGATAACAGACTGCGACTTGTTTGAGTCTAGATAATATATAAATATAACTTAAACTTTGTTCGGCTTAAAACGTGTTTACATTAACTTTAGATAAATTCGTGACACCTGTCAAACCAGTTATACCCAGGCCACCAACACGTCCACCAACTCGTCGACCTCCGAAGCCCGGTAAGTGTTTCTATAGCTTGTCTCCAAAGACTCTGTTTTACAAGTCACAATTTTTCCATGAACTTATGTTTTCAGTGCATCCTGCTGCTGTGCGATACCTCACCTATTTTGCTACCGTCAATTTTAAATTGATTGATAGGTTATAATTGAATAAACCAATAATTGAATCGATTATCATCTAAAATAGATCATCACAGTGCCAGAAGCGTAATAGCATACCACAATTTATGAGAGTCTGTTCTACAAGATTTTAAAAAACTGAAAACGTGATACGTTCACTGGCAGCATTTTTGTTTGCGGTTCCTTGCCAGATTTGCATTAAGATAATCAGGCACACATTCCTTTATAGAATTAAGTTTAAGGCTCAATAATTCTTAAAATGAATCACCATTGTTTTTAAAAATCTAAGTCAGTGAATCTAGCATATTACTACGTAGGGATGGGTTGATATTTGACTCCAATCAGCCGTTGTCTTTTTATATGTTCCTTAGGACCTGCGCGTGCTTTAGCAATTTATCCTCTTCAGTACCGAATCAAAGGAAAAGACGTTGGTCTGTTCGGAAACCCACCGGGCATTCTTGGCTTTGTGAGGCCTGCGGTCGGACCTGATGGAAAACCCGGTACATCATACCAGTTTTACGGTCGGAGAAACAGCTTGATCCGATTCCCAAATCGCGGTCGTTTAGACGCACAGAAGGCAATAACGTTACTTGCTTGGCTTTACCCAGAGGGCCCTGGACCGATCTTCAAATACGGCGTCGATTTCTCTGTCGGTAGAGCGCGTAGTTTGTTTATACGAATTTTCCCGCGTGGATCACGGAACAGCAGAATTCGCCCACTGAGGGCGCGCGGAGTATTGCGATACCGAAGATGGCACTTTGTAGCCGCCTCTTATGAACAGAAAACGGGTGAAACAAGGATTTATGTGAATGGAAGACTCGTTTCTCGCACACGGCTCAGAAGAGTTCGTCTTGGTACTAACATTCCTGCAATCATGGGAGCTGCAAGAAGCAGATACTTCCGTGGGAGAATCTCCTGTATGCAAGTTTATGGACGGGTTCTGTCCAGGTGGCAGATCATCAAGCGAAAGACAAAATGCTTTAAAGGTAAGCGACACTTTGTAACTGTCTGTTGTTTTACACTCGTAAAACACGCGCTTCGGGGAGGAATATGAACAATAGCTGGCATACAACGAGTAGCACGCTCTACCTCTTTTTGAATAAATACCATAGCTTTCATTTGTCTCCCCCTCCCCCCCTCCCAATTCTTTTCAATGTTGCCTATACTAGGAGCAGTCGACGAGGTCTGTCTTGTGAGTCAAAAATTAAAAAAAGTGAAAAAAGATTGATATTTTCACGTCACGGGGAGCTTTCGGAGGGAAATTGATGGGCCTCGCTCATGGAGCCAATTTAATACAACATTGTCAGAGAGGGAGAAGGGAACCTTCGAGTAACTTATCTCATTTCTGTTTTATATATTCAATGGAGGGTTGTCGACCACCTTCTAATTAGAGACTTGCCAACTCCTTTTGCCTCTCATTGTTCAAACAAGAATCACAGTAACTGAAAACGCCAAAAAAAAAAGGTCACTGTCAATGAGATCTGAAAGTACATTTGCGAAAACAACCTCAACCTTTAGGGCCTCTGTCGCAGCTGCTTTTAGTTTGAATCTCACTGGCTGAGGAGGTGATGCGTTGTCTCGAAACTAATCACATAGCAGGGTGAAGTAAAACCAATACAACCCTAGATAACTTCCGACAGTCAATTAAAAATGGCCTTTTTTGTGACCAAACGATTTTGTTTATTGCATTTTAGGAGTGCATCCACTTCCCGCACGACCAACACCGGTTCGCCCTACACGTCCTCGTAAGCCCCCAGTTCGTCCAGGTAAGGAAAACAAGGATAAAAATAAAAAGTGGGTAATATCAGAAGTAAATGTTGTCATTAGTCTTTCTACCCTTAAACACTTTAGACTAAAAGTTATTACAGAGGAAAATGGCACTTCATTTAACCGGGTGGAATTGCAACGAAAGCGCTCCATATGAGCCTCATATTAAATGACAAGAATCATAGCAGCCTTGTTAAAAAAAATAACATTCTCCTAAGCGAAAGCAACTTAAGATCAATGAGCCATGGTTTCCATCTTAACGAATTCATATATTACAAATAAACATTATGATACGACAAAAAAAAAATTGGTGTTGCTAACTCTCCAGTTGTTTGCTTTGGTTTTGTAGATATATTTAAGTTTAAACTTTGTTATCATCGTAAATGCTGAAATACACTAGCTGTTTTCTGTACCGATCCAATAAGTTAAGCATTTTTTAGCATTTTTCCATAAATCAGGATTTCTGAAAGAGGCACGTGTCACCCTTTTGGTTTACGTTTTCAGTTGTCAACCCGAGAGCTCAGGCTGTATACCCGCTCAGTTTGCGTACGCGCGGTCGTGACCTCAGTTTGTATCGTAATCCCGCGGGAAGCGTTCGAAGCGTCAGGTACATAACAGGCCCGGACGGAAGACCCAACACAGCGACGCGATTTCTCGGACACCAAAACAGCTTCATCGAGTTCCCTAACCGCGGTAAACTCGACACTAAGCGGTCCATTACTTTACTGGCATGGATTTACCACGAAGGACGTGCAGGACCAATATTCAACTACATGCCGAACGGCTGGGGCGTGCACTTTTGGATGGTTTCACCGACGACGCTGTTTGTACGGTTTACGCGTCGTAAAGGAAGGCGATTTACCGCGGCGGTTACAACCAGAGTCCTAAATCGTCGATGGCAGTTTGTTGGTGCAACTTACGATGGCACAACTGGCGTTGCTAAGCTATTTGTGAACAGGCGGTTTACTGCAAGTAGGCGCATTGGAAAGATTAGACTGGCCACGAACTATCCTGTACGGATGGGAGCTCGCGCTGGTGATAGGCGTTACCTCTTCGGTCGTATTTCCTGCATGCAGGTGTATGATCAGCCCTTATCAGCATCACAAATTTTACGTCGGAAAAAGAGATGCTTCACTCGAGGTAAATTGCAGTGATTGATGTATAAATTGGAAGATTAACGTCGTTGCAGTTATTTGTTCGCGATAGAGAAAATGTATTTCGTGACTGCCATGTATGGATCTGGTCACGGAGCTGTTTAGAGTGATCCAACATTTCCCTTTCTGTAGATCTTTAGCGCAACATTCAAAGTAAAACGAACTAAATGCTCTAGTAGAATTCACTGAGTGCACTGGAATTAATATGGATCGATGGCTTTTTACAAACCCTTACTTTTTATCTTATTGCTATCGTTTCAGGTCCTATTATCGTTCCACCGATCATTCGTCCAGCTGGACCAGGTATTTATCACGTGTTTTCTTACAATGCTTAACTGCTTTCCTCGCAAGAGCTGGTTTGAGCAAGGTCTCACCCATCGTATCCATGAGAAAGAATTTCTTCTTCGAAATTGATTTATTCCATATGGCATAAATATTTCGACATTCTGACGTACTCTGCTTTGAAACACAACGAGCTCTTAAAGTCTTCAACTAAAAAAAAAAGCTCGTATCCGATAAGTGTTATAAGGACGATTGTGTTACCTTACAAGGGATCCAAAAACTTAAGCTTTCTACGATTATTATTGTTTTTTATCATTATTATCATTTTGATAACCAACCTTGCGTAGATGTAGTGCGTTTTATGCATTCTTAACAGTCGTGATTTATTCTTGCAGGTTTTTAGTCAGTTTTTTCTCTCTTTATGAAGAGGTGAATTTCTTAAGAAACTGTGGTGCTGCGTCGGTGGGAGAATATAACAGGGTAATTCAGTGTTATCAACTGAGTTGATAATGTAAATTGGCCACCGTCAGAACGATGGACGAAGGGCTAACGCTCGAAACGTCAGCCTTTCCACTCTTCAAGATGGCCAATTTACATTATCAACTGAGTTGATAATACTAAATTACCCTGTTATACTCTCCCACCGACGCACCACTACAGTGGCTTTAGAAACTAACCCCCTTTATTCATTTTTTTCTCTTTAGTTTGCGTAGCCAAGATTGATTTAGGTTTCGTCATCGACGCCTCCGGAAGCATCGAAGCCTCGGGCAGAGGGAACTTCAAACGTTGTCTTAATTTCATCAAGAGATTAGTGGCTTCGTTTAAAATCTCAAGGCGTTACACTCGCGTTGGAGCTGTTGTTTATTCGAGAAGGGTTCGTAAAGTGTTTGGTTTTAACACATACAACAACAAAAGATATCTCATGAAAGCTATTGACCGTATTCCATACCTCCGAAGCATCACCAGGACGGGCTACGCTTTGTCATTTGCCCGGCGTAACCTGTTTAATAGCAGGCGCAGAAACAGCAAGCAAGTTTTAATCGTGATGACTGACGGAATATCCAATGACCGCGTGCGCGGAAGTGCACTGGCACTAAAGCGCGCAGGAATAGAAGTATTTGCCATTGGAATTGGAAAGAATTACAACATTGGACAGCTCATGCAGATAGCCTCCACAAAGAGACAAGTCTACGTGGCGGGATTTAGGAATCTGCAAAATATTGTTCGAGTGATAAAGTCTAAAGCTTGTAAAGGTATGGCTATCTCTGTCTCCAAGATCATGGAATGCCTTTTTAATTTGTTTGAATGAATCGCTTTTACGATCGATTTCTTGGAGATTACTTCTAGCATACATTTTCCAAAATTACGCTTTACTAAATCATTTTGGCTCTTTGTCCTTAAGCGCTTTCTTTTTTCTTGATTTTAAGTTAGAAAACTTGGCTTATTGCTAATGTTACCGAGAGTTTTCCGTCTGGAGTTATGTTTGTCATTCTCCTTTTTCTTTGGCTGTTTTCTCCTCGAGAATAAGCTTCAAATCTGATAGCAACAACCATAACTTTCTTAAAATATGCAAAATTTTTAACTAGGGTCCCACCCCTAGATACCAGTTGGGCTTCCCCCCCCTCCCCCATACTTGTTGGGCGCAGTTCCTAAAATGCAGTTCTCCTGCGAGAATTGTTTATTTGCTTGATTTTCGTCAAATAATAAAAATTGAAAAAAGAAAATCCGCTCGTAGTGACTATGTAATGAACCATGGTGTGATAATTGCATGGTCACACATTACTTAAGTACTTGTGAGGAAAGTTATTTTGTCGATCTTAATTTCGTTGCAGTGAAACCAGTGAAACCAGTGAGACCAGTGAGACCACCCATTAGACCTCCCGTAAGGCCTACGGCTCGACCGCCAGTCAGACCACCTCGTAAGTGCAGCTTACCATGATATTAAAATAAAAACATTAACCCTATAACTCCTAAGACTGAATCATCCCTGGATCACGAATTAAGGTCTCAAGAATAGAGGGAATGATCATGAACTAAAGAAGCTCTTGTTTGTGAAACAAATTCTCTTTGTCAGCACCTTAGGAAATATACAGAGAACAGTTTGGAGAATACGCATACTGATGTTAGGGTGTATAGGTCAAAGGCAGGAGGAGGTGTTTTTTCAAATTATAGCTTTTCTTTAAAACCAGCTGCTGCTTTTCCGAGATGTTGAACTGACGTAGTCGGCAGTAAAATTTGTCGGTCAATATTTAATTTGTTTTAAACTTTTCTTGAGCGTCCGCTTCTTATCATTCAGTGATGCCACCTCACCACGGGCACTGCTCTGAATTTTGATAGCTATAGTCTGTTGATGATTAGACATAAGTCACTACTGACTTATCCATACCAGTGTTGCTAATATTATAACTTGCACTATGCATACAAAGCATTTTATTTATGCATTTAAAGCGCTTTGTTCATGGCGTATTGGCGCATTAGTTGTTCATATTTGACCTCGCGTAAATAAGCGATGATCTAATTTCAAATGGCGGCAAGGTTGTAATTTGTCATTCCTAGTTATCAAATTCCTTAGCTGCTTCCATTGCATATGTATTTATCTCACGTGCCATTTTCCTACTTTTTTACAGGTCCCGCTCGCGCCTCTGCGGTATACCCGCTGACCTACCGAACACGGACACGAGATGTCAGTTTGTTTGGAAACCCGGCAGGATTTGCTAGGAATGTTCGATTTGCTCCAGGACCTGATAAGAAACCGTACGGCTCATATCAGTTCCTTGGTCGATCAGACAGTTACATTGAATTTCCAAATCGTGGCAAAATAGATACAAAACGTTCCATCACGCTTTTAGCGTGGATCTACCACCAAGGACAAGCAGGCCCCATTTTTAATTACAAGCCAAATGGTTGGGGTGTTCACTTTTGGATGGTTTCACCTAGAACGCTGTTTGTCCGCTTTACGCGCCGTGGACGGCTTCGCTCCACCAAATCGGTTATGAGCAGGAGGGTCTTACCCGGTCGGTGGCAGTTCGTTGGTGCAAGTTACAACCAGCGCACAGGGCAAGCGAAGTTGTTCGTTAATGGCAGGTTTACAGCGACGACGTACATCGGGAGAATCAGACTTGCAACGAATTATCCGGTCAGAATGGGCGCCCGTGTTGGCGATAGAAGATATTTCAAGGGACGAATCTCGTGTATGCAAGTGTATGATCGCGCTCTCACAGCAAAGCAAATTTTACGCCGAAAGACCAGATGCTTCAGAAAAGGTATGTGTTATCTCTCAGTTTGAAGCATAGTACTAGCACAAGCTTTATCTGGTAATCATTTATTTTTATATGCCAGGGTGTTTCATGGCCTCACTTTACGATATGTTCGGCATAATTAACTAATTAATCGGAACGTGGAATAAAGAGGCAAGAGAACTAGGAAATGCATGGAAACAAAACGATTTCAACTTTAATACGTGTGCAAGATTCCAAGGATTTCACTTAGTTTTCACCTTCACAATTATACAGATGGTTGCAGGTTTTAGTTGTTCTTACATGGTATGTCACTTTCAGGTCCTGTTGTTATTCCTGGTGTTCCAGTCAGCCCAATCCGTCCAGCAGGAAAAGGTAACCGACAACGTCTTTGTTGCATTTATAGCATTTTTGCCTGTGGAACTACTATCATCCTAAGATTTCTGGGCTGCAGTGAATTTGGTAATCGTTTATCATCTTTTGAGGTGGCGTTGCTTCATATTTTATATCAACATGCTGATGAGAGAGAAACCAGTCAAGAAACCGTAAAAGTATGGCTGAAGAAGAATGTATGAACTTTGAGGAAAGAAAACAAAGCAGCTTAATTTCATGCTGCACACAGGGCTCTTTTTGAATTTTTATTTCTTCTATTTTCTCGCAGTTTGCCTGGCCAAGATCGACATGACGTTCCTCATCGATGGCTCCGGCAGTATTGAGGCGTATGGCAAAGGAAATTTCAAACGCTGTCTAGATTTCGTCAAAAGAATGGTCGTATCCTTCAAAATCTCTCAAAGACTTACTCGAGTCGGCGTGGTGCTTTTTTCCCACCGTCCTCGCCTTATATTCAGCTTCAACACGTACAGTAGAGCTCGTGATATCTTAAAAGCTATCGACAGAATTAGATATCCACGAGGAGGCACTAAAACAGGCATGGCAATGTACTATGCCCAGCGGACCCTCTTTAGGCGCAAGCACAGACACCGTAAGCAGGTCATGATTGTGATGACAGATGGTCGTTCCCAGGACCGTGTGAGCGGAGCTGCACGTGCGCTAAAAAAACAGGGCGTGGTGTTATTTGCTGTCGGTATTGGCAAACGATACAACATTAACCAATTGATCCATATCGCGTCTTCAAGACGGCATGTCTTCACGGCAGGATTTAGGAATTTGCCGTCAATTGTCAGGATTATTAAGACAAAGGCATGCGCAGGTGAGGCTCTTTATCTTTGTTTCCGCTGTCTCAACAAATTGGATCGATGTTGCTTTACGTTTGCATCGTAAATCTTCAGATAAATCTTCAATCCTCTTTGGTATTTCCGATAATAACCCTGGGAATTGTTTGTTAAATCACATAATCATTCTTGGAAAATATACCATTTATTCATGTCGTTGTAAAAATATCAAGCCGTCTGTATCCTTACTGAAGGCTAAAACATCTGAAACTCGGAAATTTGAATTTTTGATTGCAAAAAAGAATAAAAAAGAATCTATTCATTATAAAAAATGGGAAAACATGTTATTGTAACTCAATAGATGAGTATCGGGTATTAACAGTTATAGACGCAGTTGTATATACAGTCGTTCTACCAAAAAAGGAATTTGATGTAGAAGTATTTGTACAAATTAGGCTTATATTATTATATAACCACAACATAAATTAAATCTAGCCGACTGTGAATGTAATGTAATGTAGTATTTCGTAATTAGTGTTAGTGAGTAGCGTAAGCGTTAGTGTAATTAACTTTGTATTTGTTTGTATTACTCTAGTATTTGTGCTTTAAGTGAAAATTTAAAAAATGTTAAAAAATAAAAATAAAAAAAAAAGTAAATCTTCAGATTTAGCTTCCTCCATGCTTTCCACAACGATCAAAATCTGTTGAATCTTCCTGAAGTATTTATTTGTCGATCAGACAGGTTTTAGAGAAATGATTAGGGTATTATGAACTATTTGTAGTAAATAGTGAAATAACAGCAAATATTTGTGCCTTATTAAAGCGAAGTGTAACACGATGAAAAACATGTAATAATCACTAACAAGCATTTCACATTTTTTTGCTTGTAAATGCTTTTAAGGTGCTGTCAAACCAAGCAAACCAGGAAAACCTTCCCGTCCAGCGCGTAAGTAACAAAACACTTAGCTGATTACATCAGTTTGTAAACTCTGGAGACCTGCTTGGTTGATTATTGCTTCCGATGATGTTAAGGTACAAAGGAACACTCGGGCTGAGAGTAATGAGAGAAAACAGTAGCAAAAATTAATAACTTACCAGACCATTGTTTCATAGCTCCGCTCCTCACAAGTTAATGAGTGACGGCAATTTTCCCCATGAAGGAAAGCGTACTTTATTTCGTCTAATTGAAAGGGATCAGTAGACGCTTCGCCGCCTTAATTTTTTCGCTACCGCAAGTAGCTTTGACGAGAACAGTGGACACTCTCCCCTATGATTTCTTATCGAACAAAATCCTCAAGTTATTCGCACCGCTTGGGCAATGGTCAGCAATCTATCCCTTTACTATGTTGCGTCGTATATAGTTCAAACGGATAAGTGAAATCTTTACGAATTAAGATCACAATTGATTTGAATTTGAAGGTTATGTTCGTGCCATCGCTTTGTATCCACTGTCATATCGAACAAAGGGAAGAGACATCGGCGTCTTCTCCAATCCTCCTGGAGTTCGAGGTCTTGTCAGATATGCAACCGGTCCAGACGGGCGACCTAACACCGCAACCCAGTTCTTCGGTAAGCCTAACAGCTTCATTCAGTTTCCCAACAGAGGCAAGCTTGACACGAAACGATCTATCACTCTATTGGCTTGGATCTACCATGAAGGAAGTTCGGGTCCTATTTTCAACTACATGCCGAATGGCTGGGGCGTCCATCTCTGGATGACATCTCCTACGACTCTCTTTGCACGGTTCACGCGTCGTCAAGGACGCCGCTTCACTCCTGACATTCAATACCGCGGCATCGCGCACAGAAGGTGGCAATACGTAGCTGCGAGCTATGATGGCGGGAGCGGCACGGCTAAGCTGTACCTGAATAGCAGACTGGTTGCGCGAAAGCGCATTGGAATATTTAGAATGGCAACAAATTATCCTGTCAGGATGGGTGCAAGGGTTGGTGACAGTCGCTTCTTCAAAGGGAGAATCTCTTGTATGCAGGTGTACAATGTGGCATTGAACTCCAGACAGATTGCAGCTCGAAGCAGAAGATGTTTCTTGAAAAGTAAATATCCTAGTAGTGTGTTATTTAACTGTCTGTGAAACTATCAGTCCTCGTCACAAATATTTAATCGTTTCCCTCTTTTCACCTTGTCAATTTTGGTATCGAAAAAAAAATTCCCCCTCCAAGTAACTCATCATTGGGAACGAAAAGTACGGGTGTAGGGGGAGTCAGAATTTCACCACTGTATGTTATATTTTGGATTTAGTGAGTCTGGGATTTTTATTTTTATAACGAAAGGAATGCAGGAAATCTTGAAAACCGGTATCTGTGGCAAAGATTTGCAAACTGTGAACGAAACGCTTTGGTAGTATAATCTCTGTCTGGCATTGTGTCGCATTTTGCGAGCCATAGTGAAGATTACGGCTTTTATCCCGCTAGCACGCGCGCATCATTCCATCATATTTTTTTTCTTCATTTAATTTTTTCATTACCCTCCAAAGTGATAATGATAGTAACACGATCTATGCTTTTGGGCAAAAATATGTTTTAGGCCTTTCTCAGAGTTCACTGTAAATCTCGCTTAACGGCTTGGGCTAAAATGATGCTGAGTCAGGCCCAAAAATATTTATGCACGCGAACATAAACTCTACTGCTTAATTGGACTTGAATAGAAAAATCTAGAATCCTCTTAACATAGTGAATCCTCTCCATTTGAAACTTGTAGGTACTGTAACACCTGGTCGCCCCGTGGTTCCAGGTGGAGTGCCCTTCCGTCCAGGCAAACCAAGTAAGTAATTTGAGTAAAAGGATTAAGGCATAAGATTAAAGGGCGAGGTAAAAAATTACTACAGATTACAGATTTTTGGCATAAAAAGTCGCTTAAGAGTACAGATGTATGATTAAAGATTTTCAGCTCCTATGTGCTTGTTCTTGAAAAGGGTGAATCAAATTTTCCTCGAAAAACAAAAGTTTCATCAAATAATTACAGTTCGTTTATTTCGTAATTTAGAAACTTAAGGTTCTTTTTTAACTTAATTCGATACGTTTGTTCAAACAGCGACAAATAATTTGATATTGAGTTCGAGATACAAAACTTAACTTTGCGGAGAACTTTTCGTGATTTAACTGCGTGAATATTCTAATCCTAGTCGCATAACATGTGCACATTCAATTTCTCCTCAGTGTGCAAAACTAAGGTTGATCTTGGTTTCCTTGTTGATGCCTCTGGAAGTATTGAAATGTACGGCCGTGGTAATTACCAGCGGATGAAGGACTTCATCAAAGAAGTGGCGGGAAGCTTCGTTGTATCCAGGCATGGAACTCACGTTGGTGTAGTCGTGTTCGCCAGCAGACCTGAACCAGTGTTCCAGTTTAACACCTACTACACGAGGCGAGGCGTCATGAACGCTGTCCAAAAGATCCCGTATATCAACGGAGGAACCCGGACCGGCTTAGCTATAAGAAGAGCTACTCGGTACCTGTTCAAACCTCACCACCAACCCGGACGAAAGAAAGTGTTGATTGTCATGACAGACGGTATCTCGTACGATGATGTAATTGTCCCAGCAAGAAGACTTCGTCGCACGGGTGTCTCCATATATGCACTCGGAATCGGTCTTAAGTACAGTCGACGACAGCTTGGCAAAATTGCCGGAACTCCGAGGCATGTGTTTATCTCGAAGTTCGCGACTCTCCGAAAGGCCGCTCGTAAAATCGTGAGTCGCATATGCGCGGGTGAGTAGACCAGAAACGTAAATATAATCTTTAACAACAGAATTGCAACAGTTTTGAAAACTTTTACTTCTTTTTCACCATGGACTCATTTTAACCTCTCTTCTCCATCCGAAAAAATCTTCGTTGATCATTGCCTCTTCTTTCCACAATACGTGGGAAGGGTGGGAGGAAGGTGTTGGATTTTATTTGCTCACCACATCTTGGGAAATATTACAAATGTTTTCTTGTTTGTTCTCTGCCTTCCTTAGAACCAGGAGCCAAACCCATAAAACCAGTTGGTCCAAAACCTGTTAGACCTCCCCAACCAGGTAAACACGACCTTTTTCTTCGCGTTTTAAGGCTTTTGCCTCAATGAATTTTACACATTTTGCTTGAAATTACGTACTTATCTTCAGTCATTTTGCACTTTCTCATTGCATCTTTGTTTCTCAGTACGTGCTGTGGCTATTTATCCACTGAATGGAGGAGTGAAAGGCCGCGACATTAGCTTGAGCAAAAATCCAACCGCCATCCTAAGTAACGTGAGGCCCGCACCAGGACCTGACCGGACCCGCGATGGATCGTACCAGTTCTTTGGTAAATCCAACAGCTACATCTATTTCCCTAATCGCGGAAAGTTGGATACCAGACGATCGATTACCCTGATGGCGTGGATCTATCATCAGGGACGCGCAGGACCCATCTTCAACTACATGCCGAATGGCTGGGGCGTGCATTTCTGGATGATTACACCGAGAACGCTGTTCGTGCGGTTTACACGTCGACGAGGACGCCGCTTTACTAAGGCGGTGATGAGCAGAAGAGTCGTACCCAATCGATGGCAGCTTGTTGCCACGACCTTTGATGGAAGGTCCGGACAAGCTAGACTGTTTATTCAAAGGCAGTTTGTGGCCCAAAAGTACGTTGGAAAAATACGACTGGCAACGAACTATCCCGTGAGAATGGGAGCACGTATTGGTGATTCACGGTTCTTCTTTGGACGGATATCGTGTATGCAGGTGTATCCAATGGCGCTGACAAGAAGACAAATACTTGCGCGAAAGACAAGGTGCTTCAGAAAAGGTCGGACAGGATTTTCGTCTTGAATTTAACACACTGATTTTAGCAAATGAGTGCTGTCAGTTTTGATAAAAGCTGCCTGCTTTTTTTTGAGGTTTCACTTCGATTATTCTGTCCATCTGATGGGGTTTAGGCTCGTAAGGTACCAAGTCAATATGTCAAATCTGAAATTATCGGTCAACTTATCATGTTCCTGTGTAGTTTTAACTAGTCAAAATGGTGGTAAAAAATCAACTTTATATCACAATTTCAATGTCATTGTAATTTTATTACTTCGTTTTCCAGTTATTCGACCTCCTCCAAGGCCAAGACCGAGACCCGGACCCAGGCCCAGGCCCCAACCTCCAATTCCTGGCCCGGCGGGGAAGAGTAAGAACCTCTTTCTCTTGTCGCTTGAGTTAATTGTCTCTCTTACATTTATCACCCAGTATCACTTCTACTTTTCACATGTCTGTTAGCTTGACGTATTAAGTCTTTTCGAGCTCTTTCAAAGAGAAAGAAGTCACAAGCGTGTTTCTGTTTCGCCCTGAGTAAGATGAAAAAGGACCTTGAGATCGAAATTAGTCTTGCGTAAATTTTTAGGATTTCATTGTTTTTTGGCAAATCGTGGCGATTGAAATCAAACCTTTAAACATGGCTTTACGCACTCTCGTTAACACCTTGCTTTTGCCTCAAGTACATTGAAACCATTGTTGTTTCTAAGTAAATAAACATTTTCTTGCAGTATGCCGTGCCAAAATAGACTTGGTCTTCGTAGTTGATGGCTCTGGAAGCATAGAAGCATACGGCAGAGGAAACTTCAAGCGATGCCTCCGTTTCGTCAAAAATATGGTTCGTTCCTTTACCATATCAAGAAGCTACGTGAGAGTTGGAATTGTGGTTTACTCCTCGCGCTCACGATTAATACTCACCTTCAACCAAAATCGCGGAGTTAACAATGTACTCCGCACTATCGACAGAATCAGATATCCCAGAAGAGGTACCCGAACAGGTGCAGCGCTCTCATTTGCTTACTCCCGCCTCTTGGCTGGCGCAAGGAAACGAAGTTCAAAGGTTGTCATTTGTATGACTGATGGTCGTTCACAAGATGACGTAAGAGGCCCTGCCAACCTGATGCGCAGGCGTGGTGTGAAGATATTTTCGCTTGGTATTGGCAAACGCTACAACATGAGACAGTTGCTTCAGATGTCCGGAAACCGTCGTAAGGTTTTCACAGCTGACTTCAAAAATCTCGGTTCCGTGGTGCGCGCTATCAAGCAGAAGGCGTGTAGAGGTGAGGAAGAAAAATTTTCCCTTGGGTGGTTTTGGGAAGGACAGAAACATGCATAACGAACACGTTCTTCAATGTCACCAGATCCACATAGAGCAAATTTTGAAAAGGATAGCTTTTCGACTTCCCACTCTGAGTGGCAATGAAATTCTGTTCAAATAAACATGTGTTTTTCTTATTTTAGTTTCCAAGCCAACGCGACCGACTAAGCCTGGAAAACCGTCTGGTATGTGGAGACAGAAAGGCAAACCTTACTCAAATGTTAAATATACATATACCTTTTTTAAGAGAAACATTTTTAATGATGGACCTTACTTTCGTTTGCTTTGTATTTTAATTGATTTAGAATTACTTATTGAACATAATGGATGGCGCACAAATCGGGATCGACAAGTCGTTGCACGAGCTCTCTATGGAATAATTTTGCAACCTGCTGTTCTGTTTTGAACCCAGGAATGTAAAATAAAGATACGAAATTGTGAGGAAAACCTGATATAAAACTTGTGGTAGTTCGTATATAATGTAGTGGTTTAAGTAGAGAATAACATTTTTGTCGTCTACCAAAATCTAATCTAAGCTTCAATGGCATCGGAAAAAACTTAACTCTTGTGGTTACGTTTTGTTGTTCAATAGCCGTTGGCCGCGCAGGCGCTGTGTATCCACTAAGCTCGTCCACGGGTGCGAGAGATATCAGTACCAATGGCAATCCGCCAGGCCGACGCGTCTATGTCAGGTTTACCCCAGGTCCCGACGGAGTCCGGGGAACAGCGACGTCGTTTTACGGCCGTGCGAACAGCTACATCGAGTTTCCGAACCGCGGTAGACTGGACACTAGAAGATCCATCACATTGATAGCCTGGATCAGACACCTTGGACGCGCGGGTCCGATCTTCAACTACATGCCGAACGGCTGGGGCGTGCACTTCTGGATGGTTAACCCACGGACGCTATTTGCACGCTTCACGCGTCGAAGAGGCAGGCGCTTCACACCCGCAGTGTCCAGTCGCACAGTTCGTTACCGTGCATGGAACTATGTGGGCTGCACGTATGATTATCGCACTGGCATTGCTAGGCTTTTTGTTGGAAACAGATTTGTTGCGTCTCGCCGTATTGGTCGCATTAGACTTGCAACTAATTACCCAGTGAGAATGGGAGCCAGGATTGGAGACGGGAGATATTTCCGAGGTAGTATTTCCTGTATGCAGGTGTATAAGAAGGCGTTGACTGCAGGAGAGATCCTTGCGAGACGAACGAGATGCTTTAAGAGAGGTGCGTTGTATTAAATTTCGAACTTTTCCGTTCAAGCTAAGTATTATTGTTTGAGTTTTTCTCTCTATTCATCAAGCGAAACTCTACCCACCCAGTAGTAACAGTTAAGTTTCAGACCAACGTGACGAATTTCATAGGGTAGCAGCAATAGCTTGGCTGAAAAGCGGGATAACTTCCAGCAGTACGTAATACACGTGAGACTTATGCTATCACGTTGAAGGAATATAGATTTCCGAAGGAAATTTGACCATTTTATAATGGTTTTTGGTTAAATTAAAATTCACGTCTGTTCATCTCTCATTTTGGAAATAGAAGGGGATGTTTCCCATATAATATTCAGATGCTTAGGGAAAGAGTTAGGTAGTGCACATCCCTAGAAACAAAATTCAACGAAATCAACGGGAAAATTGCCTTTAAACTTGTTTACAATAATTCTGATGTTATTTTCTGTTTCATTTCATAGTTCCACGACCGCAGCCTCCACGGCCAAGACCAAGACCTGGCCCTAGACCCAGGCCTCCCATTCGTCCTCACCCTGGTGGAAAAGGTACTACTTGGTTAAGCTACCATCTACCTGTAGCTAATTAAATTGCTTCATCGATGTTTTCTCTGGCAAATTCAACTGTAGATCATTCGCGATCCTTCACTTAACGTTTTCCGACTGCAGCCTTTCTGAGTGTGCTTTTACAATTAATACTTGTCTTGTTTGATGCTCAATGTGAATCTACTTTTTTCTTTTCGCCTTTTAGTGTGCCGGGCCAGAATCGACCTCGCCTTTGTCATAGACGCTTCCGGTAGTGTTGGCCGCGCTAACTTCCGCCGTTGTCTAACCTTCGTCAAAAACATGGCCCGAGTGTTCACAATCTCCCGAAGCTACACCCGCTTTGCTGTGGTGCTTTATTCATCGCGTCCCTCTAAGATATTCGGTTTCAATCGCTACCTTAATCAACACTCCCTGCTTCGAGCGATTGGCCGCATACGATACACTGGCGGCGGAACTAAGACGGGTTACGCACTGACTTACACTTATCAAAGACTCCTACGCTACAGCAGACGAAAGAACAAAGTCGTGGTTGTCATGACTGATGGTCGCTCGTATGATAAAGTGCAGCCACCAGCCTTGGCTATCCGTCGTAAAGGGATAAAGATACTTACCTTAGGGGTAGGAAAGGGCTACAGCATGAAGCAACTGATACAGATGTCATCCAACAGACGGGATGTTTTCACCGCTGATTTTAAGAACTTGGGATCTGTTGTGAAGATAATCAAAAGAAGAGCTTGTAAAGGTATTGAGCTTATTACATGTATTTTCTGGTAAAATGCAGCTCACACGAAGAGAAACAAGCTGTGAAGGCGTAGATAAAAAGATATTATTGTATGCATGTGATCCCTCTATCTGAAATGTAGACCCCTTGTTGAAAATGCTGCTATTCCTCGCCTAGAGAACCACATCTATATTTTTATAAAGGTGTCTTCAAGAGAACTCGTTCTATTTTTTACCGCCAATTTTTAGACTTCACTCAAATATCTGTGGCGTGAATACGAAAGTTATTTGCTTTAGTTATGTTGAAAAATTGTCAATGTTTTCTCTTTCAGCTGGTAAACCTCGACCTCCGAGACCACCACGCCCACCAAAACCAGTTGGTAAGTGCGGGCGATAAACCAGACCAGTACCTTATGACTTTAAATTTCATGTCATAAAGCGCGTTTTGATCGAGTGTCGTAAAACCCAAATAAAGTTATGGTCCAAAGCCAATCAGGAGAAAGGAAAATATCAAAAGGAGCCAATGCGACCTCGAACTAAAAACAAGCATTTTTAGTCATTCTAAGTTTTCGAGAGTGTGGAAGCCATTTTATACTAGTTCATTGCAACCGCTGTTTACCTTTGTATCATTGCAGTAATAAAACGAGCTGTGGCTGTGTACCCACTGAACCGTAACACTCAAGGCAGAGACATCAGCTTCGCAAGAAATCTCAACGGTAGACTAGGTAGGGTCAGATTTGCCAAGGGACCTGATAACTTGCCGGGCGGTTCGATTGAATTCTTTGGCCGTAGCAACAGCTACGTAGAGTTTCCTAACCGAGGAAAACTCGACACTGGTCGTTCTATAACTCTATTGGCGTGGATCTACCATACTGGTCGAGCAGGACCCATCTTTAATTACATGCCGAACGGATGGGGCGTACACTTTTGGATGGTTACACCGTCGACGCTTTTTGCACGGTTTACACGTCGTACAGGAAGGCGTTTCACGCGGGCGATTTACAGTCGAAGTGTGAAGCCGCGTAAATGGCAGTTCGTTGGTGCTACCTACAACTACAGAACTGGTGTAGCGCGTTTGTTTGTGAACTCGCGGTTTGTAGTGTCCACTCGTGTAGGACAAATAAGACTGGCGACTAACTACCCTGTCAGGATGGGAGCACGTATTGGAGACAGAAGATATTTCAAGGGAAGAGTTTCATGCATGCAAGTCTATAGCCAAGGTTTGAACAGGAATCAGATACTTGTGCGTCAAAGAAGGTGTTTCCGAGCAGGTAATAGAGCTACTTTTGGAGTCGTAAGGAAATTTTCGAGTTTTTCGGAGTACATACTTAGGAACTAGAGAATTGATCTTTCCGAGAAAAATACCTTAAAAGGATCAATTATTAACCTTGACGTTGACAAAAACATATGGTGTTATGCGCTCTGTTAAGCCTGGCAATTAAAACACTTGTCAAAGCAAAGTTACAATAGTTATTGACTGACTAACGGAGATGTCGCTACTCTCTATTTGTTTAATTCAAGAGTTGTTATGAAATCTTGAGAATCATTAAAGATTTAGCATAGTAAGTCACATGAGTAACGTGTTTTCCATTTCCCTCTTATTTTTTTTTTCTTTTTTCTACTCTGTATTAATGGGCTTGTATCTTTTATCTCTTCTCTTTTTAGTGAGACCTCGACCCAGACCTGTGCGGCCGGTAAGACCAACTCGACCTAAAGGTTTGTGGTTTTGTTTGCTTGATATCCACAGCATCTTCCGGTTTTCCTTTTTTTCCTTTTACTGCTTTCCTTGTTGTCAATGGTACTGTGTCTCTTGAAAAGTTAAATTTGGGTCTGACAAATGCTCAATTACTTATTTTCTCTACCTAGTTAAAACTCAAGCCGTGGCTATTTTCCCTCTCAATGGAGGAACCAAGGGCAGAGACATCAGTAACCGTGGCAATTCGCGCGGAATACTCAGTTATGTCCGCCCTGCGCCCGGACCGGATGGAACACGTGACGGCTCTTATCAGTTCTACGGAAGAAGCAACAGCTATATCCAATTCCCTAACCGAGGAGGCCTAGATACTAAGAATTCAATATCTCTCCTGGCCTGGATTTTACATCAGGGACGCGCAGGACCCATCTTCAACTACATGCCCAACGGTTGGGGTGTGCACTTCTGGATGATTACACCGAGAACGCTGTTTGTGCGGTTTACGCGCCGCAGAGGACGTCGCTTTACGAGTGCTGTTGTTAGTAGGAGCGTGATTCCAGGAAGATGGCAGTTTGTCGGCGCAACGTATAACGGAAGAACAGGGAAAGCGAAGTTGTTTGTAAACAACAAATTCACGGCAAGGAAGTACATCGGACAAATACGGCTGGCGACTAATTACCCAGTGAGAATGGGAGCTCGTATTGGCGATGGACGATATTTCCGAGGACGAATCTCCTGTATGCAAGTTTACAATGGGGCTTTGTCTCGCTGGAAAATTAATTCTAAGAAACGAAGATGCTTTAGAAGAAGTAAGCTCCGATCCGAGTATTGTCGTTATTGCTGTTCTTTTTAATCTTCATTTGCTCGTTACAATCAGTCGTTACACGTAAAATATGAATGCATTCTCTTCATGGTTTTTGTGAAACAAATATATGTAAATATACATTTCTTTCCTTTAGAAGTTCGACCTGGGCCCAGACCCCGCCCACGGCCACGACCAGTACCACTTCCAAGACCTAAGCCCAGACCCAGGCCAAAACCCGGAAAAGGTGAGAAGAGCGAGTGCTTGTACTAGTCAAGGTGCCTCGGGGCAAGCAGAGACATCTTACGCCTTTTTTCTTACCTTGATTACTTTGCTACCAAGTAGCCTTGCACACAATTCCTTCGTTGATCAGTTCACTTAAGGATAACTCGTAACACTATAATCTCTTCATGCTTCAGAAACAGGGATAGGATCCGGCAGTTTCAACTTAACCCTTCATTCTCGTCTTTTGCGATAATCATCAAGTTAAAATGACGTCTCCCGCTCTGCCCCCTTAATTTTAATTCTTGGGAGACACGGTGTTACAGGGATCAGCTAGCCGATTCTTGAGTGATTTAAGGTCCGGGTTAAAGCCTTGACTGGGTCAATGTGTTGTTTTATTGGGCAGGGCACTTAAGTCTCGCATTCATACTCCGCCCTGCAATGTAAATAAATACGGCAGAATATCAGGGAGATGTGATGAATCTGTAACGGTATCTCTGCAACGCACTGACTTCCCGTCAAGTGGAGAGAGTAAATACTCCAAGTTGTTTCCTTTGACTAAAACCTAGATAAGTTCCGATCCTCTCGTTCCTAAGCTAAATCATGCGAAAATATGACTTTCTCTTGCCTAAATAGAATGTTTGTGTTTGCCTTGCTTTTATTTAGTTTGTATTGCGAAATTGGATCTCGCCTTCCTCATCGACGGCTCAGGTAGCGTTGGCTTTTCAAACTTCCGCCGTTGCCTGGTATTCATCCAGAACGTTATTCGAGGATTCAGGATCTCTCAGCGATACACACGCATTGCTGCTGAAGTTTACTCTTCAACTCCACGCAGAACATTCCAATTTACCCGATACAGTAATGCTTACCAAGTCCTCAGGGCCGTTGGATCCATAAAGTACCCGCGTGGTGGAACAAACACCGGGAAGGCTCTTTGGGACGTGCTTAGATACGTGTTCCGCGGTAGGACCAACCGGAAAAGGGTCCTTTGTGTATTAACCGACGGACGTTCTCAAGACCATGTGTTGAAACCCGCCCAAGCGCTGAAGCGAGCGAATGTTGAAGTTTTCTCGGTCGGTGTAGGTAGAGGATACAGTATTACTCAGCTAAACCAAATGGCAACAGACCGCAATCACGTGTTCACAGTTGATTTCAGAAACCTCAACTCAATCATTAAGGCCATTAAAAAGAAGGCTTGTAAAGGTAAATGTTCTTTTTGTTGCTAGTTGTTCTTGGGTACACTAAGATTGTAATGAATATTGCTCAGCATCTTAGGGATAAAATGTATTAGAATTGTTTACTGATGTATGGTTTATTACTTTTCTCACTCACTGGTTCACAGTGACTGACCTATTAATTGAAAATGGTAGACAGTTTGTTCATTTGTTTTTCTTCTTTGTTCTTTGCGTTATTTAAATATTCATACTCTTCTATTGAAGGAGGACAGAAACCACCATCGCCTCACAGACCCTCAGGTACCAATTTTTTTCCTATTTTCCCCTTTTTTATGACTTGCTTGGTCAAATAGATATATTTCTTCGTCCCAGTGCGTCTTGCAATATATGTTTTTGCTTAGATACAAGGTAAATTTCTGATCGCTTACGAATTTTTTTTTTCAATATTCTTAAGGAACCCTGCGGGCGGTTGCTGTATACCCATTGAACTCCCTCACCAAGTCACGCGACATCAGCTTCAACAGGAATCCGCCGGGTATCATGTCAAATGTTCGACCAGCCCCAGGTCCCGACGGACGACGTGGAACAAGCTATGAGTTCTTAGGGCGACGCAGCAGCTTTATCCAGTTCCCTAACTTCGGAAAAATAGACACCAAAAAATCCATAACTATTTTAGCTTGGGTATACCACCAGGGTCGGGCAGGACCCATATTCAACTATCACCCCAGCGCGTGGGGTGTACACTTCTGGATGGTTGGACCACGCGCTCTGTTCGTTAGATTCACGAAGAGGAGGACTAAAGACTTCACAGCTGCTTTAATGAGCCGAACCGTTAAGCCAAGCCACTGGCAATACGTGGGTGCCTCCTATGATCACTCAACTGGAACGGCCAAGTTGTTCGTCGGTGGAAGACTGGTTTCAAGGAAACGAATTGGAAGAATACGATTGGCTACGAATTATCCTGCAAGAATGGGGGTGAGGATTGGCGATGGAAGGTATTTCCGTGGACGTATTTCGTGTCTCCAGGTTTACAGTGCCCCCTTAAATGCCAGACAAATAGCTGCACGTGCAAAGAGATGTTTTGTTCCAGGTAAGTTGTTATTTTTCTTCTTTCATCTGCATTTTGAAACTCGGCCATTAAGCTAAAATTTGTTCCAGTAGTTTTCATTACATTCGATCTAATTTGCCTATCTATTATTTTAACTTTGCCAGGACTTCCCAAACCACGCCCGCCACCACGCCCAACTGGACAGCTGTTTAAACGAAGAGGTTGCTATAAAGACAGATCTCGCAGAGCCATGGTTATACTTCTTGGCAACTTACGACGAAGGCGAGATGCAGTCATGCGTTGCTTCCTTTTGGCGTCCAGGCGGGGATATCGAGCATTCGGTGTCCAGGATGGCGGAGAATGCTTCTCTGGCCCTCAGGCGCACCGCACGTTCAACAAATATGGCCGATCGGGTAGATGTAAAAATGGAAGAGGAGGACCATGGGCGAATGATGTGTATATAATTATTAGAAAACGTATGTAGGTTTAAGCTTGAATATTTTATTTTTGAAGAACTTGTATAACATATTTGCAAACTTGTTTAAAATGAAAACTGATTTGAACTTAATCGTCACGTCTTGAAATTGGCAACCGTATAATAACCTAAGTTTCAGATTATCTTACCCTATTTCTTTAATCAATCTCTTTCATGCAGAGTGAGATAGCAAATTCCATGATCCTTAATTTAAATATAGTGCTATCTTAGAATAACTTGCTATGTTGTTTGTCCCTATAGGACCTATTCCGCGACCTCTTCCTCGGCCCAGACCTCAACCGCGCCCTGCTCTACCAGGTGAGATGACACTTGATAAAATCGACGTGTCCTGAACTTGGAGCCTCTAATTTCATATATTTTATATTGTTTAAAATATCCAGTGACGTACCCTCACAGCATTTTTTGATAGTTTGTTTCCTTCATGGAAGACTACTACAAACGATATGCTATATATTGCAAAATTTCACTCATTCCATGGTCCGTATACCAATAATATATTTATTTATCTCAACAGTTTGCAAAGCCCGTTTAGACTTGGGCTTCATTGTAGATGGTTCCGGAAGTGTTGGTCGTGCGAATTTCATTAGATGTCTGAACTTCATCAAGAATTTAGTCAGCTCGTTTGTAATCTCTCCCGGCCATTCTAGAGTGGGACTTCTAATATACTCTCAACGCGTCATTCCAGTATTCTCTTTCGGTCAACGCCCACGTTTGCGTGGGGTCCTACGGGCAATTAGTAGAATCAGGTATCCTGGAGGGGGTACTAAGACCGGTAAGGCTCTGTCTTACTCTAGGAGGTACCTGTTCGCCAGAAGCAGCCTCCGTAAGATTTTAATACTGATGACAGATGGCAAGTCGTACGATAGAGTCAAGAAACCTGCAGCAGTGCTACGTAACATGGGAGTGCAGGTGTTTGCTCTGGGTGTCGGAAAACGATACAGCATGAAACAACTTTTGCAGATTGCAAGCAATCGACGGCATGTCTTTACAGCAGACTTTAGGAACTTGGGATCGTTTGTGAGGGCCATCAAACAGAAAGCTTGTCGAGGTGCGGTCGGATATAACAAGATGTAGTATCTAAATACTCTTAGCGTTTATCCGCACATGGGAATTGCTGCCTCTAAAACAACATTTCCTTGCGGACTATCAGGCTTACAGATTTTGAGGGGAGCACCATGTTCTAACAAGGAAGCGAAAACCTTACAACAGCAAAGTTGTCAACAATAAGGGCGATTTTTGAAGCAACGATAACGTGTAATTTAAAGTACTTTTTTACTTTTTGTCGTGAACCCAAAACCGATATTGTATTAGAGGCCAATTAAATCTCTAAGCCTATGTCTATAATAGGGCGGGAAAAGCAAGTGTGAAAGACCCAGCTGATATGAGTTTTGCTTCTGATTGGTTGATGCTGATTTCTGATTTTTGTTTTGCATTTGATTGGTTTACAAGAGGCGCGTTTTTCAGGACCAATCACAAAGCATACTTTAACAGCGAACCGTTACTTGATATATTTTTTGGTGAAGTCAATTAGATTGCGACCATTGATAAGCTGGTCGTGATCGCCAGCTCTATTTCCATGCAATGTTTGAACCTAACTACAAGTGTAGTTTCCAGTGTAACATTACTAATACTACCTTTCTGTAATTTGATTAAAGTTACTTTTCTATATTCCAGGTATTACCAAGAAACCGAAAAAACCACGTAAGTCCACTGACTTTCACCTCGCGTAAACGTTTCCTAACTTACCATCTGTGCAGTAACTCTGGCTCTTTCTCATTCGAAGTAATTTTGTAAAGCAAAGATCTGCGAAATCATTGATGATGTTAAACCCCTCTCTTGTTGGACGCGGTCCCAGACGTCGATCCAAAGTCTTCATCCAACATTACATCTTAGCTTCGAAAGAGGAAACACATACGCTCTTAAAAAAACATATTGGAGATACTGCTGACTTCTATTATCACGTAGAATATAAGATGGCCCTTAAAATAGAGAGCTTAACTCCTGTTGAACTTACCTCGGATACATGCGTACAGCTGATCGCACGCTTAATGAACTATGAAAATATTCAACATTACTTTTGATTTTACAAACCCGCTTAAAGCTGAAATAGAAAATTTGATCAAATGCCTTCTTTTTTGCATATGAACAGACGCCATGTCCGCTGTCGCCATATTCCCGTTCAGTAAAACATACAGAGGAAGAGAACTTCGCAACAGGAACCCACCAGGTTACCCGTCTCACGTCCTATTCACCCCCGGTCCCGATGGATTACCATACGGTTCTTATTACTTCCTTGGTCGACCAAACAGCTACGTGGAGATTCCTAACAAAGGAACGCTGGATGTTCGTAACTGCATCACCATCTTGGCCTGGATTTATCACGAAGGAAACGCAGGACCGATTGTGAACTACAAGCGCAATGGATGGGGCGTCCATCTCTGGATGGTCAACCCCAGAACGCTGTTTGTGCGTTATACACAGCGCCTTGGACGGCGCTTCACGCACGCTTTGGCGTACCGCGGTGTAAAACCGCGAACATGGCAGTTCGTTGGAACTTCGTACAATCGAAACACAGGCGTTGCTAAATTGTATATTAACGGCAAGATGGTTTCGCGCCGAAAGATCAGAAAGATTTCATTGGCTACCAATTACGAGATCAGAGTTGGAGCCCGTCAGGGTGACCGTCGCTATTTCCGAGGTCGAATTGCTTGCCTACAATTTTATAGCGCTGCTTTGACGACTAACATGATCCGTCGGCGAATGAGGGCTTGCTTTAGAAGAGGTAAGCTTAAATGGAAGTCTATTTTAAGGAGTGGATAAAAAAATATGACTTATGTTTTGAATGCAGGTTGTCATAAATCATAGGATGACTAACTTCAGGAAGCCTGTTATCAATCCATCTTTGACGCCTTAATGGACTTAATATAATTAAAACCCTACGTTTTGGAAGAGGAAACCGATGCCAATGTTTTTATCTGTTCCATTCGACTATTATAAGACTAAGACGTTGTGAGTCTCAACAAACGAGTTACTGTGTCAGAAACGTATTTAAAGTAAGTTCTCCTCTTTCTGTTTTCAGGCCCCATGCCTGTTCCGATTCCGAAACCGAGACCCGGAGGACGAGGTGAGTATCGTGCGCAATTAATTTCGCTTTTTAGGGGCTTGATTTAAGCATAGTTAGTAGAAGTGACTGGTTAAAAAAGCCCGTAAACGGTATCACGACGTTTACTCATGATTCCGTCGCTGCAGACTCAGCGGAATCGGACCACTTTTCCCCCCATGTTTTTGCCAGTATTCCGTTGAATGCAACGTTTGTTTCCGGTGCCAAATTTATTGATGACGTTTACTGAATAGAAACAGAAACAAAGACTTTTACATTTCCGTATTGTTTCCGAATAACGGAATCATCCAATTTTGTCCCGTGTCCAAGCGTTATATTTACCATCTTCTTTCTTCTCGTTTTTCTTTTTTCAGTTTGCAAAACAAAACTTGATCTTGGTTTCGTCATTGATGGCTCCGGAAGCGTAGGACCCTCGAACTTCAAACGCTGCCTCCAATTTATCAAGAACATGATTCGTACTTTTGTCATATCACGTGGCTATACGCGCGTTGGAGCGGTCCTCTACAACACAAGAGCGTACAAATTATTTGGCTTTAATCGATTCGGAAACAAAAACCAACTTCTCAGCGCTGTAAGTCGCATACGGTATCCGAGGGGAGGAACGAAGACTGGTCGGGCATTAAGCTACGCATACCACTATCTGTTTCGTCGAAGTAGGAGGCGGAAGATGTGTATTGTCATGACAGACGGACACTCTTACGACAGCGTAGTTGGTCCCGCACGGACCTTGCGTAAGGGAGGAGTGGAAATCATCTCGCTTGGCTTGGGGTTACGCTACAACATCCGGCAGTTACGACAGATGGCGTCCAATCACAGACTGGTGTTTACAGCACGGTTTAGAAATCTGAATTCGGTTGTCAGAGTGATCAAGAGGAAAGCTTGTGGTGCAACAGGTCAGTCATAGTTTGGTTTATAAAACATATTCCCTTACTGGAAAACCTAGTCATCCAGTAAAAAATTACATGAAATACACTGACGAAAGTGCATGCTCAAGGACGAGAGACTACACTCGTGATATCTAGTATAAAACTACTGCTTAACACTAACGCAAGTTCCCCTCGAAGACGGTAGACTAAATCTGAGACATACGTGTCAAAATGAGATCAAGCCACTAACTTAAGTCCAAAATCGGGGACTGTGGACTAAATTCGTGATATATATAGATTCACGCCCGAGTTCGAAGTATCTGGAACTCGTGGAAATGCGAATGAAAAAATAATTATTGTAAACATCAGAGTTAAAAAAAACCGTGACAAATTCTGCTCAAGAGGTTTGCATAGGAAATTACCCATGGGCTAAAAGTATAGCCTCGCTCTGAAAAATGGCAAAACGCAATTCAAGTGATAGAGAAGTTTTCCTTCTTTTTGGTTAAGACGATTTAATACCAGATTGTAGAGACACAAGTGTGTTTTCTTACTCTTGAGTTTGTACGGTCCATCAACCCTCAATGCATATCAATTGTCAACTACCTAGGTGTGAAACCAAAACCACACCCTCGCCCCAAGCCTCCCGGTCCTAATCAAGTCACGTACTTCTGGGAAGGATGTTATAATGACAGACGAAGACGAGCCATTAGATACAGACTTGGAAACTTCCACCGAGCCAAAGACCCTGTCATAGCATGTGCACAAGCAGCTGCTAAGCGTCGATTTAAGGTGTTTGCGGTGGAGAATGGTGGAGAGTGCTACTCAGGCCGTTTGGCACACAGTACTTACAATCGTTATGGACCTTCTAATCGATGTAGACGAGGCAGAGGAGGACCATGGGCAATGGATGTATACAAGTTTGGAAGACGTATGTTTTGTGTTCATTTGTTTATGAAAAAGCGTGAGAATGCAACGATTTAAAGAAGTTATGTCATGGCTTAGTTATCATTACGAATTCAGTCTGTATGCGTAATTTTTTAGCTTGTCATTTACAATCCGCTTTATGCTCTTCAACCTTATCTTTTGAGGTTCGATTTACTTTCAATCTTCCCTCTTTGATGTTTTTCCACACTAACAAGCTACTGTTTCAAGGCTCATTTCGTCTCTAGAGAATTGCTTTGTATTAAAAACTGTCATGACAAAGTAAGGAGCAAAATTATATCAGGAACCCCCATTACACAACTTAGACACACAGTGTTACATCAGTAGCTCGCTATGATGCACTGGTACCTAGCGCTACAGAGGCTAGCGCTTTCCAGTGCATAATTGGTGCTTGTGACGAGTCTGAACCAGGCAAAGGTAAAAAAATCAAAGGCACTCTGCTAAACCTCTATTGCACCAACGTTAAAATTATCAAAGAATTCCATATAATTTCGTCAACCTTGTAATGTTATGTTCTGATTACAGCAAAGGGTTGGACCAATGTCCATATCCGAAGTGTCGGTTGCTTCAAAGACAAACCCAGACGGGCCGTGGGAAGCATGGTAGCTAACCTGCGGGGCTTGAAGTTTGTCGTCAGAGACTGCGCGCGCCAGGCGCGAAAACGGGGTTACAGGTTATTTGCAGTTCAAAATGGAGGTGAATGTTGGATGGGGCCCAGGGCTAAGCTCACCTACAAGAAGTATGGTACTTCTAAGCGGTGTCGAGGAGGAAAAGGAGGCCCGTGGGCTAATAATGTCTATGTTATAATTGTCAAAGGTATGTCTCAAGCTCTCGCTTACAATACTATTACTTTAAAAAGCAACAGATTCTTACGGACTTACATTTGAGCAGCGATGTTGCTTCTTGTTTTGTTTACATGTCTAACATCTCTTGTAGGTCGACCACCTTTGCCTCGTCCCAGGCCACGCCCCAGACCACGACCCAGGCCATATCCGAGACCAAGACCCGTTCCCAGACCATCCGGTCGAGGTAAGCTAAGACATAATTTCTCTTGGCCCAATCAGGAGACCCCTTGAGCTTAACGTCATGTACACAGATTGATCAGGGAATGACGCTGCAGAAGTTTTGTCCATAATCGTTCTTGGTGCTGTCTCCTTGTGTCTTAATATCAGCACCAACGTTTTCCAAGCTGTCTCAGACCATCATGTTTACCTTGATTCATCGATATTTATGTGTTTGTATCGCAAGGACTTCAAAAGGTAACACCACAAGGCTGCCCACAGCATTGAAAAAAAAAATTTGCAGGAATGCAGAACAGTTTAAAAGTTAGAATTAACTCTGATCATAACTCGCCGTCTTTGTCACGAAAATCCGATTTTCCATAACCATTTTCTATTCCATTTTTTCTCCTTACAGTTTGCCGAGCACGTCTTGATTTGGCTTTCTTGATTGACGGCTCCGGCAGCATTGAAAGCTCCGGCAAAGGCAACTTCCGTCGCTGTCTACATTTTGTGAAAAGGATTATCGCTTCGTTCACAGTGTCGCGATCTAGCACGCGAGTGGGAGTTACTCTCTTCTCCAGCCGAACATGGCTGATTTTCGGCTTCAACCGCTACGCGAACAGGCGGCAGGTCTACCGAGCGATTGATGGTATCAGGTATCCATCTGGAGGATCTAGGATAGGAAAGGCCCTGAGATTTGTGTATCGCAAATTGTTCCGAACTAGTAGACGTCGAAAGGTAACATTTATAAAAAAAAAACACTCTTGATTAACAGGGCACTTTGCGAATAAATTTCATAAACCATTGTAATCACAGGTCTCAAATAAAGGAAAAGAAAATGTCAGGAGGCGCCAATGAAAACTCAAAATAAAAGCATGTAAGCAGCCTCGAGTGTTGGAAAATGAGACCATTAAAGTCGGAAGTGGTCTTAATTTTAGATCGGATTGGGAAGAATATGGAGCAATAGTCTCCTTATTAACTTCGACATTTCACTCGAAAATTCATTTAGATGCTGGCCAAAGTTGTTTCACGAGGATAAATTTATCCAAGATTACATCTTACCATCAAGATCCAATGTATTAAATTTTTGTATCTGTTAAAAAAAAAAGGTTTTCGGAACATAATCATAGTAGTTGTACCTTCCTTTACTACGTTCTTTTCTTCATTTCATAAACAACCCGCCACATAATCAGTCGAATGCAAAAACCAGCCCCGAACTGTTAACAAACAAATAATTTTGGCTAAGAATATTTGATGTGTGTTTCCACGGTGTTTACATCAAAATTATTGGTTTCTTATAGGCTCTAATTGTGCTGACAGACGGCCTGTCACAAGACTCTGTCAGGCAGCCTTCACTCGGTCTCCAAAGGTCTGGTGTTAGCACATTCGTTGTTGCAATCGGACGAAAAACAAGCCGAAGGCAGTTGCATCAAATTGCCTCAAGTTCACGTAACATTTTCAGGACCAGCTTCAGAAGACTTAGTAACGTTGTACGAAGCTTAGCGAGGAGAGTGTGCTCAAACCGAGGTGAGTGTGTGGTTCAAAATGGCACTGAAATACAATTATTTGGAAAGAATTCTGTCCTGCCCTACCCATGTGTTACGTCAGTTTTAGCTGACGAGAGGAAGGAGAGAGGAATTGCTACCTCACTTGGGCTTTGTGTCCCACTGCTACTTAACTTTTTTCACTTCTCTGTTTATTTATAGTGAGACCCAAGCCAAAACCAGTGAGACCGGTTAGACCACCCAGACCAAAAGGTTAGTTGTATCATGTTGCCTTCACCATTGTTCTTATTATTTACTCCTTGAATACTATATTTTGGAATTGAACGGCAATCATTCTTTCAATTTTACGAATTAAAACTATTTCACCTATCAAGCTGAGATATGGTTCTGGAATTGATACGTGGACCTATTTTTCACCAGTTACAACCAGAGCCGTCGCCATATTCCCACTTAACGGAGGTAGCAGGGGTAAAGATATCAGTACCCGCCGAAATGCACGTGGAATACTCAGTTATGTCCGCCCCGCGCCTGGACCGGATGGAACTCGTGACGGTTCCTACCAGTTCTATGGAAGAAGCAACAGTTACATCCAGTTCCCTAACCGAGGAGGCCTTGATACCAAGAATTCAATCACTTTCCTTGTGTGGATTTATCACCAGGGCCGCGCAGGACCCATCTTCAATTACATGCCCAATGGGTGGGGTGTGCACTTTTGGATGATTTCATCAAGAACGCTGTTTGTACGGTTTACGCGTCGCAGAGGACGTCGCTCCACGAAGGCGGTTCTAAGTAGGTCAGTCTTACCGAATCGTTGGCAGTTTGTTGGTGCAACGTATGATCAACGAACAGGAATAGCGAAACTATTTGTAAATAGAAGATTCACAGCACAGAAGTACATTGGGAAAATACGTTTGGCGACCAATTACCCAGTGAGAATGGGAGCTCGTATTGGTGATGGACGATATTTCCGAGGACGAATCTCCTGTATGCAGGTTTACAATGGTGCTTTGTCACACTGGAAAATCATTTCAAAGAAACGAAGGTGCTTTAGGAGAAGTAAGTAGAGCTTGATAATATGTTTTCGTTCATAAACAAAAACTATGATTGATTTAAATGGTACCGAAAGATTCGTTTTCCAATTTTGATTCCTCTTCCCAAAGGCATAATTCTCTTTAAAGAGGTAAATTGCATCTTAGTTTGTGGCAGAACAAAAGACAAACAAACATTCCGGAACATTCTGATTTCATGCAATGCACGATACTCTACAGAGTCAAACATGCCAGAAACAACCGAGAAGTTTTATTTTTTTTTAAAGAGGTGCTTCATTTTTGTCTCATCAACAGCTCCAGTAAGACCAAGACCCAAGCCACCTGGCCGAGGTATGCGACTTTTCTAAAAACACAATCAAATCTCACCCATACTAACAATACAGAAATATCATGTCAGTCGTTGGTGATTATCCGCCGTGTGTCACGTATGTGAGACACACGTTAACTACGCGTAGCGTGTTGGAGTCTGCGTCGAGAGATGTAGGTTTGATCCTGGGCGATGGAGCAGCATGCTATTCGGGGAGAGAAACGATATTCCTAATGTTTCTGCAATGGAAACCGGGACTAGCTCGATTGGTAATGCGCTAATAGAATCGATAGAAGTAATCTTTGCCCTTCGTTTATGCTCCAATGAAAGGATACGGTACAGCGATGCATTGGTTTCGTTTCCGTTCATATTGTGCGTTCTAGAACGACTTCAAGATCAGGGTTCATAATCTACATTTATTTCATCATACATGTAGAGCTTCGTCAAAAAAATTATTCTTTGGTATCTTCTCTTTCTTAGGGTGCAACAAACGCCTCGACTTAGCGTTCTTGATTGACGGATCTGGAAGTATTAATTCTGCCGGACGCGGGAACTTTAGGCGATGCATTGAATTTGTTAAGAGTGTGGTGTCTTCGTTTAATGTGTCGCCTCGCCACACCCGTGTGGGAGTGGTCCTATTCTCTTCCCGCGCATGGCTAATACTGGACTTCTACCGTAGCAGAAGCAAGGCTGGTGTGTTGAGCACAATTGGTCGAATCAGATATCCGCGAGGAGGAACGAGGATTGGAAAAGCTTTGAATTTCGTGCTGTATCGATTGTTTAGAAGAAGTCGAAGGGCACTCAAGGTTAGAGCCACTCGAATAACATCAGATAGTTTTTCTTTCTTATTAATTTTTTATGCAATGCGTAGTGAAAAAGTCCTTACAATAGAGTGATCCTGACAATGTTCTTGTGAAACCAAACACTGAAGAGTCGTACATATCCCCAAGCACCTACATGTTTAAATGATAGAAGGTGTACAATCTACTATTAGACAATCCCCTACTCCCCTATGAGACGTTGTGCATGACCCTTAAGGCAATCATCAAACGGAAAAAATGAAACTTAATGCCTTCTTCCCTCACCCTAATGATCACTTAAATAAGAGCATTTGCGTTAATTTCCTTGAGGATTGACATAAGGATTCTCTCGGTTTATCTCTCGAATGATTCGCTGCAATGTGAAATTCCTTTTATGTTCCTTGTTAGCACAGTGATCCGTAAATTTATCTACTTTTTAGGCCCTGGTAGTAATGACCGATGGCATCTCTCAAGACTCTGTTCGGAGACCGTCACTGGCTCTGAGAAGCCAGGGAGTATGGGTTTACGCCCTGGGAATCGGTCGGCGGTATCGAAGACGAGAGCTTCAACAGATAGCTACAAACAGTCGATATGTGTTCACTGCAAACTTCAGAAGCCTCAGTCGGGTCGCTCGTCAAATCTCAACAAAATTATGCCGAGGTAAGTGCAAAGTGTTACTTCTTAGCAAAGAATATAGTCGTCGTTATTGTCAACATTATGAGCAATATTATTTTAATCGTTATCATTATAATTATTATCTTTACTACTATAAAAGTCATCAAATTTAACGTCGCCATGTTCATAATCATCATCAACACCGTTATCATTATCGTTATCATTATCATTTTCATCATCGTCATCATTATCATCATACCAATGTCCTTCACTACATATGCACTGCTGATACTCCAAACGTTTATCACAGGTCGTCCACTCCGTCCCAGGCCACACCCTCCAGGTCCCCACATAAGACCAAGCGGCAAAGGTATTTCGTTTAATGAGTGATGAGGTTGTTTCTAGATTGCACAGGGTTCTTCTTGTTTAATCTATCCATTGGCAATCTTTTTTTAAATTGTCAGCTTCGGTCGCTGAATCATCCCCTGACATTTCACTTTATCTTCCTTTCTTAGTGTGTCGTAAACGTCTTGATCTCGTCTTCCTCATCGATGGCTCTGGTAGTATCGAAGCTAACGGTCGAGGAAACTTCCAGCGATGTCTCAACTTCGTTAAACGGTTGGTGGCTTCGTTTGCCGTCTCACCAAGGCAAACTCGTGTTGGCATCGTGTTGTTCTCCACCCGTCCATGGCTGATTGCAAACTTTAGGAGCTACAGGACAACACAGAGTGTGTTACACGCCGTCAGTCGCATAAGATACCCGAGAGGTGGTACGAGAATTGGTCGAGCGCTGAGATTTGTCAAAAATCGGCTATTTAGAAGGAGAACATACGGGCGGAAGGTAAGTATTGTGTCTTCTAGACAATTTTATTTATTTATTTATTTATTTATTTGCTTTAATGTTTATCTTTATGCTGGGGGAAGGGGGCGTTTTTCAGTTCCCATGTGATCAGATTTAAGGTAGTTCAAAGATGTTTATATTTACACTGCATCATTAACCTCTACTCCATAGCATCCATTATACCTTAATCACAGTCAAGCTTTTTAACGTTATGCAGGTTTTGGTTGCAATGACCGACGGCATTTCACAAGATTCCGTCGTGAGTCCAGCAAGGAACCTCCGAAACGCGGGAGTACGAATCCTTGCGCTAGGAATCGGCCGGAAATTCAGAAGGTCACAGCTTAACCAGATGACAATGAACTCACGATACGTGTTCAACAGTGGCTTCCGAAGTCTGCACCGTGTAGTATCCTCTATAAAGAGAGCAGCGTGCAAAGGTAGATTATATATTTAATCATATTAATAGCTTTTTCTGATTACCATTATTCAGTTAATTCATGTCAACTTGAAGACTTTTTTAATTTGTTTCTTTGCTTCTTGTCATGATCAGGGCGTCCAGTACGTCCCAGACCGGTACGGCCAAGACCCCCCGTGCGCCCAAGTGGTCAAGGTAAGACTCATTGGAACTAATAAGCTTAATTTTGTGTCCAATACAGTGCGTGGCAACTAGACCAAAGTTGGTTCTGTGGAGGATGAAGTCAAACATCAAAGTTAAAATTGTGAAATCATAAATGAATAAATGCAAAGACCAATAGGAAAGTTACTTCCACAGCTATTAAATGATTTATTACGGTAAATTACCAAAAACCACTGCCTCGTAATCATTTGGATTTTCTTACTCAAATCAAAATGCCCTCTAAAGTTATCATTGTAGCCATTTAACAACACTTGTATTTTCGTTATCACAGTTTGTCGTAGACGTCTTGACCTTGCCTTCCTTATTGACGGCTCTGGTAGTATTGAGGCTTACGGTCGAGGTAACTTTCAGCGATGTCTCAACTTCGTCAAACGAGTAGTGGCCTCATTTGGTATCTCTCCGTCCCAAACTCATGTTGGTATCGTACTGTTCTCCAGCCGTGCATGGCTCATCGCAAACTTTAGAAGCTACAGAAGCAAACAGAGTGTGTTACACGCCGTAAGTCGTATAAGATACCCTAGAGGTGGCACGAGAATTGGACGAGCGCTGAGATTTGCCAGATATCAGTTGTTTAGAAAGAGGACGAGTCGGCGCAAGGTGAGTGCTGGATTAGTTCCTATATTCTGTTCTTTGGATTTTTGGTCTTCATGTAGCGTAGGTCAAAACTGAATAGTTTCAGTTAATGTAAATGAGACAAATTTCTTTCCTTTCAAAGTAAAAAAAAGGTTAAAAAATAGCTCTGCCTTTTAGGTTCTTATTTGTATGACGGATGGCATTTCACAAGACTCGGTGGTGAGACCATCACGTGACCTTCGAAATGTCGGCGTGCGTATTTTAGCACTTGGTATTGGTCGAAAGTTCAGGAGATCACAACTTTACCAAATGGCAGGGAACTCGCGATACGTTTTCAAAGCCGGATTCAGAAGCCTCAGTGGTGTAGTGAGATCCATTAAAAGAGCTGCTTGTGGAGGTAATTGGTTTTGACAGGGAAAATTCGACTTCTAAGTTACCTGAATTATCGGGACGATTTTTCTCAGTTTGTTAAGTCAGTTTCAGGAAATAATAAGTACTTATGAAATTTCCAAACGTCACTGGAAAATTCTTGAAAGGATTGCATTTGCGATGGTAGGGAAACATCGGCCATTCGTTTCACTTAATGAGAAATATACTTCTTGCAGTGGCCGTGCTTTCGAAAATATGTGATCATTTAAACTCGGGCGATTTTGGATTAAGGGTTCAATGCTTACGAAAACAGAAATGATTTTGCAGAGCTTCATAACTTAGTCTCTTCAGGCTTTATTATCACTTCTGCTTAAATAGTTTTCATAGCTACGATGATCGCTCTCGCCTTTATTTGGTCTCTTTTGCCCAAGATAAGGTGGGTGGGTGGAGGGGGGGGGGTTGCTCTTTAAATATTTTGATTATGTTTAGTCATGTAAGTAAATGAAAAAGCCATAATTATATTCCAAGGTAATTAATACAGGGATATCACAGGCGTTCTAATAATACCAGACTCTACCCAATGCTTGCTAACTCGAGGTCGCCTCTTTATAGGATCCACAACACGACCCAGACCTGTGCGGCCAAGACCACCCGTACACCCAAGTGGTCAAGGTAAGACTGGAACCGAAACTGTTAAGTGAGATCCAAATTCACCAATTCGTGCTTCGATAAGGTTATCACAACCAAAATGACAAGTTTTAAACCAATTCTGTCCTTCTTTTTACCTATAATGTGTTTCGAAATAGTAAGGATTATAATTCAATAAACGCTATTACCATGACCCATGATAAAGTATTTTTCCTCCTTAAAATATTTTTCCTCAAATTTTATTTCCTGTCTCTTTGCTGCATGTCAAATATATTTAGAAATTGTATCTGGAAAATTTGTCGGCAAACTGCTGCGTCCAGTCGGCTATCAAATGTTAGGAGGTATTACATTGGTTTTGCTTTGTGATTGGTCCAGAAAATTGGCGCACCCTTTCAGCCAATTAGATGGAAACTTAAACAAACCACTACTAAGTCACTTACATTTCTCCGCGCATTAGGCTGTCTTCCTTTTCATAACTGGGTTCTCCAGGCCAAATTTAATGTTTTCCTTTATTCTTTGTGGTCTATAAGTCACTTACCTACCAGCCACCATTACGACTACTTGACAACGCGTGTTGTTTTTTTTTTTCCTTTACAGTTTGTCGCAGACGTCTTGACCTTGCCTTCTTGATTGACGGCTCCGGTAGTATCGAGGCTTATGGTCGAGGAAACTTCAGGCGATGTCTCAACTTCGTCAAAAGAGTCGTGGCCTCGTTCGGCATCTCTCCATCCCAAACTCGTGTTGGTATCGTACTGTTTTCTAGTCGTGCGTGGCTGATCGCAAACTTTAGAAGCTACAGAAACAAACAGAGCGTGTTGCACGCCATTGGTCGTATAAGATACCCGAGAGGTGGCACGAGAATTGGACGAGCGCTGAGATTTGCCAAATATCAATTGTTTAGAAAGAGGACCAGTCGGCGCAAGGTGAGTGTCAATATAATTTTTTTTTTTGAATCTCTTTAACCGATTTTAGCCACACAAATAGGACCTTTTTTTTCCAACGTAAGGGGTAAGTATTTTTCTTAGTCTTTATTGTTTTCTGCTTTTATGATGCTTTTTGAATTTTTTTTTTTGATAACCGCTATTAGGATTGTAACTCCTCGGTATCCAAAAGATTAGGAAAACTGACTCATTGCGTAATCGGATTGCTCTGCTTTAAGTAAACAAGATTATCCTATGTACTTTTTCTCAGACAATCAGACCCATACTTTCCATTTCAAATCTAACCTGGCATTTTTAGAGATGGAATTAACGTCTTGCCAGCCAGATTAGTTAAATATCGACGTTAGGGCTGTCCTTTACATGTAGTATTTCAATCACATAACCATCATCAAATGAAGGGCGTTTTCCGATTTGAAGTTTTCGGGTGTGAACAAATTTTATTTGAAAACGCAACTGAGTAAACTTTTGTCGACAGAATATGTTTAAGAAAGGATTTGAATCAGAAAGATGAACAGCTTCTATACTAATCCTTCTCTAAATGACCTTTAGGTCCTCATTTGTATGACTGATGGCATTTCACATGACTCGGTGGTGAGACCGTCACGTGACCTTCGAAATGCCGGCGTGCGTATTTTGGCGCTTGGTATTGGTCGAAAGTTCAGGAGATCACAACTTTACCAAATGGCAGGAAACTCACGATACGTGTTCAAAGCCGGATTCAGAAGCCTTAGTGGTGTAGTGAGATCCATTAAAAGAGCTGCTTGTGGAGGTAATTAGACTGTGGGCAGGAGAAAAGCTCAAAATAATATAATGGAGATAAGTGTCGAAAAGAAGAGGAAATAGGGAGGCTTGAAAACATCTAAAATCAGATTATTAACAAGGTATTCATACAAGAGAGTGTAGTTTTGATTTTGGATAAATCATCGTTGCTTATTGATTGATCGTGATTGTGACAATGAGCTTTTTGTTCTACCTTTTCCAAAAGTTCAGGCAAAGTCAGGGAATTTTGAAAACCTTTGGTAGTGGCAACCATTTCCAAGTTCAAAGCGTCAAAAAATCTCCGAGCCAGTTCATGTAATGAGAACACCTCAATCGTTCCATATGAGGCTTACAATCCTTTCTACCCTAGACAACATGTAACAACTTGATGCTTTTTTTCTCTCAGTTGACTTCGATGTAATTTAACGTTTCATATTCGTTACGGCAGTGAAAAGAGGAAAGAAGAAAAGAAACTTAATAATTGTCAGACCTGATGAGGACGAGAGAAATAGCCAAGCAATAAGGGAACACGAGCAAGTGAGAGGAACACAACGAAGTGAAATTTCTAGAGTCGAGAATCAAGGTAAGCACTGAAAGAAAACAAGTCAGATAAGTGGGACGATAATATTATTTTACGAAGATTACAAGAGCTAAACGTTCTCACATCGTCGAATTTTCGAATAAGTTGGAAATGTCTTAGTTATCATTCTAAATAGAATCACAAACCAGTGGAATTGGTTAATGATTCGAGGTATTCAGGGTAAAATTGCGCCTTAAATGCGTTGCTTTTTTATACTTCCCGCACCGGTCAGTAGCGCAGTCCAACGTTTAGTTTGCCAAGCGAATTCCAAAGTTAATCTATCAATACTTTTTTGTAACAGATAATCAAACAAATCTGACCCCCAGCTGCTTGTGGCACTTTGTGTCACCCTTAAACAACTCAGAAGCATTGGATAAAATCCACAATCGTGTTATCCACCTCGAGGGCGGAGCCTACATGAAAAACACAACTGACGCGGGCTTAGTCGCTGACACTAATGGTGGATGGTTGTCTCTTAAAGAAACCAATGGTGAGACTCTTGAAAACCTTTTATCCTTTTGAATTCGTCCTTAAGATTTGGTTGTCTTAGTCGTTAGGTTCTTTAAAATTTCTTTAATAGCATGATATAAGTATAATTTGATTTCATGTGAAACAAAAAAATTAATTTTAATTATGGGGGACACTTTCCTTAACACTTACCCCTCAATTGTACTGCAAATATATGAATTGCAATATTCACTTCTACTGTGCTGAACACTCCCTTGGAAATTAGTTTAAAGAGTTTGTGAACACATAATCTCCGAGCTTTTAAGTTTGTCTCTTCCCATAGCTTGTGTCATTTATTGTTATTTTATGGAAAGGTTTCATGAAGGGGATGGAAAGATTCGCAACACAAGCTTGTTCTATATTTTAGTGAGTGACGCGTTCATCACGAGTATATTTTATTTTTCTTTAGCTACCTGCTTCAGTGATCCTGGACATTGCTCTGATAAAGGAATGACGGTGATGGCCTGGATCAAACTCAACAAGACTTCACTGAGTAACACGACCAGTTCCTACATCATGTCTAGTGGTGGCCAGTCCACCAAGTCGCGCGGTTTTGCAGTGGTATATCTTGCCAACAAATATATTGTTATTCTCAGCACGAAAAACAAGCAGTGGAAACTCGACACACATGTTCTGCCGAGCGGATGGTTCAACCTCGCTTTCACTTGGCGGGAGGCGGGTCAACTCAAGCTGTATGTCAATGGTACCCACGTGACCAGTGGAAACCCTGCTCTAGTTTCCAGACCTCTAGACTCGTTCACAACCTTTGATATCGGTCGACCAAACAACTCGGAAAAACCAATTTACAGATTCCCATTAAGAATCAGCAACTTGGCACTTTGGGAGAGAGAACTGTCACTAGAAGACTTGAAATCAGGTTAGTTACTTGATTTTCATGTTTCTCTTAACTTCTCATTATTTGCTCATTATTTTAAAGATGATTCCTTTAGAAATATTTCAAAATTTGATGATTCCTTTACAGAAATATTTTGGTTTTTTTGTCGTTGTGATCTCATGAATCTTATTGGTCCTGAAATGTCACCTGGTTTAAATATAACTACGACAGTTTTAATAAGGAATGTTTTTGTGTTGCGAAAATGGACAAAAATCACGATTATTGCAGGGTTACATTTATGATTAATTTGGTGCCAAAGAAACTTTATTGTCGGTTAATCCTCAACTCTCTACCATCAGTAAATTTCATGCAAACACTGTTAAGATATATAGGGTTAAGTGGAAGGTATTTTCATTTTCTCTTTTCAGCTATGAGTGCGCCAAAAAGCCAAAACAGTCGACCACAAAACAAGAAGACCTAGGTAAATACCATTCAATAAAAGTGTCAGATAATCTTTAAGATTTGATAGTGTAAATGCTGTTTATTGGATCTATGAAAACCCTAAAAGTAGTTTTCAAGTACCATTAAGGGTCAAGAGAAATGAGAGAGAACTTGGCGTACGCAGGTGACGTAGTATGAACGGAAAAAATCAAGTAATTCGCAATGCGAGGCCAACCCAGAAAGAACTGAATTGAATGTGGAAAGTAAACCGGAATTTTATTAGTAGTGCTTGTGACTTAGTCTCTCGCGTTTTCCTGCGTCTCAGGCAGTTCGCCTGCTGTAACCTTGAGTTTTCATTGGCCGTTGTGATTACATTGGTGTTCGTTTTACGGCACTCAATCGAAGTGCGCATTTTTCACTTCTCAGTCAATCATAAACGGAATGCAACTTGCCAAATACTTAAACTATTTCTCGTCATTTTTTTTTCTTTTTTTCAGATATAAATTCATCGTAGCATTTATTTTAGAAGGATCACAATGTCTCCGTAGCGGAAGTTCATTTCTTAGATTCAATGATATTTGTTGAATTTCCATGTTTTTATTTGATGTTTCTCGTCTGCTATATGCTAATAAATATAATTATAAACCTTATACTGATTCTCGTCTCTTTCTCCCCACAAAGGAGCTCCCACTTTGGCCTTTTGCATACAGTAGACAGCTAATCTTGTTCATGAAAATCCTCTTTTCTCCAGCACATGAAAATTGAATTAATAGCAATTCATTAATGATCTTTAGAGCATTTATTCATGCGAAAAACGGCCAATTTTGTTCTTTAACAAAATTATATTGTTTGAATATTTCGGCTCCCGAGCGAGCTGTGTTTTTGACACTTAAAAACAATAGACATTTAATCATACTCTTTCTATCGCGCTATTATTTACACCGAAAATCCTCTCTCTGATCTAGGTATAAGACCATGAATATTGAAACAATATAAATTAGTTAATGAGCTTTTGGGGAACTCGAGCTAAACCTAGTTCTAAGGGTCCACTTTGCTAATTGACAAAATTCTCGTATTTGAATATTTAGAGCAGATATCCTAGGCCTACGTTCGAGCTGTTACTTTGACAAAAAAGACGGCTAATTCCAACTTTAAACCCGCAATGAATTGTGCCGAAAGTCCTCTTTCTGACTGACACATGGATGAGGAAACAATGGAAATTGGTTAACTAATTCTTGAGTCCTTCGCGCTAATTCTAGTTTAAGAGGTCCATTTTGATGATTAACAAAATTCGTTTGTTCCAATATTCAGAGGAGATTTTCTAGCCCCACAAATGGTTAATGAAAAATGGTTAATGAGCTTCCGGGGAACTCGAGCTAACCCATGTTCTAGAGATTCACTTTACTCATTAACAAAATTCTTTTGTTTGAATATTCACAAAAGATTTTCTCGTCCTACGAGCAAGCTCCACCTTTGACACTTAAATTAAATTGAAAGCTAATTATAGTCTTCCCGACGAGCCATGAATTGCCCCAAAATTCCCCTCTTTGACCGAGATATAAGCCCATGAATATTGGAACAATAGAAATTGGTTAATGAGCTTCATGGGAACACGAGCTAACCCATGTTCTAGAGACTCGCTTTGCTCATTAACAAAACTCTTTTGTTTGAATATTCACAGGAGATTTTCTCGTCCTACGAGCGAGATCTAACTTTGACACTTAAATGAAATTGAAAGCTGATCATAGTCTTTCCGACGAGCTCTGAATTGCCCTGAAATTCCCTTTTTTGATCGAGATATAAGCCCATGAATATTGGAACAATAGAAATTGGTTAATGAGCTTCAGGGGAACACGAGCTAACCCAAGTTCTTGAGATTCGCTTTGCTCATTAACAAAACTCTTTTGTTTCAATATTTACAAAAGATTTTCTCGTCCTACGAGCGAGATCTAGCTTTGACACTTAAACACGATAGAAAGCTAATATTGGTCTTTCCGACAAACTATGTCTCGCCCCGAAATTCCCCTCTTTGATCGAGATATAAGCCCATTAATATTGAAACAATAGAAAATGGTTAATGAACTTTTGGGGAACTCGAGCTAACCCATGTTCTAGAGATTCCCTTTGCTCATTAACAAAATTCTTTTGTTTGAATATCCACAAAAGATTTTCTCGTCCTACGAGCGAGATCTAACTTTGACACTCAAATGAAACTGAAAGCTGACCATAGTCTTCCCGACGAGCTATGAATTGCCCCGAAATTCCACCATTTTACCGAGATATAAGCCCATGAATGTTGAAACAATAGAAAATAGTTAATGAGCTTTTGGAGAACTCGAGCTAACCCAAGTTCTAGAGACTCACTTTGCTCATTACCAAAACTCTTTTGTTTGAATATTCAAAAGAAATATTCTCGGCCCACGAACGAGCTGAATTTTTGACACTTAAGCACAATAGAAAACAAATCACGCTCTTTCCAACGTGGTGGGTATTGCTCCTGAAATCCTCTTTTTGACCCAAATATAAGCCCATGAATATTGAAACAATAGAAATTGGTTAATGAGCTTATGGGTAACTTTCCTCATTAACAAAATTATTTTGTTTCAATATTCAGAGGAGATTTCCCTGGCCCACAGAGGAACAGAAACTTTGACACTTGGACACAACAGACAGCTCAACTTGATCTATCTAACGAGCTATAAATTGTCCCAGAATTCACCTCTTTGACGGATATTTGAGCCCATGAATACTGAAACAATAGAAATTTGTCAATGAGCTTTTAGAATCTCTTGGGTCAATAGGGAAGGGTTTACGGTATATCAATTAACGCTTTTTTGAATTTCAGGTATAAAGTATATCATTGTTCTCATGCCCAACAAAAGAGCTCTCTTTTACACAAGAGCTTTTAAAACCTTTCAGCATCAATACGTAAAAGCTAATCACGCTCTTTCTAATGAGTTGCAATTTGTCCTGGAAATCCACCTTTCTGGAGAGATAAGCTCATGAATATCAAGAACAATACAAATTCGTAAATGAGGCTATGCCTAATCTTTGAATAAAATGGTCAGTTTTTCTAATTAAATTCTGAATATGCAATTGATCTTCATAGTAATGAACACCGCTTATTCAGTAGTTAAAATAAGGCCTGAAAAAATTCAGGCCTGTAAGGGATTTGAACTCATGACCTTTGCGTTACTGGTGCAGTGCTCCACCAACTGAGCTAATAAATTGATAAATCAATGACTGTAAATATATACTAAAGTCATATTTGTGAACTGCAGTTTCTGTGACGAAAATGAAAGCGATCTTCGCAGTATTGAACACTACTTAAGCAGTAGTGAAAATAAGGAGAATTTCTTAGCCCTAAAGAACTTGCAATTGTTTGTCTGATCAGTAAAGCATACAAATACATAACAAAAAAAAACGCAATACTTTATTCAAAAGTTGCAAAGAAATGACTAAGACAGTACAGCTATGTCATTAGTTGTTTAGCTAAACAGATTATTATGTCTACAAGGCTATTAAAACATTTTATGGTTGAAGAAAAGTGTAGATCACAACGTGAAAGAGAATCCCTGAATGAAACGATAGGCCGAGTCAAATAAAGATTGAAATGTGTCTGAGATTCAAGCTTGGAAGTATTCTTCTTCAGGCGATTTGCTTACGTGATGCTTTTTGATTGTATCTGTTAAAAAAAACAAACAAACAAACAAACAAACAAATGGGAAACAAGTTTCCATAAACCAAACCAATATAAATCACCAAACTTATATTACATTCAAAGGTCGAAACAGTGTAATAAGTTCTACTTACTCTTAACGAATATAACTTATTTAAAATCTCCTTTTAAAATTACCTCATAAACTTTCTTTTCGATTTTAATATTTGAGACCTCAGAGGAGATAGTACTGAAGATTTCTTGCTACCCACTGCTTCTATGACGAGCCTGAAAAATAACGATCAATGATCATGATGAACTAAAAGTTAGTTAGCGGTTATTTATTTAGTTATTTATAAAGCCACTACTACCCACATTATAACAATCGTGAACGATAACCCCTTGTTCTTACATTTCAGTATTATTTTTTGAACCTTTGCCATCGCCCTTAAGCCAGAAGAACTTAGCAGGCCCATGCTTTGAGACAAATGATATTTCAGAGCCCATACCGCTGACCAAACCATGATGTAACGACTCGCCATTCAAGTGAACCACTGGAGTTTCAGTCTTTTTTTTAGAATTAGCAGCATCTTCATCGTTATCAACTGTCTTTTTTTCTTGATTGTATCGTCTTCTTCCTCATCATCCTCAACGTGAATTTTCTTACGCAATTTACGTTTGCTATGTTTGTGGTTCTTAATTTCGCCATCGTCATCATCGTCGTCATTATTTTCATTGCTGTCATCATCACTGTCGTCGTCTGAATTCGAGACGTCTTCGACATCAGGATCGTTTCCTCCAGCTTCCTCAGCACTATCTGTCTCGTCGTGTTCCTCGTCGCTTTCTTCATCATCATCGTCTAGGTCCTCTTGAGAGGGAAGAAAAAGATTACAAAAGTTATTTTACCGCCAATAAGAACAAGGAACCGCGGAGAATTCTGGGAAAAAACGAAGTGATCTGGTGGCGATTGGTCTTAGCTTTGTAGCTATTTGTTTTGAAAGGGATATCACGTGTTTTTCGTTTACCGTCACTCGACTTCCAATTGAAAATGTCGCCATTGTATTATAATACATATTCTCTTATGATAATCCAACGACTTAAAAAGTCAACCGTCTATCACCCGATAAATCATTCAAATGATTTGTTTACCTACGCATTCGTCCAGTATTCGTTCAGTCTTGGAAATGAAGGTTGGTTTACAATGTGCGTCAGTCACACAGCGAGCCGTGAGATCAACTTTGCATGCCTTTTCAAAGCAAGGATTGAAGCCGCATGCATCCATTGCTGGCACTGTCAATATGCCTGATGAATGAATAAATGAATGGCGAAAGAGTAAATGAATGAATGAATGAAAGATATATGAGTGAATGAAAAGTGGGCGAATGAGTTAATAAATGAATGAATAATAAATAACCGAACGAATGAGTGAGTGCCTTTATTAAGGTGTCTGTTCTTAAATAAGCAACAATAATAATATCAATAGATGGACACACTATTAAGGTGTCTGTTCTTAAATAATCAACAGTAATAATACCAAAAGATGAACACACTTTAAAATGTTATGAAACATAAACAAAATGTACCAATCCTAATAAACGCAAAAATTGGTTCGAAAAAACCTACAATTTACGCCCGATAGAATAAAAAACGTTTAAGTTGACGTGATAAAATAAATTTACGTTAAGAACGAAACAATACAGAATAGTACCCTTCATGCTTTTCCATTCAGCTATACAAGGCTTGTTTTGAAGAAAAGGACAAAAACACCTCGTACCCCAACCATGCAGTAATGAGAAGAAAAGGAAAAAAGAAGCGTTTCCGAAAATAGATGGAAATTCAACTCTTACTGAAATTTCCTTTGAAATATCTTTAAACCCAGTTCCAATTGGTTTCTTATTACTTTTCATATATATCCTAAATTGTTAAAACTTCACTCTTATATACAGACCTTTAAGCCGAAAACAGACCCATGAATAGTCTCATGAAGTCCATCAAGAGAAGTACGGGCTTGGTGATAACACACTTTACCTCTGCAGTTAAGTCGCTGACCATTGACTCCAAAGAAGATGGGTTTGCATCCGTAAGACACAACGCAGCGTTCAGCTTGGTAGGTGTAACAAGCAGACTTTTCACAAGGGTTAAATCGGCAAACTCGTTCTGGAGGAATCGATAGGACTATTGCGTCTCCTACATGGCAAAAAATACGGAGTTATTAGACATGCAACTAACTTAGGTGTGTGATGAACTGAAAGTGAGTTCTGTAATACCCTATAGGCTCGAGTGGCATTGTAATGAAAACACCTGGTCATATTTGTAAAATAAGGTTCTATGCTTGTTTTGACCTGCTTTGCGGTACACCGAGGCTTGTCACTCATCAAGGACGAGAGTTGAATTTCAGGATCTCATTAGAAAGGAGTCATATGCAATATGCAAGACTGTTTTGGGTCTGACTTGGCAACTTTCTTGTTTCATAATGGTGACAAATCATAGGAGTAGCAAAATTTTCAAAGTTCGTTTGTATCATTTTCAGGTGTGAAAAACATGAAACGTCATCTTCGGTAAAACTCAATGGATAAGTATAGGAATAGCTAAAGTCTTCACGAAAAGTCATATCCGTCGCTAACTCCCTCGATCTAAAGTTGATAAAGAGGATATTTCCGTACTGGAAACGGATGCTCTTATTTCTCTTTACAGATTCACCTCTGAATCAAACTTTAAAGTCACAAGAATAAAGGACATGATTAACTATAAGAAGTTTTTGATTGTTAAACAAACTCTCCTTCTCGCCACTATAGGAAATGTACAGAGAACAAAGTGTAGGTTATGCACCCTGATGCCAGGGCGTAAAGAGTTAATGCTATTACCTGTTAAACGGAAATTTAAGTTTTCCCAAGAGTTTTACCTCTTTTTTTGTACGGTTCTTAGTTTATTACCGTATTATCAATGAAGTGTTTTTACATATTTCTTTTCGTTTTGTCTCCATACCTTTACAAGAGTTTATTATATTCCCATCCCTGTCGAAGAAGATCGGTTTACATTTTGAGTTGCTGACGCACATTGCCGTAGGTTCTGTTACACATTTGGACACCTTACAGGGGTGGTAACCACACAGCTCAAGAGGATCGGCTCGAACCAGGTAATTAGAATCTGAAAATTAAGTCTAAATCAATTAAGACAATAATCTAATACAGTTGAGCTAATAAAAAAAGAGTTTCAAATCCGGTTGGTCTTAAACTACTTAATTTTGTGTGATGCAACATTAGGCCTTTGCGATTATCCTGTGCCATTCTGAATGCAACTTAATTGAGAGAGCCAATCGGGCAGTCAATTTAAGAGTCAAGGAATATTACACAGAAAATAATGCTCACAATTTGATATCAATATCTAGCCCAATCCAACTCATTATCGTAAAAGAAAAATACTTCCTAAGCATATGTGCTAATACATCTACTTTGATCAACTAACCGAAATTGGGAAAATCATTACAGATTCACTTTATGAGTCGAATTAGAGGTGAAGCTGAATCTGCAAATGATTCACTTACTTGAACATCTGTGTTCGTTGCAGCGTCTTCTCTGTATCTTGGGACCATGGCAGCCCTTAGAGGGTCTTTTACATCTTCTTTTCCTCTTCTTGATTCCACCTTCACATGCACGGGAGCATCTCCCGAACGAAGACCATTGACTAAATCCTAAAGTAGCTGGCAGAGAGAGAAACAGGCCCTTGAACTGTTCGCTATTTGCATCATAAGCAAAGAGAAGCAGTTTGCGATTCAAAATTAAGCGTTGCTTTTTGAAAAGCAAACTTCAACTGATTGTCGAATTATTTCATGACTGCATCACGTTTCCATAAACCCACTTTATCATGACTGGTCTAAAAAGCTCACAGTACCCTTTCAACTAGTCAAATATAAAACTGAAATCAATTCCGACTTGGTCACTCATTTTTTTTGCCACGTTTCTCTCAGTTACATATATTAATTTCACTTCAGTTCCACTGGCTCTTACTCTCAGTAACAACGGCGACATCATGTTGTGATTACTTCAGTTTCGCTTTTAACTCTTTTGAAAAAAGAATATTTATATTAGAACTCGACTCACATTTACAGTGCTTTACTTGACATCTTCTAATTTGTACCAATGGCTCAACGCAGGATTTCCCGCCATTAGCAGGTGGTGGGTTTGAACATTTGCGCCTTCTCTTTCGTACCTCTCTTCCACAGCGCCGGCCGCGGCACTCAGACCACACGGACCACGCTGACACGCCTCCGTCAACTGTTCGTAGAAATAAAACGGTCTCAGACCAATCTTGCTCCTTTGCAAGTTTCTTACTTTTGTTTTGTCCTATTGTCTTGCTTCTTAGGAGACTAGTTAGGTTTGTTTTGCCTTTTTTGTTTATTTTCTTTGTTTGTTTGTTCACTTGTTGTTTATTTGCCTATTCGTTCTTTTCCATGGCCAACACATTTATTTTTGCTTGTGGTTTTCTGCTTCTTTCGCTTACCCGTGTCTATATGCAATACAGATAACTTGCAGAACATTCCGCGAAACGCGCAACGAGAGAAGAACTAAGAGAAACTCGCTTAAAAGAGCTCGGCATAAGATACTCTCAAGAAACTAAACACAAATACATTGATCATCGATTTTCGTTGACCCTGATCAAAATCAGCTCAGGGCTAGGTACATTTTAGAGTATTAGGCAGGACATCATCTAGGACCTGTCAGTCGAGACAAGTGACCTGACTTTTCTTTTTTAACTTTCCTTTCTTCACTTGGGATTTTACCTGGACACTTCGATGATGCACATGCTCTGGCTTGCATCCTCTGACCAACACAGTCTTTACCCCTACCCTGTGGGGGAGGGTTAGTGCAGTACCGCTCCCGGACGCTAACAGTGTTTGTATCACAAGTCTTTGTACAAGCAGACCATGCTGTCCAGCCAGTTAGACCTCCGTTCACTTAAACAATAGAAAGTAACAGAGAGAAATGATCACGGACACTGACTGACTTGTACAAGTTTCACAGAGGAAAAAGCCAGAACCAGTTCCAGTTAGGAGCTAGTTTCAAGGCTAAGGAACAAGTCATATGTATGTCCTTTTTTTCAGATTTAAAATTCCTAATGATTGTCTCACCAGAGCAAGGCTTCCTTCCACAGCTCTTTAACTGTACCCATTCTCCCACACAGTCCCGTCCACCTGCCCCTGTTTTGGGATTGTTGCATCTGCGCTCTCGACGGCTAACTGCACTGGTGCCACAGGTCACGGTGCAATGCGACCATTGAGACCAAGGAGAAAAACCGCCATCAACTGAAATTCAAATCGCCATTGTAAGTCAACAAGAGCGTAAACTTCCTTCGATTGTAAACCGAGTCTCGAATTATTCGGGAAAAAAAGAGGTGGGGAGGGGGTTGAGAGGCTAATGAATTCAACGGTGTACCACGAAGGAAAGCTGCATGATTATGCCATGGAAAATAACAGAGGCCAACACAACGCATACGACGCACGCGAAGACTTCATTTTGATTACCTTTCAACTTCTAAACTCTTTTAACTGTTTATTTAGAAAATCTACGGTGAAACTAATTAAACCGCTTAACAAATTTCAGCGGGAATAAAATTGCAACTTGCGAGGAAAGGTTAGGTGTAAAAACATTCGAAATGCAACGGCTTTCGTGCATTCTTAATGGTTGTATTTTACTGACCGGTATTTTCTGCATATTGCATACCTGGGCATTTAGTAAACGGGCAAGGCTTTTTCTGAGTAGAAGGACCCGGACAGCTCTTTCCACTAATCAGCTTGCAGGTACGTCGTCGAACCATCACAGCTTTTAGACCACAACTTGGGGAGCACTCAGACCAAGGTGACCACGTGGTGTAATTTGTCTCTAGATTGTTTACTCCTGGTAAAATGAATGGCTTATTCACCGCTGCCAAAGCTGCCACCGCTTGTAAATCAGGTGGGATGACATTGGACCCAGAGGTGTGGTTCGGAGACTTGGATGGAGTGGTTGGTTGAACTACTGCGACATGCGCGCTTGAAACTTTACGAGGAAGATTTACGGCTGTGCGATGATCAAAATACAGTGTTAAGGCTGAGGGGGAGTAGGGAAGGGGTTCAAAGGAAAGTTGTCTTTAACCCTTTACATCCTGATATCATTACCCGTATATTCCATACTGTTCTTGAAATATTTCCATAGCAATCATTTTCTCTGTGCTCATGACCCTGACCTTGAGTACAAAAACCTAGGTTCCAGGAATTTTTATTGGAAACTTGGATGTGAATTATCGAGGATCATACACATAAGAGCTTAAAAGAACAAGAAGTACGATTCCAGCGTCTGTTCTCAAATTTGAATTTCTTCCTCTAAAGTTTTTACAAGATAGAAATCACCGACAGAAAATTAGCCTCTTAGTGGCCAATCTTGTACGACATTATTCCGTTTTCTAAATATTTATTTACAAGGGTTATTGCCATTTCTCCTGCAGTTCAGCAAGAAAATGTTTTGGGTTCTTATTAATTAAAAAGAATTATCTTGGATCCGAAGAACACGGCACAATAACTGGCCTAGCCTCGAGGCGTCATCGCTACCATCAGGCCAACTCTACATTCACCACAAATATGTATCTAAAATCATTAGGGTGATACCTACTTGTGTTAACAGTACTTTTTTGTCGAAAGATAGCATTAGGCCTTGCTGCTTCCATTTTGGGGCACACGGGTACATTGCAGAGGACCTTCTGAATTTCTGACCCGATGCATGTCTTCCTGGCGATGGAAAGAGAACAAGTTCTCTCGCGGGTGCGGTATGAGCCAAAACCGCAAGTTCTCGTGCAGACAGACCAAGGACTCCAGTCAAACTCATTTTTAACAGAAACTGTCTCGAAAATAAGAAACGTTAATTTTTAATTATGGTATCCCTTGTCTAAATTAAACGAATGCTTTATTTCACCTAACTGCTGAGAAGACAAGGTGTCGGGGCGGAAAGAGGTAGCGCAAAGTGATAAAAGGAGGGAGGCCTGGGACGGGTGGAAACGACTCATTGAAAACCTCATTCGTTCCAGCCTACAGAAATGGTGTCATTTGTTGCGATTTTACGGCGACGTTGAAAAAGACAAACCAGCGCTGGGAAGGAGCGAGAATTAAACCATGCGCGAGAAAAGAAGCGCAAAATAAAAAAATGGCAGTCATAACAATAACGCGGGAGCCAGGCTTGTTATAATGATAGGGAGTTTAAGATGTCACTACAGTGACTCGCCGTAATGACGTGTGACGTGATGTGACGTATGGTCAATGTTTCCGAAAAAAAAACGTGATTAATTCCCTCTTGGCTTTCGCCAATAACTAGGTGCGTTCAACATTTCTGAAGGTAGCACGTCTTCACCTCTGCAAAACATGTGAATGCAGTGTTGAATTCAAGGTTAAAACGTGACTAAATCACAGTAGAGGTTTCCTTGTCAAGAGGACATAAAAGTTGGCGATTTCATGTTTTAGTCTGTATGGGATTCCCAAGAAATGTTGAGTTTTAAAACGCTCGTGTTTCGCCGCAGTTTTGGTCATTAGTTTTTTTTTGTTCGTATTCTCGTTACCGTCGCCGTCGTGGTTTACTTAAAGTCCCTAATATAAGTGGTCTTATTGAATTGAATTCTTTCTTAGTTTAAACTTTCTAGCCTTGACTTTAGCTAAGGCTATTTTTCATCTCTATCAATAAGCAACAACACCAAAAACACGCATAGTAAATGTATGTACAAAGTGTCATCTTTCAAAGACTTCCTTGCTATGGTGATGTGAAATGGGCTCAGAAAATGAATAATGTTAGGGTGAGATTTGAATGCACAAATGATGCGTTATGAACGTGCCATTCAGATGAAAAAGTGAGACATCTTTTTTTAATTGTAAAAAATTTGAATAACAAAAACAACCTTGTGGTTATTTTGTTTCTTGTAAATTTAAAAGAACGACGCGCTTTCAATCAAAGAGATCAAATGTTGCTTTCGAAGTGTAGAGGTTGCAGAGATAGAAAAACAACATAAAACAAAAAAAACTAGGAAAAGCTTTCGCTCAAGTAAAGGAATAAAAACATAACCTAGAGGCAAGTTGACGAACGGAGGTATCGACTCACTCAGATGATCAAAAAGTGACACTCGTTCTTCAGTTCTAAGTCAAACTAAGTTCATGAAATGAACTCACTGTTATGTGAAACAGTCCCAGAGAGCCCAGCTTCAGTTCTAAAACCAGGAATGGTGTCTCCCGGACATGATGGCAACATGCAGGGCTTCACTTCTGAAGTGGAACCAGCGCAGCTCTGAATGTTCTGTTTGAAACACGATCGTTTACGCACGCGTAATAAATTAGAACCGCAGGTCCTTGAACATTGAGACCACGGGCCCCATTCAGTGAAACCATCAGTAGAATTTGAAGAAACTGAACAAAAAGAGATAGAGAAGTGGTAACATTATGCGTATTCTTTGTGAATGGCAAAATATTCACTCAGTAGTTTTCCGTTTTGCCTTTTTTTCCTTTTACTTGGTGTCATTTACGTCGTCCGTGTTAAGCCACATACCGAAGCAGACTTCAAAATCTAACCAACCATCGTTCGACATTAACAGACCAGACCGATCGATCTATCAATCTATATTAAGAAGGTAAGAAATTTATTAAGCAGTGGAAATAAAGTGGCTTATCTCATTCAATGCTTTCCGTTCGAATTTTAATTTAGGGTGCTAGGTCTTCTGGAGGAATAGAATGGAGAATCCTGAGAAATCTCTCCGAAGCAAGGACGAAAAATAAAAACTAACTTACCCTAAGCTCAGGATGCGAGATAGCAGGGATGGGAGAAGAGGTCTCTCTCTGTTCCACCCCCTCCCAAATTTTAAAAATGAACAAGCCCTTCCTCGAGCTCCTCCCCAAGGAATTGGGAATTCCATCATAACAGAAGATCTGGCCAGTAAGAGTTCTGACCCATGGTAATTACAGCAAGCTCTCTCAGGAAGCAGGAACGAAGAGATGCCGATCTTGTTAGTGGACGAGGCAGGGGAGAAGTTCTAAGGCCTATTTTTCAGAGTTTCCCCACCCCCTTGCCCTCTTTAAAGGTAGAAATTGAAACTCAGATATCAGGAGACGCTGGTATGCCACGCCCCTACTATAAACACCTGCCTACTCCCCATGTGAACATTATCTTACCATTATGAAACTTAACACTTTGTATAAACACTTTGCTTGCATTATAATCTCCTAGAAGCAAGCAAGACGGCTTCAAGCAATGACGTCTTTCCACAGTCCTGCCCACACAATCCTCCCCACCGAAGCTGGGAGGGGGGTCAGTGCATGTCCTTTCATGTGTCTGGTATGAGTCAGATCCACAAGTCTTGGAACACTCGGACCAGTCACTCCACGGCGAGAAACGGCCGTCAACTTGAAGTCAATGAGGGGAAAAAACTATGAATTAACGCAGTATGTCCTGTTTATCTGGTTGTCTTATTAAAGTGTTTCCAGTTTGTTAACAGAAAGCGTTATAATCGCGTGTGAAGGTTGTCTATATCATTTAATCTATATGCATTCCTGGCATCTTTCCAAATCTAAGTCACTCTCCAAGCTATCGTATTCCCGGATTTCAGTTATTTGAGTAAGATATTCTTTGCTTTTCAAAGATTACCTTAATCAAAACTTGAAATTATTATAATAAGAGTACTTTTCAAGTTAACGTCGTAAAACCAGACATCAAAGTCAAATATAACAGTTCGTAAACGTTGTCCTCAATAGGCCTTGAATAAGGAGTACTGTTTGGAGAGGCCTGGAAAAATTCAAGTTTCAACGAAATTTGAACCCGTGACTCCAGATACTGGCTGAGTGCAACCACCATCTGAAGTCACGTATTTAGAGGAATGCAAACTTTGGTGGGCTCTTCGTTCAACGAGGACAAATTTAGTCTGACCCGAGTCTGCCTAACAGCCAAACAGAATAAGAGAGAGGTCTAAAGAAGCCAATAATAACTCAGGGGAAATAAATGTCCAAAGCTTGAGGCGATGGCAAACGGAAAAGGCTGAGTCTTATTGCAAGTGCAAATACAAACGCAAATGCATGGTCAGGCACGTCTAAAGTGATGCTGGATTGCATTCGATACGCAATTAAAAAATTTCTCAACTAAATGTTTGCAATGTTAATGAGGTAAATTACCTGGACATTTGTGGTCACGGCAACGTTTCGTTTGTACTTTGGGTCCCATACACGAACTGTCAACACCAACTAAGTCAAAGGTACCAATGCAAGAACGTGAGCGCGTTCGAATACCGCGTCCGCACGAGGCGCTGCAAATTGTCCACTCGCTCCATGGCGTGAACCCGACGTTTTCGTTATTTCCTTGAACGTGAATAGCCTTACCACCGTTTTCGTAGGTCTCATGTTGTTGCTGTGGCATTAAATGTGATCCTGGCTTCAGAAATTGCATAGAGGACATGAATTTCGAGGAAGGAAAATTTGCCAGTGAAGTTGTGAACTGTTTCATGTTTGGCATTTGTTGAAAGCCAAACACATTCCGCTCGCTGGGAATTTGTCTAATAATGCCTTGTTGTTGCTGAGGCACATGAAGAAGTGACTGTACTGAGGGTATGTGAGGTAATTCTTGATCAATATGAGCTAATCCGCTGTATCGTGCAATCCTTTTTGCGATGTTGTTATTATCGATGTCTGTACTGGGAAGACGTTTCGACAATTCTTCTATCACTGGTGTTGAAGATAACGTCCTAAATATTATTTCCTTGTTGTTTTTCGAAGTCTCCATCTCGTCTAGGTCTGGGCCGCCTAAACGCGAGTTGAAAATGAAAGGGTCAAACAGCTTAACCATTATTTCGTAATAATCTCCCAATAAACGGTGAAAAGTCAAAAGCTCGACTAATTACAATGGCTTTGTGGCTTTAGAATGAATGTTCCGAAACTTCATTGAAATCAAGTTCACCCATGACAATCAGAGGGTAAAAGCAACTTCTTTTACAAAAGGTCGTCTTGAATTACAGCCGTCGTTTAAACGCTTCTTTTAAAATTAGACTTTTAACGCAAAAAAGCAAAGTATCAAGATCTCTGTATGATGGAAAAGAATGACTTTGGTCTCAGTAACCAGAAACTACGATTTAATTTCGTAATTTGTGTTACCTTCGATCATTTCTGGCTACAGCTTCTATCTATCTGCTGATGAATGAATAATCAAAGGAGAGTTCCTATACTTTACTCTCTTGGTTGTAGTTACCAGGTTTCTGGGGGCATTCTTTCCCTTTGCAATATTCAACATGGAATCTCCAGCCATTGCAGTCGTTTCCTCCAAAAGCAGGTGGGGGGTTGGTGCAAAGTCGCATGCGCATTCTTACAGCCCTCGGACCGCAGGTCTTTGAACACGCGGACCACTCCGTCCATTGAGTGAATCCGCCATTTACTAAAACAAGGAATGTTTGAAGTTGATATAAACGACCTGTGGAACTCATTATACTTCAAAATAGCTGTTTTCCATAGAGAAAACGTTTGAAGATGTCTCACCGAGCATTCACCATTGAACATTTGAGTTTTTGGATGAACATTTTTAACCAGTAACTTGCTTGGACATGTAGTCCTATCTGCTCTAATTTGAAAAGCGACCAAAACTTTAAGGATAAATTTGAATCCCTTTCGTGCAACGTTGTAGACAATTTGAAAATAAGATACTCAGTGGAATTCCTCGTTGAAGAACTACTCGCCTCAATCGTAAAGTTAGCGCTGTGTTCCACAAATCTTTACTTTCGTATGTTATATCAAGTCAATGATTACAACAGATGAGAAGTGTTTCAGTGTTTGTTTAATATTCTTTTCTTTTTTTTTTTTCATCAACCCACATGGAGTACTGATCCGTCGAGGCTCAATTTCCACAAACTATTGCGAACCACCTTAATAGCCTTTCGGAGATATTATCTAGCTCAGTTTAGACTCTTCTATATCGTTTAGAAAACCAAAATGATTGCCAAACACTATACAATACAACGTGAATCAAATTTCTTTTTTTGCCGAACCTCGTACATATTCTTGATGTGGCTTCTAACCTGGACAGTTTTTTGGAACATCACAGGGCACTGTCTGGTGGTTCCATCCGGGACATTTGATAATATTGTCAAATGGAGAACTTTTGTTACAGTACAAAGACCTCGTCTTCATGCTTCCATCACCACAGGACTTGGAACACTTAGACCATGCACTCCACCCTGCGTCTCCTAAGTTTCAAGAGGTATGAAAGCGGAGAATGAACGTATCCCTTTGGTGTTAGAGGGGCAATTTCCCCATTGGTCCATCTGTTCTCGGTAGGAGGCAAAAGTTTAACGTAGGCACATAACAGAGTAATTGCACTCAAAGTGAGATTACTAACACATTTAAGTACAATCAAAGAACAGACAAAAGCGAATCGTCACTGAAACTACTCAGGAATGAGGAAAACTTTCAGATATGTTTTCATGAACAGATCTTGGCTTATTTTGAGCGCCTGTTCTGTGTTCCAATTTTTTTCTTGATGCTCATAACATTTTGGGTGTTTTAACTTAATCAAAGTAGATGAAAACATGCAGAATAAGGGGAAAAATTTGTTAATATTTATCCAAAGTTCTGCTTCTGCCACCAATTTTTGAGAAGTCTTTAAACCTGATACAAAAAAATATTCTACTTCTTGCTTCCACCAAGTCATAATGAAATTTGAATACTTCTCTTGCAAACCTGAGGGAGGAGGGATTCCAGCATTAATATCAATTGTATACGGTTCCTTTACCCTGGTTATTGTTTTGTTGATGAGTAAGATCGTTTACTTTTTACAGTTGGTTGAATTTACCTTCATCACTGCTTACGACATTATTTATTTCCTTTCCTTCGGATCCAGGATCGAAAATGTCCGCAATGGTCTCGACGGTCCCTTCTTTATTTCCAGCCAATTTATCAAGGATTGACCTCTTGAAAGCTTCAGCAGATGGCTTAAAAAGACTTTCTACGTCTTTTTCATCAACTTTGTCAATTTTTTCCAGCTCTTTCAAATCTCTCTGATCATCGCTGTTGGCAAATTGTAGCACTGATGCGAGCTGCGCTTGAGCATCAGATCCAAAGGTACCCAAATCTTTATAATCATCACTTAATACTTTTCCTTCTGGTGTCAAATCACGAAAAACACTCCCCCGAATTTCGGAATTTGTCCATTCCCTCTTTCCACCGAGTTCATGTTCCTCATGAGCCAAGCCCTTCCCATTGCGATTTGAATTTTGTAAAAACGCTTTCAACTTCTTTTGGGTGTTCATTAGATAGTCCCAATGACTGTTATTAGTTGATTCTCTGATATTTTCCTCTTGAAAAGCGTTCTCCGCATTTCCCCTTCTTGGGTTACTTTTAGGGTCAACGTGATCCGCCCCCTTTCTCAGCCCTGACTTATCCAGGCTCTCCAACCTAGTCACGTAGTTCAAGTCGTGTTCACTCTCTTGCTTCAGAGCGCGGGATAACTGTCTCTCAAAGTCAGGGCTTCGAAAAGTGCCATCGTTGAATTCAGTCGCCCAATCAGTAGCATCCCTTCTCGCCGCATGCTTCCTGGACTTAGATCGTCTCTTATTAGGCTGGAGGAGTTTTGCAATTTTGTTCACCTTCAAATGGCCTTGTTTGGCTACTTTAAATGTCCTCTTTGAATCTCTCTTCATGCCAATTTCATCTCCTGCACTTTGGAACATGCTTTTGATTCTGTCAATATCGTGTTTCGATATTGCGTTTGCATGCTTCAGAACTCCTTCGCTTTCTTTACCGAGAGTCTCACGTAACAAACCTTGGGTAAACTCGTTTTTCACGTCATCAAGGGGAATTACATCACCGTTGAAGATTTTATTTCCTCTTATTACAAGCGGTGTGTTTATTTCAGTTTCCTTGTGTAGACCTTTTACACCGTGTTTTACTTCTGCAGAGTTTCGTTCCACCACGTCCTCACTGTACAGTTGTCGTCGATCCTGACTATTCCTCCCAAAATGCTTAGAAATTTTCACCCTCCTAAGGTTCCTTCTCCCCGGAGCTTTTAATGAACGTTCAAAAGAATAACCAGGATCGTGCTCATCAAATGGAAATGCCTCTATATCTTTGATATTTCTCTGATGTCCATCGTAATCTTTCAGAATGACTTTAGAGATGTCCTCTTGGGCTTTAGGATTTAAACCTCGAATTTGATCTAAGTCACTGTTCAGCACGTCAGTGGAGGACTCCCATGACTCCAGATCTCTCTTTTTATTCCTATTATTGTCAAATTTCTTGTGTAACCTTTTGGAAAAATGAGTAGCATGTTTTATTGTATGTGCCTTCTTTTTATATGACAGACTGTGTTTTACCTCTTTCCTTGTTAAATTTCGCTGTTTCAATGATTTTTGGACAAGATTTTTCGTGGAATCCATTGATTTTTCTTGTTCCTCATCTGTTACAGTGTTGTAGTAACCTTTAGTCGTGGGTGACGCCCCTTGCACACCGCTATTCTCCTCAGGACCACCTACAATATGTGGTGTGTGAGCTAAATGAGTTTCAAGTTCTTTCATTTCTTTTGCTGTCAGTCCAAATATGACAGAGGAAGGACTTATCTCAGAATCTCGAGTCCCCGGCTGATTACGAGATTTCGTCGGTTTTATCCCATTAGAAGCGTGTTTGTATGATGTTTTTACATGCATAGGGGAAGAAGTAGTCGACAAGGTTGTAGACGATGATGCATTAACATTTGCTTTCCTAATGAACTTCTTTCTGTGTTTTCTTTTGCTCATGTGTATTAGGTGTTTCTTTTGTGGTCTCGCCAGTGATGCTGGGAATGGGTTTACTCCAAATTGGGATATACCGTCTCCTCTGATGTCCAGTTTTCGGCCATTTTCAATATTCTCGGATTGGTAGTTTAATGTTTTTGGTTTGATTAAGTTGAATGCTCCTTGAAGCCCAACAAGACTACTGAGAGGAGCAAGATCTACCGAAGAAATATCTGAAGCTGTTTTCGGACTTGAGAATATTTGACCTACACCAGCTTGTGTCCCTGTTCCATCTTGATGGCCAGGAACCTTATAGAGACTAGGAGGTACCAAATACGACTTTTGTGTTGCATCTGGGTAGAATTTTTGCTGTTTATCTTGGCTCTGTGGTTGATTGAAGGTTGGGTCAGACGAAAATTTTTGGTCCTCATTAACAACGGAAGCCATGATCTGTTCATTTTTTCTTTTTTCAGCATTAAGGAAATGGTTATCTCTCGTGTATAACTCTTCACTATTAGCTTTGGCTAACGGATTGCCAAAAAACTGACCAGTATTCTGTTTTGGTGCAGTTGAGTTCAGGCTAGGGAAAATCTCTTGAACCAAACGACCGGCATCGTTGATTTGATGCTCAAGAAAACTTGCCTCTTTAGTATCTTCGTCTTGTAGTTGCTCTTGACTTGAAAATGGGCTATTGACATCAGTAAAGCTTTCCTTTGCGACTGGATCACTCATAAGATTTAGTTGAACATATTTGGTTTCATCGGGATCCAAACTTGTAAATTTGCTATATAGGAAAGGTGCATCTATAGCTCGATTAGAATTTGCCGATGAGACCATTGCATTTGTTGACTTTGGCAAATCTTCTTTCTGATCTCCTTGTGCTCCAGGCAACTGTGTAGGTTGATTTGCTGTATTAGAAACGAGTCCATCGGAGGACAATGTGACAACCGGCCTATAATAAATCGATGGTTCGTCCTTATCACTTCCACCAAACCATGTTGGGATTTCTTTGTTGGAAATGAATCCAGATATCAAGGGCGTTAGAACTTGTTTTCTGTTATAAGTTTCCTGTTCACTAGTCTTAGTGTTTTGTCCCGCTGCAATTCTCCCAGCAGTCTTGGGAAGCAAATCATAGTGATTTTTCTCTTGGACTTTGGAGTTAATTTTGGGAGCAGCTTGTGTCATGGGCTTCTTTAATGGTCCCTGATGAACTCCTTGAGTACGATTATTTTTTTCATGATCTTGTCCTGCTTGAGATGATTCAATCATGTGAGAAGTAGGTGTTGAGTTACTTTCTCCTACTGCATTTGCTGTTTCTTTCATTTTATGTAACGGTGCAGAATTATCAGCATTTCCGATGGTCAGCTCGGACAGGGAATGACCTTTAACTTTCTCTTTTATTGTCTGGGCCGGTTCTTTCATTTGGACCGTCGTGAGTGGACTGCTCGCACTTTGGTTACCTTCTTTCGGCCTCTGACTCTCATGAGCGCTAACTTTAGACAAATCAGTTGATAAATCAGCAATTCTACTGGAGTCCGAAGTAATTCCTACTTTCTTCCCAGAATCAAGTTGAGAAATTTTATTGCTTTCCATAAGAAGAGCCCGTGCAATGGAGCTTGCCCAAATGTCTTTCATCATCGGATGTTTTGCTAATTCCAGCGAAACATACATAGTTCCTTGGTTTCCCAGACGCTCCACTACGCTTTTGACAAGTTCTGGTAGCTGGATGTTTAAAGTGTCTGATGAGATGTTCGAATTCTGCGCAGATGGAGCTGACTGATTGAAAACCTCATGACCCATGTCATGATCAATATTTGGCTTAGACTTATCAATAGTTTCATTCCAAGAACGGTTCATGCCATTTGAATTCTGCGATTTAACGAAATCACTCTTTGAAAAAGCACCCAAGTCATGAGAGGCTTCGCTATTCGAGACCATACTGCTTGTGTTTACCTCCTTTACATCAATGTTACTTGAGTCGTTCTTACCTTGAACTACATTTGCATTATTTTCGATGTTTCTCTGGCCATTACTAGTTGTGTCATTACTAGATGGTAACGAGTGATAGAGATCTTCACCTTTATGGTTTAATACATACGATACTTTCGCAAGAGGATCTTTTGATGATTGGTTCTCTAGACGAGAGCTTTTTAATCTTTCTGATCCTTTAAAAGTCGTCAGTTTTTCGTTTTCGACGGAACTTGCATTCTGAGAGTTCTTCTGATACACCATATCAGAAATCGCCCGCGACATGGGACCGATGAGAACTTCTCCTCCAGAGGGATCCTTCTCAAGTTGAAATCCTGACAATTTAGCGTCATCGCTTTCCAACTGACTGTAAAGTCTTTCTGCAAGTCTCGAGGGTGATATGACATCATCATTAAGTGCCACGCCCCCATTATTTTTATCATAAACATCGTTTGAAGCAAAACTTGATTCACTGTTCACTTTGTAATTTGAACTGGCATCTTCGTATTCTCCAACTGAGGACGTTTTATTTACAATATTTTCGTTTGTGGCCACGTTGATTTGCTTACCGTGATTCTTCTGATCACTTTTGTATGTTTCCTTGTCACCAACCAAGGTTATCAAAGGCTTTCCTACAGTCAATCCTAAAAACGGAATAAAATGACAACGTTCGAAGCTCGATTTAGAACAGTGAAAATTGAGTAAATTGCTTTTGTTGTCTGTGGTAAAACGGCGATTTTTGCATTTTACGCCAAAAAAACGTTGTTTCGCGAAAATCGTTATAAGGATCAAATACACCTCTGAATGGCAACTACCACATAAGGTATATGCTACTATGCTGTCTTAGGCGGACCACTGAGATAAAGGCCAGACTTAAGTACAAGGCAAGAACCCTTTAAAATTAATAAGGGTCGAGGTAAACCTGTAACTTACAGTGGACTAAACAATTTAGCTAAACAACTATTTTGAAAAGGATAGCCTTTGACCAACATCACTGGTCTACGATAGAAAAGAGTTAAGTCTAATCCTATCTGTAATCATACACGTGAGAACCAACATGCCCATCAGTTGAACTTATTCACAAATAGAAACATAGCAGTAGATTTTTTCCTCCACAAGGAAATCAAACTATGCTCTAAGGAGCACAGCACGGAAATGACGCGTACTACCCAATTACCAGCATGGCGCACACACCGCTCCATTAAAGCTCAAATCGAACTGCTAATAACCAATCACGTTCGCATATCTCCCATGAATCGGATATAAAAAGAGACAAAGAGAAATAAGAGAATAAAAAGAGTCTTAGATAGTGAAATTGTAACCAACCTACCGATATGATCTCGTCTGACAGTGAAAACGCAAGGAGCTTTTACCCAGGCCAGAATCAAACCAAGGGTCAGGAAGTCTGTCCAGTCCATTGTTATTTAAGTACAGGCTTCATTTTAAACTGAAAATCAACACACCTATATCTGAATCAAAATATTAACTCTCATGCAGCCCGTCAAATCATTTCAAGAATACGTTTTCTTTCGGAACAGTTATTGCAAGTTTGCTCTCTAAAATTTCTTTTGTCATAACAAGCCACCAGCTCCGTTGTAACAGCAAAGGAAAATGATGGCGCAGAAATAATCAAAAGTTTTGTAGTCTTTCTGGTTGAGTGCTTATACAGAAAGGAATTGGGAGAATCGGGAGGTTTTTGTTTCTTCGTATATTTTCAACATCCATGCAATTTCCTCAAATGTGATAGGTGAATTAGCTGCTTTATTTTTCACTGATCGTTCTGTAGAGTTGCAATCGGACAGTGCATCGGACAGTTGGCTGCGACTGGACAGTTGTAGCAACCAAACATACTAAGTTAACTCAGCTAAATCCACCAATCAAAGAATTGATCACAATACCCGTACCTAAAACCACATATCCTGAAAAAAACTGGGGAATTTCCAAAATGGAGGAATTGTCAATGTAATTGTCTTTTCTTTCTCGGAAATTGTAATGGTTATGATTAATTGGTAAAAGGACTTCGTGTTTGTAATAATACTCGTGATCGACAAATTGGAGTCTCGCTTTGCGGTCGTCCGATTTTGTTAATCACTCGTATGATTACAGACCGAACTGGACTCCACTCGCTCCTATTACCATTACGTGTATTGCTTTGGACTAAGAGCCTGAGTTAGGTATCCGAGTAGTGCGATTTCATACGGATGTAAATAAAAGGCAAGGAACCTTCGGGTTTCGCATTTCCAGCGATCTAAGATGATTCTTGTGATTTTAGACAAAATTTCACTCCACTCAGTAAATCACCACTTTGATCATTAAAGGAAACATTTCATAAATACCCCAATTCAGCACTTCGCAGAAATGCATCGTAAGGGTCAACAACAATCTTCAGCAAACACTACCATAATACAGTGTCATTACCACCCGCCGGGTTACATCAGACAGAAGTGAAGAAACAGGGCTGTCTTAGTTAGCTTGACCCAACACTTTTTCCAAGCCCCATTTTTAACGAATAATATTTACAATATTTTGAAGGAAAACGAATGAGAAAGTGTTAAGTGATTCAATTTCACGCCAGTCCAAAGATACAATGTGGAGTCTGCAGTGGCTACAACTTTCGCGACCCCTTGAATGTTGACAATCGAAAGCAAGATTGTTGGAATTTCTTGTTCCCTTCAGGAGCTCTTATTTTTTGTTTTAATTTTTTACTCTCGTTCGTTCAGTGTACATGGTCATGGTGTAAAATGAACTGAGTTACATTTTTATGTTCAAGATTTTTGATACTACGAAGTCAATGATGTATGAGGGCGATGTAACGTACCCATTTACATTAATTCATGATTTGAATTACAAATAGCTTTTCTGTGATAATCAATAATCTACCATCCTACTACTTAAACGATCTTCTAGCTGATTTATATCTTCAAGGAACGAATGAACCAGAAGAAGTAGATTTTCACGGTGATGTTTCAAATCGTTTAAAAAACAAACCCATTTCCACCTTAAACACAAACATCCCTCGCACAGTTCAACCCTATCCACACATTTCGACCTTGCTTTTCCCCTCAATGTAAAGAAAATCTCCGAACAATAAAAATATTTTAACCTTTTTACATAAGTGAATAGGGAAGCAGGTTTCCTAATGTTATAACCCGTTTTTAAGTCAACAAACTGGTCTGTTCATTGATGAATCTATCTATCTATTTTCTTTGAAATCTATTGACGAATTTGTTTAAATGTTTTTGGCAAAACTATCAGGGATTCAACTCTAAAATTCAAAACAAAAAATGTCGTATTTACCTAATAATTCAGGATCCAGGTAAATGTCAAAAATAAATTTCGATTTACAAATAATTACCTGAAACTCGAAGCTTGTTCACAAGACGTCAAACATCGCCGAATTAGTTACTTGAATAACTTCACCGTCAAAACATTCCAACCTTTACCTGTTAAGGAAAGGACGTGTGATTTTTGGGAACGTTTTTCTATCTCTTTCCGGGAACAAGGTCGTAACTTTTACAGCCACTGCTAATGATTTAAAGGAAGCTCTTCTTTACAAGTGTTGCGGATTACACCACTAACGATTTAGCCAATCAAAACAGAGGGTCGATGGCAGACGTCTTGTAAAGTCATTCATGATTAAGCGGTTCATTGTAGTGACTCATCGCTACCTGCATTTCTCGATCCACAAGGTTTTCTGGCTTTTAATCAAATTTTAAAGTTGATTTATTGGTCGCACTTGAATTTTCAATCTAGCGACCCCGACCCACAATAGCACCGTGTCATTTAAGAGATGAGAGGTCAATAAATATATCCAGAAAGTTATAGTAATCATTTTTTTCCTGAAGCAAGAGAGACGTTCATCCATTGAATTGAATTGAAAAGATAAAAGTCTTCTATCAGACTAAAAACTGTTTAAATAACATAGCCGACAAACACTGTGAAAGAACTTCAGAAAAACTGACCTACAATATACAGCCATACCTAAGTATGATTCAGGATCGATCTGAAACTAAAATTACCACGATATAAAACCGCAAACATAGGTCGGGCGCTAGAGCGCTATGCCTCACGGAAGCTACAGCACAAAGTGTTGATTGATTGCCAAAATCGTGGAACCAGCACCTAAGCCGAAGTAAATACGAAAAAAATAAAAAGAAACTTGTTCTTGGGAGACACTTTGAATAAATAAAAAAGTAAAGAATGCCGGACTAGTTTCTAAGGAATCTCAACTTGGGAGAAGGAGTGGGGACGAAACAGCTGGATATTAACGAGGCACAGTGGCGAATTTTAACTCTGAAGTACAAAATTCATCTTAGGACATCCACATTTCACAGCCAGAGTCAAAGGACTCTCTAGAAGGTCTCAGTGGGGTTAACTGTTACTCGTAAAACGGCGAAAACGATCAGCCGTTAGGCGGAACAACTGACAAATTTTAACCGTTAGTCGTAAAAAAAGTTAACTGTTACAAAGGAAGATTAGCCGTAAAATGGCCAAATCTTAACCGTTGAAATCCTCACCCCAGTGCTGTAAACTCAATTGCAACATTTGAATTCTATTTACCCATAATTTTGGAAGTCTGTTAAGAGTTATAAATATTGAGATCAAGATGGGATGAGGGTGGAAGAAATTTTTTTCATCTTTTATTTTCCGACTCTTCAATGCATCATCCTAAACATTGGAACCCTAAGAAGTAGCCCTTTTTAAATACTGTATAACCTTAAATATACGAGAACCGTAACAATCCGAGCGTACATCATATTTTAATACAAGAAAACACAACATAAGCTCCAGAATATCGTCTAAGATTTTACCCGGTATAATATGTACTGAGTATGTTTACAAGCGAACGACGCGTTGAGATTAAATCCTCCTTGCGTTTTCATCGAGCATCTTTCTGCAAAGATAAAAGACGTTAAAGGAAATGAGCTTTAATACTAAGGCACCGTTTTCAAGGTTAGTTATGTCAGGGAAGTACTCCTAGTAACTAAATTTATCGCGCGTTTATGTCAGATCGAAGAAAAAAAACATCATTGGATATTTATTTAGAGACTTAAACAAAACCTTTTAAAATCTTTTGAAATAAACAAATATACATTCATACCTCTTTATTGAAAATTGTTCTAAAAGGAAAACCGTTTTTAGGTTACAAATTACAATTGATATTCTCCCATTAATAGAATCCAGAATCGTGTCTGCCCAAAGGTCTTCAAAATTTATTGTTTCGAGAATTTAAAAGGTTTGTGTTTTGAAACGAGGATAAGTGCGAAGTCTTAAATGCGAATAATTTTTGCGGTATTCTCATCCAAATAAACCTCATTTTCACGAAACAGTTTAGCAATCGGTCTCTCTTTAAATGTAAGGGTTTTCGTAAATTGCAAATGGAAGCTCTGGCGTTAAGGCCCCGGTTGTGAGGTCAACATTCACTCTGATTGGCTGTTGCGATTACTTTGGTTTTGATTAAGGAATACCAACCGAGTTGGACCATACTCTGAGCTAGTACCATAATCAATATATCATTTGATATTGAGTTGATTTTGATATTTTTTGATACCTTTGTGCATCGGTTTTCTGTAATTGTTGGATTGCGGCTAACAGTCTCTTTAACGCAGTGGTAGTCAAGTCCAGCTGCTGTACAATATGCCACCGAGCAATCGGCATCCGTCGTGCAAACTTCATTATGTATCGCTGAGCAAATAACTTCTCGTTTCCTCTCTTCCTCAAGCTAAAGAGACAACAGAGATAAAAATACAAGTAAGGCATACCCCAAAGGAGGTGGGGGGGAGATGGCACTCCTTTATTTGGCTTTCACAGGCATGCACTGGCGAACAGACTGTGGCTTTCGCGTCTAATTCTTTAGAAAGGCTTAAACATTTGTCTTTTTAGCCTATTCATTAGAGTTTCATGCAAAGGAGGTAACCTCATATTGAGTGGCACATGTACACGTATAGATGGGTGGTATAATGATTTTTTTTATTTGTCAAATGGTTCTTCTAAACTACCTTCCTTCCTAACATACAATTGGTACATTGATTGGGTCAATACACCTTGGCATTTTTCTGTCTCAGAGGAAGCCTCCGCTAATGAAGCAAGTCGTCATTAAACTGATAAAATTTGCTTTTTACGAAGATTTCTTACATGAAATGGGAAAGTAATATCTATAGAATTATCGATATCACCGAAAGAAAAGATAAGCAATATACTGATGTTTGAATTTTATATCCGCAAGCGCCATTTTGGATCAACTTATATCCAAAGAAAGTATTCAAGTCAATTTCCAGCGTCAAGGTTGAAGTCTGTGGACACGATTGGTTCATACTGTGAAATCACGCGCGCGGGATGCGCCCTTACTTCCATGCACGATGTGCGGATACAACAGAGATATACGGGGGGTTGGGGAGAGGAAGAGAAAAACATTAGT